AGCGTCAAGACTCGAAACAGGTACACACGGGTCGGTAACGAGGGAGGCAAGGACCCAAGGAACAAGAGGACGAGCGGCACGAAGGTAGTCAGACAGAGGAGGCGGAGCGGCAACGAGCGACGACGAAGGAGGCGAGGGGCGGAGGGGGGGACGAGACGCGTGGGAACGGAGCAACATGGGATGAGAGCGCTGGACAGGAGAGACAGGCCGAGAGTGCGAGGGATGGCGAGACCAGATGTGGGACGGAGGCGTCGGGTCAGGAGACCGAGGAGGAGTAACAGGAGGGGAACGAGGGCGGAAACGGGCCGGAGACGAGTCTGGCGGAGGAAACACAGGGCCGTAGACAGGAAGGGGAGGAGGCGGCGGGGGAGGCACAGGCAAGCGGTCAAGGGAGGGAAGGTCGAGAAGGCGAAGGGCGGACACCGGTGGCGACTGCTGCTGCTGCTGCTCCACGCCGACACCTGGACCGCTAGCTGCACCACGACTACCTCTGGAAAACTCTACTCCAGCACCCCCAGAACGAGCACCCCCAGAACGAGAACCCTCTCCAGCACCGGTGCCACCCCCAGAACCATCGGGACAAGCCACGACAGGAACCCCAGGACTAGCACCCTCCTCAACGTCAGCACCCCCAGAGTCCACGGACGGGTGCGCTGCGTCGGCGACGGCGGCGGCTACGACAACGGCAGCGGCTGCTGCTACGGCGGCGATTGCGGTGGCGATTGCGGCGGCTGCTGCGACGGCGGAGGAGGAGACACCAGGGGAGAAACATGCGGCGAGAACTACGCCGCGGGCCCACCAGAGTTAGCCGACTCCTCGACCGGGACAACCGACGGGAGGGGAGTGACGTGAGACACACCAGACGGAGCAAGACTGGGAGGGAAATTGGGAGAACTCGGTGGGGAAAGCGGTGGTAGAAGGAGACAGACTTGTTGAAAGTGGCATCACGGGAATGAAAAAACTGGTGAGACGAAGGTGGTAAATGTGCCAGTCAGACGAGTTAAGAGGGAAACCGAGGAAGACAGAGGGGACAGTGCGGGCAGTGAGCTCCGTGCCAGAGGCACAAACGTGAGCAAGGCAGCCCCGGATGTGGAATGCGGTAGCATCACCAGGGAACCTAGTCCAAAGAAGGGTCGACGAAACATGCGACCGCTGGGAGCGCGGCTACAAGTTAAGCTGGTAAGTGGCGTAGCGATTGCGAGCAGCCACAGAAAATAGGGTGCACTGGCATGGATCATGGAGGTATGAGCCACCTCCATGACCAAATCGATGCGTCGCTCAGCGACCCCATTCTACTGCGGGGAGTCCGGTCGGGTGTACGACTGGATGATGCCCTCCGCACGACAGATGTATCCAAGCCGAGACCAGAGGCGAACTCGCTGCCACGATCGGAGTGGAGACACAGCACAAGGAGACCGTGGTGGAGGCACGCAGCTACGACCCACGGGATAAGAACGTCAGGCACGTTGGCCTTCCGCTCCAGGAGAAACACAGTGGTGTAGCGCGTGTAGTCGTCAACAAGCACTAGAAAGGAGCGCTCTCGATGCGGCCCAGGGACGGGGGCTGGGCCCCAGACGTCCAGGTGCAGGGTCTGGAGTAGCGCGGTGGCAGGGCAAAGCGAGGAGGAGTGAGGAGCACGGCGCAGCCGGCCCTCAACGCAGGGCATGGACGGCGACGTAGGCGAGGGAGGGAGGGTAGGAAGCGACGCTAGGAGACCTAGGACAAGACCGTGCTGAGACATGTGATGCAGACGCGGGAGTGCGGGATGACCTAGGCGGTGGTGCCACAAAAGCGATGGGTGAGTGAGTGACTGACACGAGCAAGCCGCAGCGGCCTGGGTTGACGCAGGACCCGGGGAGGACACGCCTACCGGGGGGGAAGCAGTGTCCAGCGTAAACAGGCCAGACACCGGTTCCCGGTGGAACGTCATAATGGGGGCACCTAAGGCGGCCTCGGTACAGACAGCGTACCGCTCGTGACCAGGGAACGTAGTGGTGATGCCGATGTCCTGAAGACAGCTTACACCAACTAGGTTCCTGGAGAAGGCCTGCAAGAGAACCCGAGGGAACCGCTGGATAGGGAAGAGTAGTGTAGCTACGGGCAATGACAGGACCAGATGAGGGGTCAGCAAGGGCGACAGTGGCAGGCCCTGCAAGCGGCATGAGTGCGGTGTGGTCGCGAAAGAAGCAGGCAGACGCACCAAATTCAAGTGTCAAGGACAGCGAAGCAGAAGCTGAGGCTGGAGGAGGAGCGAGCGTGGAGCCTAGGCTAGACAAGTTAGAAGGTCCTACGCCTAACGCAGCAGGGAAGTCGGTACTACTCACATGTACTCTACCTAAACTAGATAACACATGGTAATAAGATCCGGGCACACTAGAAGCGTCAGCATACATATAGAATGCAGGGCAAACAAATCTGATCAATGTCTAACTCAAAGAAAGGCACACCGTGGCGCAGCAGACTGGGTCAGTCAGGGAGGTCCGGGGCCGGGCCGAAGCGGCGACAAAAGAGGTCGTCAAAGCGGCGGAAGCAGCGGGCGGTTGGGTGCGGGCGACGACACACCGTGCCGTGGAGGGGGCCAGTCTGGAGCTGGTACTGGCAACTCACAGCACCGAAGACACCGCCTAACGCCGATCTGCGAGGGCCGCCACCGCGGCCACCACCTCCAGCGGCTCTTGGCCACCCCGGCGGGAGGCAAGCCCACGACTGCTGCTGCTGCTACTGCGACGGCTGCTGCTGCGGCGGCTGCGGCTGCTGCTGCTTTTGGGCATGAGCCCCGATCCCCTCGTCAGACTCACTGTCCCCGCCACCACCACCACCACCCCCGACACCACGCCCCCCCTTGGGGCCATGACGGCCCCGACGCGGGCGCAGCTGTGGGGACGCGGCAGCTGCAGTCTCAGCGGTAGGGGCAGTCACAACGACCGCGGCTGAAACGTTTGCGTACGTGCACTGGGAGGATGCACAACCCTGAAAGACAGGGACTGCCGCAGCACCGCTCGACTGGGTGATAGTGCGTTGGTGAGTCTCTATCTCAGACAGGGCGGTAACAAAGGCGGTAAGGGTGAGGTCACCGAGGTGCTGACTAAGGAAGTGGTCGCGGACAGTGGCTAAGCGGTCCGGAAGGCGCATATCAATGAGTTACAGTATAGCGCAGAATGGCGGGAGGAAGGCAGTGAGCTGGGCGGCAGTGCTAGCGGCGCGGTAGCTAGTCTCTAGTGTACGGAGGTGAGTGGCGAGGTCAGCGACAGTTGGGAAAGCGGCCTGACCCGTGAACAGCCTGGGGAGGATTAGGCGGCCGGTAGAGGCGGAGGCGGGCGTGGAGTAGCCCTCAACTACAGCATCTAGGAAATCCTTGGTATTCGCGATAGCAGTGAAGCGCGGATGCTAAGACAGGGGAAGAGCATGACTAATGGCTACCTGTGCTACGGCATCGCGGGAATCCCAGACAGCGCGAGCAGGCGCAGCAGTAGAGAAGTCCTCATGCTGAGCAGTGATGGGGTCAGCAGGGTGGGGATCAGGCGCGGGGGGGCAGGGAAGCAAGCCGTCAACATGCAGAGCCAGGAAGTGCCCATCTTGGCGCTGACCTGTGAGGTGTCGGCGGAGATCGATAAGCCAAGCGGCGATTTCGATCGCGTGCCCTTCCGCGTCCAGGCGGAGTACAGCCTCCGTCATCGTGCGACCTCAGCGATACAGCTCCACGGCGGCACGGCGGCGCGGCAACACAGCAGCACAGGTACTTAGCGGTACGGCAGCACAGGTACACAGCCACACAGCAGTACAACAGCGGGGCGGCAAAACTCCTCGGCAGGAAGTCCGAGCTGGGATGCACGGGGCCAGCAGAACACGACGGGCCGGCAGAGCGCGATGAAGGCCGGCGGGGCGCAAGGGCCGGTCGGGGCGCGAGTGGCCGGCGGGGCGCGGAAAGGACCAACGGGGCTCGAGGGCTGGTCGGGGGGCGAGGGACCGGCGGGGCGCGGAAGCGACCAGCGGGGCTCGAGGGGCCGGCTAGGCGCTAAGGGACCAGCGGGCGCGCGAGGGGCCGGCGGGGCGCTATGGGCCGGTGGGGCGCAGGAGGGACCAGCAGGGCGCGAGGGCCGGGCGAGGTGCGAGGGGTCGCCGGGGCGCGTAAGGGACCAGCGGGGCTCGCGAGGGGTTGGGTGGGGCTAAGGGCCGGCAGGACGCGTAAGGGACCAGCTGGACGCTAAGGGCCGGCGGGGCGCGTAAGGGACCAGCGGGGCGCTAGGGGCCGGCGGGGCGCGTAAGGGACCAGCGGGGCGCTAGGGGGCGGCGGGGCGCGTAAGGGACCAGCGGGACACTAAGGGCCGGCGGGGTGCGTAAGGGACCAGCGGGGCGCTAGGGGTTGGCGGGGCGCGTACGGGACCAGCGAGGCGCTAAGGCCAGCGGGGCGCACTAAGGGAACGGTGGGGCGGTAGGCTAGGGCGAGGGCGGAAGCGGGTGGGCGGACCTAACCTATTATGATACCATGTTAGAATAGCAGAATGACTAGAACAAGGCAGTACAGGAGAGGATATAGGGTTGGAGTTGTACCCTCTATGAACACAACCCTATCTGGCCTATAACTTCTACATATAAACATATGTATAAGTTGACATGAATTTCACATGATGCAGCGGAATTTGTTTTCTAAAATATTTCAATCGATATCTTCTGTCGAGTTTTGTGTCACACCATTTTGTATGTTTGAAAGAATAGCCGCTAGTAGTTGGGAGGGCCCTCTATATGGACATGGGATAGGAATCCTATATACTGCCGCAATGTAACAAGCTGAAATCCTAGATGAATGTGTTAAGCATACAAACTTGGGGCCTTGCCTTACCAATATCATAGGCCTTGTCAATGTTTATTTACAACTAGTTGGCATAACCACCCTACTACTGTATCGGGAAATTCTGCAGAGTGATCAGAATGTGAATGGGGAGCTCCTAGTTTCGTCCCGTCTGTCCATGCAGCAGCAGCAGCCTTGAAAATGTTGAGCCCGTTTGATGCGCTGGCAACGGGACACAAAGCACGTGCCCGGCCAGACATCCTCGGCAAGCCCATGCGATAAGGCCACGTGTCACAAAGCTGGCGTGGATCAGGTTGAATTCGGGCCCGCCCTTTTGGCATTCGTGGTGCGCAGGGCATGCAAGCCAGGTCTCTTGATGGGGAGCCACGGCCTGCGCCACCCCAGTCGATTACCAACTTGTCTTCCCCGCGATTTCGTGGCGGTGCGGCAAACCTCCGGGGGGCACATGGCAGCCGAACCAGCCGCAGGTCGCGGGCCGTCTGGATCCCGCCGTCGCGACGCGAAAGATTTGGGCTCCGGCGGGGAATTTACGGCTAATCCGACGGTCAACTGGCCGCGCCTAAGCGAGGCCTCCATGAGGATGGTCCTCTTACAGCCGTGCGTGATTCGCGACTGCCAGTGGTGGAGGTGGGTCCCCGCCGGACATTCCTTCATGATAGGAGTCTCGTTTTGAGGCGCCTCAGAACTAGTCCCCGCCGGACATTCCTTCAGCCACCTGAGAATCACATGCGGGTCCTCGCCATGGCTTCTGCTTACGACGCGGCGCAGCGGGCACCTTGCCGTTGGGACGAGACGCCAGTTGCGGCTGTAATGGAGAGGGATTGTGACTCTAAGGAGGGGAGGGGGGAGGAGTCTTCGGAGCAGACTACCCGCGAGATACCGGAAGGAAGCTTCGTTGTGGGTTCGCCGCCGAAACGGTTACGCAACAGTATGATGGGAAGGGAGAGGGACGAAGAGTTGGGAGGAGTAAGGAGCCCTGGGAGGCACAGTCGCGAGTCCCAGCTCCCTAAGGCTTGTTCCTACGAGGACCTTAAAGTGCATGAAGGCTCTGAAGCGAGGCTGGAGGACTCACTAAGTGACGTTGTAAAAGAAGAGGCCAATAGCGAGGATGGGAGCGAGGCAAGGAGTGGGAAGAAGAGCGGTGGGGGGAGTGGGGTTTTGGAGTGCGAGGTGCGGCAGATCTACGAGGGGCTGAGCGAGGGAGAGGCTTATAGCGAGGATGAGGAAAAAGGGACCAGGAGTGGGAGGAGGAGCGAGGGGGGGAGGGGGCCTCTGGAGTGCGAGGTGCGGCAGATCTACGAGGGGCTGTGCCTGGACCTTGCTGCTGCGGGCGACGAGGAGGTTTGCAGTGCTCACAGGTGCGCTGACACTGGTGCGGCAGCACGTCTGCCTTCGCCCACTGGACTGGCAGCACATCTGCCTTTGCCAACTGGACTGGCAGCACATCTGCCTTCGCCCACTGGACTGGCAGCACATCTGCCTTCGCCAACTGGACTGGCAGCACATCTGCCTTCGCCAACTGGACTGGCAGCACATCTGCCTTTGCCAACTGGACTGGCAGCACATCTGCCTTCGCCAACTGGACTGGCAGCACATCTGCCTTTGCCAACTGGACTGGCAGCACATCTGCCTTCGCCAACTGGACTGGCAGCACATCTGCCTTTGCCAACTGGACTGGCAGCACATCTGCCTTCGCCAACTGGACTGGCAGCACATCTGCCTTTGGCAACTGGACTGGCAGCAGATCTGCCAACGGTTTCGGCAGATCTAGGAGTCAACGTGTGTCAAGGAGTCGAAGCAGGTGAGGGGCAGAAAGAGGGAGGGAAGATTGGCAGTAGTGTGGTGGAGTGGGATACAGTCAGGTTGCTGGCCTCTCTGCCTTCCCTGGACTCCAACGACCTTGCCTCTGCCCTGCCTAGTCGCTCCTGCTTTGAGCCGACTCACAACACAGAGGGTGCCACCGAGACCAACGCACAGGCCGCCTTTGCCCTGCCGAGTCATTCCTGCTTTGAGCCACCACACAACACAGAGGGCGTCACAGAGACCAACGTGCCAGTTGCCTGTGCTCAGCCACCTCCCTGCTTGGGGTGTTGCCAGGAGACGAGCCCCCAGCAGCAGCAGCAAGCAGCCCTGCCGTCTGATCCGGTTGTAGCAGCTGTCGACCCAGTTGTAGCAGCTGTCGACCCAGTTGTTATAGCAACTGACCCAATTGTAGAAGCAACATACCCGGTTGTAGCGGCCACCGATCGAGCGATAGCAGTTGCTGAACCAGTTGTAGCAGGCGCCAATCCGGTTGTAGCAGGGAGCACGTCTGCTGCAGCAGCAGTAGCGGGTATCCCCCAGGCAGGTGTTTTCCCTCAGCAGCAAGCCAAGCAGCCGGATCCACCTGTAGCAGCACTTTCTGCCGCTGTGCCTCAATCTGATCCAGCTGTAGCAGCACGTTCTGCCGCTGTGCCTCAATCTGATGCAGCTGTAGCAGCACTTGCTGATATCCAGCTGCCACCAGGGTTCACAGAGAGCGAGGCTGCAGATACACCTGCATCTCACCATGATCCGACAGTAGCGGCTGTTGATCCCATGGCGTCACAGCCCAATCCGGCTGTAGCAGCACTCTCAGATCTAGCACTGCCGCCAGGGTTCTCAGAGGGCGAGGCGGCAACAGAGCACTTCACACCCCCATCCGACCCTCCTGTGGACACCCTCGACCCCCTCGTGGAAACCCAAAACCCCTTTGCTGACACCCTGAACCCTCTTGTTGGCGCCATAGAAACCGTGCTGGGGGGAACCAGGGATGAGGGCGAACAGGTGGGGGGAGCAGCAGAGGGGAGAGCAGCAGAAGGGGGAGCAGCAGAGGGGGGAGCAGCAGAAGGGAGAGCAGCGGAGGGGGGAGCAGCAGAAGGGGGAGCAGCGGAGGGGGGAGCAGCAGAAGGGGGAGCAGCGGAGGGGGGAGCAGCAGAAGGGGGAGCAGCGGAGGGGGGAGCAGCAGAAGGGGGAGCAGCAGAGGGGGGAGGTGGGGAGGGAACCGGAGGAGGGGGAGGAGAGGTGGGAGGGGTAGGGCAAGGACGGGGGGATGGTGATGGGAAATGGGAGGGCTCAGCTGGGGTAGGGGAAGGTTCAGCTGGGGGAGGGGGCGGTACAGCTGGGGCGGAAGCAGAATTGGTGTCAGCATCCGGTGAAGGTGGTGCTGATGCTGGGGGGCAAAGGCCGGTGGTAGGTCCTGCTGCAGACAGCCAAGGAAGCGGGCTGAAAGACGCCAGTAGCAGAATTGAGTCCAACAAAGAGGAGGGAGAGGAGGAACTGGTGCCGGGGTCGAAGCCCGGGCTCAAGCATGGGTTGGGCGAGGTGCCACAGGAGGGGGGGGTGCACGCGATGGTGGCTCCTGGCAGCATGGTGGCGCCTGCCTATGAGCACATGCGCCAGCCTGGCATGGATGTGACTCTAGCGGGTGTGCTTGCAGCGAGGGAGCCGTCAGAGCAGGCAGGAATGACTGTGGATGAGCAGGGGCTGGGCTCCCTGGGCTTTAAGACATCCTCTCTGGAGGGGCTGGGCCTGGAACAGGGGCTGGGCTTTAAGCTGGGGCTTGCTGCCACGCATGGGGCAGCAGCAGGGGGACTGCTTGGCAGGTCAGCGTGTCTACCACATGTGAGCGCGCTGCCAGGTGTGCAGCATGCAGTGTCAGTGGCGCCAGAGCTGCACCAAGCCATCTCCTCCTCGCCTCCACCTCCCACCCCCCTCCCTCCCACTGCACTCCCCTCCTACCATACCAGCATCATGCCTCCCCTAGCAGCAGCAGGTGCCATGGAGACCACTGCACCTGTCCCTGCCCCCCCTTCCCCCCCTTCCCCCGCCCCTGCACTCGCTCCGCCCACAGCTACCCAGGTGAATCCCATTGGTATCAGTGCCCTTCCTTCCACCACCCCTGCCCTCACACCATCCACAGCTGCCCACATGAAACCTGCACCTGTCACTGCCACCCCGTCATCCCCCCATACAGTCACACCATCCACAGCTGCCAAGGTTGAACCTGCACTTGTCACTGCCCCCCCTTCGTCCCCTCATACAGTCACACCTTCTGCTACTGCCCCCTCAGCTACAGAAGGGCGTGAGGATGTGCACATTGAGCCTGTGGGGCGTGACTGTAACGAGATGCAGGTCAAGATTGCAGCAGGGGGGAGCAAGGAGGTGGTTGTTTGGCATGGCAGTGACAATAACGAGGGAATCTCTGTGGAAGTCAGTTCGGGGAGAGTGAGAGTAGGGATAAAGGATGGAGATATGGTTAGAGTGGTGACTAAGGATTGAGTGGATGAAGTTGTGTCAGCATGGGGGGAGAAGGGTGGGTATGTAGTAATTAGAGGTTGAATTTGGTGGTGGTGAGGTAGTTTCTCTTGTTGGGACTCTCATTAGCTGCCCTGACAGGTTGTTGCGAATTTAAAGCTCGGTTGCACAATTCAACCCAGGAATAGGCGCGATTCAAGGCTTGGGTGAGAAACGATTTCAAGAGTTTGATTTATATAATAATGAGCAACAGGCTAACAGCCCAGCTGTAACAAAAGAATAGGCCTGATCACAGGCCTGTTACAATACAGATGCACGCTTTGGCGCATGATCAAATCAGCCCACCGAATCAAACCCACCAGATCACACCATCCTCGCTACAAGCACCTCAGTGAAGCGCGTCTAGTTGAGGGGCTCCATGGGGAACTCCTCGACGGGGCTCAGCTGCTTGGCGCGGCGGTACTCGGTGTGCGCGCAGTCCACGGCCAGCACGGAGCTCGACTCGTACGACCGGGGAGTGCCGTCCAGGAACCCAACGCCCTCCTCGCTGTCGGACGAGATCGGACGGTGCAGGTTCGCGATCAGCTTCTGGAAGTTGGCGGCGCGCGCCGCGTGGTCTGGGCGGTAGGTTTGGCCGAGCACGCCGTGCACGTCGTCGGTGTGCTCCAGCTCCACGATTCCCACGTTGATGTGCGCCTCCGCGTCGTTTGGCGTCTGCAGCTTCGGGTTGGCCACGCGCAGCCTCAAGTCGAGAGCCACCAGCCCCTCGATGCTGAGCGTGTAGTAGTCCACGTCATACGGCCCCTCCTTCTCGAGCGCAGCGAACCGCAGGGTGAGCCCGCCCTCGGATGTCACCTCGTCGCCGACGTTCATCCTCGGGATCTCCTCGCCGTCGATCTCGATCGTCTTCATGAACCCGTCGCCGCGCTCCTGCTGCTTGCCGCCGCGGGCCGCCAGGCGCAGCTTGTGGTCGGCGCCCTTGGCGAACCACACGAGGCCGAGCTCCTTGATCCACGTGTGCACGGCCTTGCCGTCCACCACAAGCGCCGCGTTGTCGGTGTCGTCGGAGTAGTACCCGCGAAGCAGCATGTTCACATGGAGGTCCTTGTCGGAGAGAAGGCAGAACGCCTTGTCGGGGCGGCCGTTGAAATCGAAGTGGGTGCCGAACGCGCCGACCAGATGCGGGTCATTGACGACATTCGCGCGCGGGTTGCACTCGCCGCCCGTGCGCACCTGCAGATGCACGGGTTTCGTCTCCGTCGCATACTGCGCGGTGAGCTCGCCGCACGTGTAGTCGATGTCGTCGTGAACAAGGTAGCACGCGCCGTCGGACTTCTTGCCGTCGATGGTGATGTCGGGGATGTACTGCCAGTACGTGCAGCTCTTGTACGACGCGCACGTGTTGCAGCACGTCTGGGGAGACGCCTTCTTGAGAGTGAGCGGATTCCCCTTCACGTAGACCTCCACGCCGAGCTTGTTCTTGAGCAGGTTGGACGTCTTCCACTTGGCGGGGATGCCGCCCTTGCTGCAGTTGGCGGGCGTGCACGCGCCTTGCCCGGGCGCGCCGAGGTCCTTGTGGCACTTCATGGCGTTCCACCCGGCCTTCTTCACGTCCACCATCAGCATGGAGTCCGTGCTCGGGCTCACCACGGTCGTCCCCTCGAACTTGTCCAGGTTACCCGCCGCCGCCTCCTTCTCGATGTTGCTGGGGACTTCTGTCGCGACGCCATTCGAGCCAAGGGCCTTAACGAGGGAGACCGAGGGGTTGCTGGGGCCTGTGGTGACGGTTTCTGCTGAGGCGGACACTAGGAGGACTGCTAGTGACGCTAGGAGTAAAAGCCGCGCCATGGTTCTGGAATTGAAGTCCCACAGATGACGAGGAATAGCCGAACTGTTAAGGAGAATGTATAATCTGCTATTGGTATGAACCCGCTGCTAACTTCTGATCTGCCTGGTTTGTCGAGCAGCAGGTTCATATACTAGAAGGTCCTCGCTGCTTCGGCTTGGCTTTGCCTCAATGTTGGAAATTGTTGAGGGAGGGAAGCTTGTGAGAATTGCCAGTCGCGACGCAGGAGGCGGGGCGGCCGAATCGCGCTCAGGCTAGTTATGCACTACAGAACAAAATTTTACCAAACGAAGGCTCAGGAAGGAAAACCGAACTTTACTGGAACAGGTTTGGCCCACGCAGGTAGTTCTGAAACCCACCTGATCATGCGTCCAAGATGGTGAGACACGAAGCGCAGGGAGCTAGTTGTGTTCACCCTGAGCGTGCTCCTGACATCGCGAGGCATCGCGAGTCGCGACCTGCACCAGGTGTATTCTGTGAGTGCATCCCGAACTGATCCGACATGCCAAATTGCAGAAGTACTCGCTACTGCGCAACGCGGCGGGAAAATTTCTGCCGCGGACTGTCCACGAAACTTTTCATACTTTCGTGGACAAGCCCTACTTTCATGGACACCACATCAAAGTTTTGCTTCTCCTGTGGACTCCGTCAATACTTTCGTGGACTCCCGGCTTACTTCCATGGACACACCCATATTCGCAGTTAAAAAGGAGTACTCAGCAATGTACAAGTGATTACGGGCACAAAAATCGAGATACTCCAGAATATCTGTCCGTCGCAAGTAATCGCGAGCTACAGTGTCGGAAACCAGTTCTGAAACAGAATCTCGGAGCTTTTCTGGAAAGAGTTTGCAGCCGCACTCAAATATGCAGTGAATTTTCGAAAACAGGGTGTATTAGGGTCCGCGTGGTAAAAACACTTATTATTCAACTCAGAGCTACCCAACAAAACATAATATGCACGTGCTTGACGAGCCAGCATCAACCAGCAGTTGTTTTCTCCTTCATAATAAATAATTTCATTATTAGTAATTCTGTGAAAAAAAACACCTAAGAAATATAATTTTTAGAATCACTTGTTTTAATTCGCATTAGTATGTTTCTCGTTCAAAAATAAAAAAACATATTCCCAAAAACGTGAATCTAAAATACTTGTATCATTTTCTCATCTATTATTATTTTACTATATACCGAAAGTTTAATCATAATACAATCAAGACGTGAAACCTTCCATTTATATAGTCATGTTCACCAAACGTTATTGGTATTCTGAGATTTCACATCTTAGTTGAAAATGCAAGCCAAATACTAGTTGAAATATTTGTAAATGCCAGAATTCATGGTATTCCTGATTCTTGGTAGGCAGAGATTTTTAATGAGCTCTATTAATCTTGTAAGCGTAATATCTATCTTTATTCTACAACGTGATTTTATTGTAGCGATATTTCACCAGGTCGGTCTGCTACACTTATCGTTCAACTAAAAGCGCTTCGTGACAGTCATTCAAATGAATTTTGAGGATCGCTTCAGAGTTTCTTTAAACACGCGAAACAGCTAGCGGACTTGGTGGCTTGAAAATACTGTAGCTTGCGACTATTTGCGAGGGACTTGATTACGCCTAATTTTGCTTTTTTTCTCCTGTCAGCATCTGTACAGTTCTGTATGTTTTTTTTGTTTCAAACTCGCGTGTGTCCATGGAAGTAAGCCTGGAGTCCACGAAAGTATTGACGGAGTCCACGGGAGATGTGAAAGTTTGATGTGGTGTCCATGAAAGTAGGGCCTGTCCACGAAAGTATGAAAAGTTTCGTGGACAGTCCGCGGCAGCAATTTTCCCCAACGCGGCGCTCTCTAGCCCTCGTCCGCTGAACAGCGCAACAATGGTAGGTTGCCAAGGAAATAGCAGTCAATGTGCTTCAAAGAACGTTGTTCCACAAATGATTGCCCTCATTCTTTGTTCGGGTCTTGTTTACATTCTTTTTGGTTTCCTTGTTTGGCAGTGTGTCCTTTCCAGGTGATATCATTCCATCACTCCCACATGCAATGCGTTGTTCAATATTCGCCCAAGTTGAGGGCAACAAATCCAGCCAGCAGCCTGCCATTGGTGGATCTGAGCTCGTTGATCAGACGGCTCCAATTAGATCCCAGAGATCCAACGAACACGTCGCAGTGAGCAGCAATAAGTAAGCTAGCAAAGCTGACTGCCACCGACTGCTCACTGTCATATGCCCGCAGGTCCTCTTCGTGCTGCTGTTGTTGCTGCTGCTGTTGCTCCTTTGGCTGAGGCTGTTGATGTGCTGACATGTCTCCTTGGCGTGAATTGGTGGAATAGAAGAAAGTCCAATCGGGGTGGAGTGACGTGGCATCAATGACAGACTGGACAGTCAGGGAGGGTGCGGGGATGAAAGGGGAAATGCGTGCGGGGGGGAGGGTGCGGGGATGAAAAGGAGAATGTGTGTGGGGAAAGAGAGGGTGCGGCAATAAAGGTGGGGGTGGGGAGAGGAGGCAAGCAGATAGGGTTATCCAGTCTCAGACTGCCTGGACGTTTGGGTATATTAGCCTCTAAGTACCTGGGTGTTTGGGTGAATTAGACTCAGTGTACCTGGGTGTCAGGTAACATATCGACATACCTGTGCTTCGGTGTTCAGCCAGACGAATTGAAGGTTAGGGAGGGACCTCTTGAGTCTGTGGGGGAAGGGCATGCGCACAAGGAAGGAGCGGAAAGTGAGCAAAAAAAAACAAGTCTTGAGGTACTGTAGATTAAGATGGATTTATAAATGTGAAAACACAATATAGCTTCCAAATTACCAGAGCCAGAATTCACCTCAGCAAACATCACCAGAGAGAGCAATCACCCGAGAGAGATATCACCTGAGTGAGAAATCACTTGAGGGAGAAATCACCAGAGTGAGAAATCACCTGAGTGAGAAATCACCAGAGTGAGAAATCACCTGAGCAGGAGGAACATGTGGGAGTGGAAGGAAGCGAGGCGCATCTCCCTGCCCTTGTCCGTCTGCCGCACGTGCAGGCTCACCATGCCGCGTGGCACATGCACCTCCCCCCCCACCATCCTGTATGCCTCCTCCGCCCCTAACTCCCCTCCTCCCCTGCTGCTGCTGCTGCCGCCGCCGCCGCTGCTGCTGCTGGCACCTGCATCGCAGCTATAATGTGAGCAAAAAGCTACTGGGAAGCCCCGTGTTGTCCAGACAGTGGATGCGAGAGTGCGCACGGGAGGAGGCGCCTCTGCTTCCACCACCCGCGCTGATTCTCCCGTTGATTCTCCCATTGATTCTCCCGTTGATTCTCCAACGGTCTCTGGTGGCAATAAGGGAGAAGAAAGAGGTGGCGATGCTCCAACTGCTAGGAGCTGAGGTGGTTCCGGGGGCGATGCAGGTGCTGGCGCTGGTGGTTTTGCAGAAAGAAAGGACGAAGGGAAGGACGAAAGGGAGGAGGAAGAGTCAGAGGGGGGGAGGCCAGAGGGAGAGAGAGGGAGAGAGGGAGAGGAATCTCCCATGGCGGACAGCAGGGCGAAGTCGGCCTCACTGACGGCGTTGCTGGCAGTGAGGGGCCGCAGGAAGGCGGACTGGGTCGGGGCGAACGTTGCCAGCTGATTGGCCACCAGCGGCCCGAAGGCCGCGTGCCGCTGCTGGTTGCTGACGTGGCAGAGGTGCGCGGAGGGCCAGCGCATCATGAAGCGCGTCGCCTGCGCCCGCCACCAGTGGGTCTGGTGGGATGAGGACAGCAGAGGTGGCGAAATCACTACCAATCACTACCTATCACTACCTGTCGCATGCGTCCCTTTGATTTACTTCCCGGATGGATTCGTCAAACCACAACCATACCCGCCACCATACCCTCACCATACCCGCCACCATACCCTCACCATACCCGCCTCCATATACCCTCACCATACCCTCACCATGCTCTCACCATGCTCTCACCATGCTCTCACCATGCTCTCACCATGCTCTCACCATGCTCTCACCATGCTCTCACCATGCTCTCACCATGCTCTCACATGCTCTCACCATGCTCTCACCATGCTCTCACCATGCTCTCACCATGCTCTCACCATGCTCTCACCATGCTCTCACCATGCTCTCACCATGCTCTCACCATGCTCTCACCATGCTCTCACCATGCTCTCACCATGCTCTCACCATGCTCTCACCATGCTCTCACCATGCTCTCACCATGCTCTCACCATGCTCTCACCATGCTCTCACCATGCTCTCACCATGCTCTCACCATGCTCTCACCATGCTCTCACCATGCTCTCACCATGCTCTCACCATGCTCTCACCATGCTCTCACCATGCTCTCACCATGCTCTCACCATGCTCTCACCATGCTCTCACCATGCTCTCACCATGCTCTCACCATGCTCTCACCATGCTCTCACCATGCTCTCACCATGCTCTCACCATGCTCTCACCATGCTCTCACCATGCTCTCACCATGCCTCTCACCATGCTCTCACCATGCTCTCACCATGCTCTCACCATGCTCTCACCATGCTCTCACCATGCTCTCACCATGCTCTCACCATGCTCTCACCATGCTCTCACCATGCTCTCACCATGCTCTCACCATGCTCTCACCATGCTCTCACCATGCTCTCACCATGCTCTCACCATGCTCTCACCATGCTCTCACCATGCTCTCACCATGCTCTCACCATGCTCTCACCATGCTCTCACCATGCTCTCACCATGCTCTCACCATGCTCTCACCATGCTCTCACCACCCCCATGCTCTCACCATGCTCTCACCATGCTCTCACCATGCTCTCACCATGCTCTCACCATGCTCTCACCATGCTCTCACCATGCTCTCACCATGCTCTCACCATGCTCTCACCATGCTCTCACCATGCTCTCACCATGCTCTCACCATGCTCTCACCATGCTCTCACCATGCTCTCACCATGCTCTCACCATGCTCTCACCATGCTCTCACCATGCTCTCACCATGCTCTCACCATGCTCTCACCATGCTCTCACCATGCTCTCACCATGCTCTCACCATGCTCTCACCATGCTCTCACCATGCTCTCACCATGCTCTCACCATGCTCTCACCATGCTCTCACCATGCTCTCACCATGCTCTCACCATGCTCTCACCATGCTCTCACCATGCTCTCACCATGCTCTCACCATGCTCTCACCATGCTCTCACCATGCTCTCACCATGCTCTCACCATGCTCTCACCATGCTCTCACCATGCTCTCACCATGCTCTCACCATGCTCTCACCATGCTCTCACCATGCTCTCACCATGCTCTCACCATGCTCTCACCATGCTCTCACCATGCTCTCACCATGCTCTCACCATGCTCTCACCATGCTCTCACCATGCTCTCACCATGCTCTCACCATGCTCTCACCATGCTCTCACCATGCTCTCACCATGCTCTCACCATGCTCTCACCATGCTCTCACCATGCTCTCACCATGCTCTCACCATGCTCTCACCATGCTCTCACCATGCTCTCACCATGCTCTCACCATGCCCTCACCATGCCCTCACCATGCTCTCACCATGCTCTCACCATGCTCTCACCATGCTCTCACCATGCTCTCACCATGCTCTCACCATGCTCTCACCATGCTCTCACCATGCTCTCACCATGCTCTCACCATGCTCTCACCATGCTCTCACCATGCTCTCACCATGCTCTCGTTGGCCGTCATGCCTTGCATCTGCCCCCAGTGCTCCACCGTGGGGGGTATGGAGAGATAGGGGGCGCCCCACAGGCTGGAGAAGGGGGGATGGGGGGTTTCGGGGGGGTTGGGGGGGTTGGGGGGGATTGGGGGAGAGCGGGAAAAGAGGAAGTCAAGGGAAGTAAGTGACACACCCCAATGCTCTACCGTCGGGGTTGTGGAGAGATAATGTGTGAATGAGTCAATTTTTGATTCGACTCAAAAATCGACTCATTACACACGGGGCTGTGGAGAAATACTGGCCACCCCAAAGCCTGCAGAGGGTGGGGGGAGGGGGTAGCAGGGGGCGAAGGGGGGGAGGGGGAATGGCGGAACATCAAAGGAGAGATAAGGGGATCATATCTGCCCCCAGTGCTCCACCGTGGGGGGTGTGGAGAGATAGGGGGCGCCCCAGAGACTGCTTAAGGTGGGGGGAAGAATGGAGGGGCAACAGGTAGGAGAGGCATCCACACCCACCTGGCAAGGGCAGGCGGATCCAATGAAGGTGTGCCCTCCACCCCACGCCACCCCAACCCACCACCACACACACACACACACACTGTCGCCCCCACACACTCACAGTGGAGGGTGGGGGGAGGAGGTTCTGGAGAGGGGGGGGGCGGGGGAAGGAGGTTTTGGAGGGGGGGAGCGGGAGGTACATAGGGAAGATGCGCACCCACACCCATCTGGCAAAGGCAGGCGGAACGAAGGGAACGAGGAGGTGCCCCCCATCACACTCACACTCACACTCGCTCACACTTGCACGCACACTCACACGCTAACACACACACTCACACTCCTGGCAGACTCACCTGGCGGCCTCACTGCTGTGCGCCATGAACAGCTCTCCCAGCTGCTGCTGCTCCACACACAAAATCGGTGCCTCCGACGCTGCTGCTGCACTGAAGCCCCTTGAGACACATGCCGGCATGGCGCGAATAGACAGGGCGCGAATAGACAGGGCGCGAATAGACAGGGCGCGAATAGACAGGGCGCAAATAGACAGGGCGCGAATAGACAGGGCGTGTCACTGTGAGACTCACCTGGCGGCCTCGCTGCCCTGCGCCATGAACAGCTCCCCCAACTGCTGCTGCTCCACACACACTATGGTTGCCTCAGAAGCCGCTGCCGCACTGAAGCCCCTCGAGGCACATGCCGGCATGGCGCGGCTGGCCAGGGCTTGTTGCACTCGGTGGGTGCAGTCAGCGGAGGCGATGGGGAAGTAGAAACACTCCCAGTCGCCCCGCTGGCCGAGGCCTAGTGAGGGCGAGGAAGTGAGGGATGGTAGGGAGGGGGGTGGGTGGAGAGGGGGGGTGGAGTGAGCACACGCAGGCATCGTACGGCTAGTTAGTGAGGGCTTGTTGGACTCGCAGGGTGCAATCAGGGGAGGCGATGGGGAAGAAGAAACACTCCCAGGCGCCCTGCTGGCCGAGGTCTGGAAGGGGAGTTGGGGGAGGGAGACGGGGTGGGAAAGCGGAGGAGGAGGGGCGAGTGGGCGTTGGGCAGTAGTGCACATGCACCGATGCCCTGGTGCACATGATGGGATGGGGTGCACATGGTGGGATGGGGTGCATATGGTGGGATGGGGTGCACATGATGGGATGGGGTGCACATGGTGGGATGGGGTGCACATGGTGGGATGGGGTGCATATGGTGGGATGGGGTGCACATGATGGGATGGGGTGCACATGGTGGGATGGGGTGCACATGGTGGGATGGGGTGCACATGATGGGATGGGGTGCACATGGTGGGATGGGGTGCACATGGTGGGATGGGTGCACATGGTGGGATGGGGTGCACATGGTGGGATGGGTGCACATGGTGGGATGGGTGCACATGGTGGGATGGGGTGCACATGGTGGGATTGGCCGGCTCGAATTTGGCTCGCCATGAAATTTGCGGCGAGTCGAGCCGAGCCGCGCGGCTAGACCGGCTCGACCCGGCTCGACTCGGGTCGAGCCGGCCAAAAAAAAATCCTGGCTCGACTCGCCAAAAAGGCGAGTCGAGTCGAGCCGAGTCGAGCCAGGCTCGGCATGCTGCCCATGTCTAACTCACGCCTCCCGTTGGCTTGACTCAGTCCTCAGGCCTATCGTTCTGAAGCAGTCGACTTATGTTAAGGACTCCCAGAGCCTTATCTTGCAACTGGAGCAGCGTGTTTTTTCTAACAAACATTCTTTTACCGTCGTATGACGTGGAGTCACTCTACCCGTCAATCCCGCTATGGGATGGCATCGATGCAGTCGCTTGTTTTCTTCAGAAAGAACGACATCCTTTGGCTCCGCTCATTACTCGTCTACTTCACTGGGTTATGTTCAACAGTTATGTCTCTTTTAACGGCCGTTTTTTCTGGCAAATTCAAGGAACGGCTATGGGGACATCCGTTGCAATCTGTTTCGCGGTTCTGTTTCTGAGTTTTCTGGATCTTCAACTGCACGCCTCGCTCAGAACTTCGCCCGCTCTTCACCTTCGCTTCATTGACGATGGTTTGATTTTGTGGGAAGGAACGAGGGAGGATTTCGACTGCATGAAACGACGATTCGACACCCTTCATCCTTCAATTCGGTTGACATGGGTGATTTCATAAACTTCTATGGATTTTCTGGATCTTACGGTCTTTAAAGGACAAAGGTTTCAAGACTCCGGCGTTCTGGATCTGAAGTTGTTTCAGAAGCCGATGAATCGGTACCTTTACCTACCGTTCAAGTCTTATCACACTCGGTCTACAAAACTGGGTTTTATCCGGAGTGAGCTACGAAGATTTCTTCTGCGCTCCTCTTCGCGAGCTGACTTCTTTAATTCCCGCGCACGTTTCTTCGCTCGCCTTAGAGCTTGTGGGTACCCGGAAATTTTTTTACTGCCGGTGTTTAAGTCGGTTTCCTGCGCTAACCGTGGGGAATTTCTTCAACGCGCCTCTTCCATTCAATCTTCTGCGAACCGTGGCCCCCTGGTGCTGAAACTTCTTCTCAACCCTCTGGTTGACCATTCGCGCCTGGGGAACGTTTTGAGTCGACTCAATAGTAATCCCGCTACAATGTCACACGGAATTTTCGCTTCAAGAAGAACCATTCTCGCTTGGAGGCTGCCAAAGAGCGTTGGAAATTTTCTAATTTCTGCTCATAGGTGTTAGAACTACAGTAGATTTTTTACTGCTCTTTTTAAATTTCTTTTCCCTTGCCTCGTCGAGACCCCGCAGAGGAATGCCTCGCGAGGAGTCCTCTAGATTGGCATTTATAGGTTGGCTAGCTTGCTTATTTCTTTGTGGTCTGAAGAAGGCTCTCGAGCCGAAACCGGTTACCATCAATTTCTATTTGCTGCCACGTAAAGACCTATGGCACCCAAGTGGTGTTCACTCGCCTCACTAGGCACACCCTGGCCGGTGCGGTCTCTAAGGGAAGAGCGCACCTTAGAGGGGGGGACTCACCTTGACAGCTCTGGTCGAGCGCGCGGTCGAATTGGCCGGGCCAGGGGACGAAGGTGCGGTTGTGAGCCATGGCAATGCTTAGATAAGCTCCGGCTAGATGCACCTGCACCAATACAGGAAAAAAACGGCATTTTTTTATCAGAACTGGCCTCTTTTCTCACACACGAATCCATCTGATGAGATGTGAAAATCAACCTGAAGATAAACTTGATATTCCTGAACCCACCTGAGGCCCTGACTTCACCTGACCACCACCCACCTGAGAATCCAGCTGACCAATCACCTGAGACCCCAAGCCGTGGCGAACGCCTGGCCACCACCGAGCCACCAGCAGGCGCCTTCCATCACACCCCGCTCCTATTCGCTGGCTCTCCCAGATGTCTCTCTGTGCGACACGTGTCAATGGCAGGTTGTCCACGTCAGCACCCCTCACCCACGGCGGCCAAGGCCCCTCCCCACACCCCTCCCCTCCCCTTTCCCCCGCCCCTTGAGCCGCTCCCCCCCGTCCCCGTGCCCACAAGGGCGGCTCATCCCCTGGTCCGCGCGCCTCTGAAGCATGGCGCCAGGCAGTGCGCGCGGAGCAGTCCTCCAGGTGGGGCGCGGGGGGGACGGCGGGCGGAAAGGGGAGCGGGGAGGGCGGGGGAAGCAGGGACGAGGCGTTGTCTAGCCCGTAGATCCGCGCCCACTCCTGGGGGTGGCGGGAGACGGGGCAAGGAGGCGGTGGGCGGGGGAAGAAGCGCGGAAGGAGATGAAGGGGAAGTAAGAGGGTAGTGCGGGGGCAGTGAACGGGTGGCGGAAAGGAATTTGTAACTGGGAGGCTTATACCGCGTACAGCTCTTTCGCGCGCTCTTTGATCTCTTCCCCGTTAAGTGCCAACAACTTCCGCCCGCCTTCGGCCAATCCCCCGCCATTCTCCCCCGGGCGTGGGTATCCCCCGTCAATTCCCCTCGAGACGGCTGTAGCGGCTTCTACAACCCACGCCACGACCAGCACCAGCGGCAATCGCGGCGTACGCGCTATAGTCCCTCGGAACAAAGCCATGTGAACGAGTTGCCGCGCATAGTCAAGTCGCCGCGCTCTGAACCTCAGAAAACCGTCCGCTCGCTCAAGCGCAATCGCAATCGCGTGCTGCTTGCTGAATGCTGGGTGTGGGAAAGGGAGCAGGAGGGGAGTGACGAGTGATGAGTGAAAGGTGGGAATGAAACGAGAAAAAATCATTATATGAATATCATGAATATCAGAAGTGTTTCGCTAACAGAAACGCGGAGAACGCAAAAGGCAAGGTGGTGGGGCTCAGCGGGGATGAATGGCGAAAGCTGCACGAATCGACGAAAAGCTCGTTACTGGTCTACCACCTTCATCTGCCAACATCTGCGGCAAGCTTCCCATCTTCACGATTTTACAATATTTCGTTACTTGGACTTGCCAGAACATAATATTTCCGCCGGTTCACTTCTCCCTCCCTCCCTCCTCCTCGTCCGCAATTCCCTCCAACCACAGAAACGCCCTCATCTGTGCCATGGTTCGCATCGGGACTGCCCAGTGCCCACGCATCCTCCTCGTTCGTCGTGGGTGGCTCACCATGATCCCTCCCTCCCTCGTCAAGCACTTGAACCATCCAGTCTTCATCGAAGCATCAGAGCTTCCTCCTCTCTCGCAGCATCGATTTCCGCTTCGTATTGTCTCGCTGCTTCTCCGATTGGACGTATCAGTCGCTTCCCGCTTCCTCTCCGTCGATTTTCCACTTCCTGCTCTTTCCTCTCCCTATCAGTCGCCGTCGATCTGCAGTGGGTCGAATTAAGAACCACCTAGAGGCCATGGCCACTCCTTTTACAAGTAGCACCGAGGCCGATGCTGCCGTCGCTGATCGCAGCCGCTATGCGTCAATCCCCATCGACTTACTGCTCAACGTGTTCCGTCGTCTCGCGCGACGTCCACCTCCTTTTTCCGCCGCTCGTACCGACCACCAGCACCAGCAGCACCAACAGCTCTCTCCCACTGCCACGTCATCCCCCGATGCATCCCGCAACGCATCACGCAACTCATCCCCCTCACAATCTCATCACCTCGTGTCTTGCCGGTGGCTGCGACTCGCGTGCCTCGCAACCACGTCTCTCCACCTTACGCGACGTCGACTTGACGGAAGAGTCTCGACGTCGCAGCTCGTCAGCACCGTTTGGTGCTTCCCGAACCTCACGTCGGTCCACATCGACACTTCCGGAGCCGATCTTATAACGGACGCTGCCTTAGCGGAGATCGCGGCTGCGTGCCCCCGACTCGAGCGCCTTTCGCTGTTTCCCGGCCTTTCTAATGATCTGCACGACCTTCCTAATTATCTGCACGATCAAGAGCCTACTCATCAGTGCGACCATGTGCGCGATAATGATCCTCACACGTGGACGTCCCACGGCCTGGACTCGCTCTTCCAAGCCTGCACGCGCCTGGAGGAGCTCGCCCTAGACTGCCCTCCCACCGTCTCCGCTCTCCCCGCAACCATCTCTACGTTGACCGCCCTTGCACCACATCCCTGAAGCGGTCAGCTCTCTGCACGCTCTGGAGTTTCTCTCCCTGCAAGCACCGCCGCTGCTCACATCCCTCCCCAGCAGCCTGGGCGGGCTCTCCACTCTGCGGCACCTGGAGCTGGTGAGCAGCAGGGGATTGTCCTCCGTGCCTGACACGAGGGTTTCGTGCCTCGGGGGGTAATCGCCTGCGCTCACTCCCTGACTCACTCTGCTGCTGCACTTCCCTGACCGCTCTGGACCTCTCTCTACCGCATCTGGCCCAATTGCCTTAGAAGATCGGCGATCTGGAGAGTCTCCGCCGCCTTGCCCTGTTTCAGCTGGTTGTATCCTCATGAGCTACCTGCGTCTTTCACGCAGCTTTCCTCCCTAGAGGAATTAAATCTAGCCGTGCGGCTTCAGCAGCTGCCTGAAGCGTTCGAGAATCTGACCAATCTGCGGAGGCTGACGCGGAGTCGCTGCCCGGAGCTGACTCACTTGCCCGCCTCTCTGCTGCAGCTCTCCCTTCTCGAACGCCTGGTGATCTCTGGGTGCCACCACAGGTTTTCTCCGCCCGAGATAATAGGGCAGATGTCCGCACTCACCCATCTGGATGTGTCTAACCTAAGGAGGCTTCCCACGTCCATTGGCCAGCTGCAGCAGCTACAATCGCTTACACTCAGTGGCTATGGCTACCTTGACTGGCTGCCAGACTGCTTATCTCAGCTTCATGCGTTGAAGACGCTCGCGCTTTTCCGCTGCGAAAGGCTCTCCTCCCTCCCTGCAGGCATCGGCAATCTGACGAGCCTTGAGGAGCTCGCTTTTGAGTCGACTCAAAAGTCACCTTGAGGAGCTCGCTCTTGGCGAATGCCCGACCATCAAGCACCTGCATCGCTGCGAATGCCGGGCCATCAAGCACCTGCATCGGTGCGAATGCCCGGCCATCAAGCACATGCATCGGTGCGAATGCCCGGCCATCAAGCACCTGCATCGCTGCGAATGCCCGGCCATCAAGCACCTGCATCGGTGCGAATGCCCGGCCATCAAGCACCTGCATCGCTGCGAATGCCCTGCCATCAAGCCCCTGCATCGCTGCGAATGCCCAGCCATCAAGCACCTGCATCGCTGCGAATGCCCGGCCATCAAGCACCTGCATCGCTGCGAATGCCTGGCCATCAAGTGCCTGCATCGCTGCGAATGCCCGGCCATCAAGCGCCTGCATCGCTGCGAATGCCCTGCCATCAAGCACCTGCATCACTGCGAATGCCCGACTTTGTTCACTGCCTGTCCCTCCGACACATCTGCATCCGAGATTGTGCTGGCCTCAAGTACTTGCCAGGTGAGATTCAGCATCTTGTGGTGGCTGGGGGAAGAGGAGGAGAATGAGAAGAAGGCGAGGGTTGACCTGGTGTGATAGGCTTTAGAGAACTCTCAACTCTCTCCATCGCATCTCCATGGGGGATTGCGATGAGATTCAGCAACTGGTGGCTGGGGGAAGAGAAGGAGAAGGATAAGGAGAGGATTGATAGATGTGGTGGAGGAGATACAGACAAAGTTGACTTGAGCAGCTAGATGAGATGGTGGTGGTGGAGGGGGTAGGGTTCTCCAGAGCTAGGTGCTGGAGGGGATGGTGATGCTGGTGGTGGCTGCTGCTAGAAACAGTCTGCAGCTGATGATGGTTGTTTCATATCGTCCATGGGTTATTTCTCCCTCCAAGGAATTGAGGATGGACTCGAGCAGGTGGCAGGTCCGCTACCAGCTAGTATAACAAAGCATAGGAATTAACACTGGCTCAAATACAAGCCGATATTACTCAAAGAAGTGGTTGCTGGCAGCCATGCCAGCTGCGGCTACAGCCATCACAAGAACAATTTTCTTCCTGTTTTCTTTCAATCGATCCACCAAGGACTTGGAATTAATTGTCTTATCCGACCCTGGTGTGCCACTCGCATCAGCTCCACTGGATATGCCTGCAATAAAAGGTAAACATCCATCATGAAAAAAAGGAGACAATTGTGAAGGAGTGCCACCAAGCAAGCACCACCACAACGAGAAGCATGCAGATGATCGTACGGCAATGCTTGAACAAAACAGCGGCAGACTGTCAACGGGCTCACCAGCAGGGGAAGCAGTGGAAGCAGTGGAAGCAGTGGAAGCAGGGGAGAATCGTCTCACCAGCAGGGGAAGCAGTGGAGGGGCGGTATCGGAGGGTGTTGAAGAGCGAGCCTAGAACCACAGCGAGCAGCGTGCAGGTGAGCGTGATGACGTTGTATGGCATGCTCAGGTCCGGTAGAGGCAAGGGGACAACCACTGGCGGTGCGTACATGTGGCTTGGGCCATGGGGGTCCTGCTATGTATGCGGGGGGGAGAGAAAGGGAGCATGAGCATTTCAATGAGGGGGATGGCGTTGTAGGGCATGCTGAGGTCCGGTAAAGGTAGTGGCACCAGCACTGGAGGCGCGTACATGTGGCTTGGGCCGCGGGGGTCCTGAAGTGGGTGGGGGGAAGGGAGGAGAGGTTGAGAGCATGTGCATGGAATGCAAGCATGCATGCATGTGCACATGTGTCTGTGCATGCATGCATGCATGTGCACTGCACATGTGTCTGTACATTGCATGTCCACATGTGTCTGTGCATGCATGCATGTGCACAAGTGCCTGTGCATGCATGCATGCATGTGCACTGCACACGTGTCTGTGCAAGCAAGCATGCATGTGCACTGCACATATGTCGGTACATGGATGCATGTGCACATGTGTGTGCATGGCATGCATGCATAATCACTGTGACAATACCGAGCGAACAGTGAGTGTGAAAACTTCGAGGGCACAGGGTGTGACAGTACCAAGGGCACTGTGAGTGTGCGAATACCGAGGGCACAGTGAGTGTGACAATACCGAGGGCACAGTGAGGAGCGCAGCAGGTAGGTCGACTCCCCGGCTGGCGTCTGGTGGCGACTCAAACACAGTGAGAAAGGCCTAAGAGGGGGGAAAGGGAGGGAAGACAGGGATAGGAGTTGAGAGGGAGAGGGGACAGCTGGCATCAGGTGGCGACTCAAGGGAAGACGTGGAGACGGCCAGGAAGGCGAGGAAGGCGGGATGGGAGATAGAGACAGGAATCGAGAGGAAGTTTTGAGGCGCCTCAAAACTAGACTCCTATCACGGGGAAGTAAACATTATGCGACGCGATGCGAGCAGGGATCCAAGGAGGCGGCTGGCAGCAGGTGGAGATTCAACCCCCCCCCATCTTCCCAGCAACTCATACATTTCTGTACTGCCCTGTGACTGTAACGCGTGTGACTGTCCGCGGCACCCTTAGCACCATTTCCAGCACAGCAGGCGGTCCTTGCTCCCCATAGCTCAACCTTCCCATCCCTTCCCAACCGTCCATCTATACCTTTCTGTACTGCACTGTGATTGTAACGCGTGTGACTGTCCGCGGCACCTGCAGCACCAGCTCCAGCACAGCAGGCGGCCCTCGCTCCCTCGTTGGCTGTAGCCGAGCCGCTACAACCGCACTGCCATCGCTGATGCTGATTGGGCGGTGGTCAAAGGCGAGTGTGAGGGTGTGGAGGTACAGCTTGAGCCACCAGGGCACCGCCTGAAACACACTCACTGCATCGGCTGGACACACACTGCATTGGCTCCCTATGTCAGACGGTTCACTCCTCTTTCCTGCACAACTTGCTGCATCCCTTCCTCTTGTGTCACATTCGTTTGTGTCACATCCTTTTGCATGACCGTCTCCTCTCTGTATGAGGAAGGTCAGCCCCCCCAAGGCATCTCCAGTGCCTGTCGTGAACCGGGAAAGGACAAACAGCGCCGGCCGTCGCTGCCATGCCACACGCCGCTTCCAGTGCAACCCTGCTTTGCTGACTGCTGCCACGTCACCTAGCTGAACCGCTGAGTCAGCACTGGTGGCAGTGCTGCCAGCAGAAGAGTCAGAAGCGTGCACTTGCGTCCGCACATCGCGATGCAGCAGCACTGCTTCCACGTGCCGCATGCCCCCCATCCCTTCCACGCCCCTCACCGCCCCTCCCTTGCGCTTCGCATCCTCCTCACTCGAACCCTCCTCACCCGAACCCTCTAAGGGCGCAGCACCGCTTCTCTCCTGCACTCTCACCCTCCCCCGACCCTCCAGATTGAACACCGCATTGCTCTTGAGAAAATAATCCAACCCCTCGCTAGTGTCACTCCCGTTGCTGCCACCTCCTGCAGCAGCGGTGAGTTGCGCTGCAGAGTGCAGGAGGCTGGATGGCACCCTGATTGCCACGTCAGTTGACGTGGCAAGAGGGCACACTGCCGTCAGCTGCCGCCCAAACAGCGCACCGACGGTCCAATCAGGGGGGAGCGGAAGCACAGCGCTCAAATCAAGCGATTCTCCTGCTGCTGCTGCTGCTGCTGCGGGGAGGATGGGTTTGCTTGCTGCCGCCGCAGCCGCAGCAGCGAGGGCGTGTTCAATGGAGGCATCTAGAACCACAGTGAGGGACTGGTGCAGCACCAGAGACCATAGCACACCGGGACATGCAGCAGCGGGGGACTCTTGAGTTGCACACGTTGAGGAGGAGGCTGAGGATTCATCAACACTCTTCCCATGCCCCGTGTCAGCACCACCCACACCCCCCTCACCACAGATACTCTCCCCACCACCCACACTTTCCTCATCGCCCACACTCCCCTCGTCGCACACGTCTGTCCACACACTTGTGCGCAGCGAGTGGTAGCGGCCGCCAAACACCGCCCCGCGGTCCAGCAGAGCAGCGAGCCCGGCTGCGTCGCGGCACGGAAGGAGCTTCAGCCATGGGGTGAGGTTTTCTGTGCACACTGGCTCCCGAGCCATGCTGCCGTACCTCACGTGCAGGCTCGGATGCTGGCTTGGTGGCGGTGAGGAGGAGGAGGAGGAGGAAGAGGAGGAGGAGGTGGGCTGAGATGGCGGATGGGAATGGCTCTGGGGATCGTGGGGCGATGGTTGGAAGTGAAGGGAGGGGGATGAGACGGTGGAGGAAGATTCCAGGAAGTTGAGTGAGGCGCAGAAGAGTCCTGCGAGGGAGTGAGTGAGGTTGTGCCACGTGGCGTCCAGCTGGCATGCAGACGTGTGAAAAGGGAAGAGATGGTGGAAAAGGGAGAGGAAGGGAGAACTATTGGTGTGGTGTGCAGGGCGGCGGAAGAAAAGTCTGCAGGGGGATGGGAAAAACAAAGAGGAGGAGAGGAGGAGAGGAGGAAAGGAGGAGAGGAGGAGAGGAGGAGAGGAGGAGAGGAGGAGAGGAGGAGAGGAGGAGAGGAGAGGAGGAGAGGAGGAGAGGAGGAGAGGAGGAGAGGAGGAGAGGAGGAGAGGAGGAGAGGAGGAGAGGAGGAGAGGAGGAGAGGAGGAGAGGAGGAGAGGAGGAGAGGAGGAGAGGAGGAGAGGAGGAGAGGAGGAGAGGAGGAGAGGAGGAGAGGAGGAGAGGAGGAGAGGAGGAGAGGAGGAGAGGAGGAGAGGAGGAGAGGAGGAGAGGAGGAGAGGAGGAGAGGAGGAGAGGAGGAGAGGAGGAGAGGAGGAGAGGAGGAGAGGAGGAGAGGAGGAGAGGAGGAGAGGAGGAGGGGAATAATGGAGGCACGTCAAAAGCGTTCCGCTTACCTCGCTCTCGTCTCCCCCCATCCACGCCAGCAGCTCGGCCCCTGGCGGCCTGGCGTCATACTCTTGATGCGAGAGAGGTGGGGGATGGGAGAGGGAAAACGGGGAGGAGGAGGGGGAGGAGGAGGGAGTGCCCCATTGCTGCACGTCCCATGAGCCGTGTGCGAGGGAGAGGGAGAGGTGGCGGAGATGCAAAGACCGCACCTGGTGAGGGAAGGGGCGAGGAGAAGGTAGGAGGAGAAGGGAGGAGGAGAAGGGAGGAGGAGAAGGTAGGAGGGATTAATGATGCGACGAGGGAGAAAGAAATTGCAAGGAGATGTGATTGGAAATTAAGGGAAGAGAGAGAGAGAGGGAAGGGTGAAAGGACGAGCGAGCGAGGGAGACTGAGCAACAGAAATGTAAGAGGGGAGAGGAGAGGGGGGGGGGAGAATGGAGGGTGGATAATGAGATGATGAGAGATAATGAGACAATGAGACGTCGAGGAGAGGTTGAAATCCGTCGGAAGGATACACGGATTCAGCTCCCCAGCTCGACAACCTTCTCAGGGCTGCGCGGCTCACGAGGTGCAGGATAGCGGGGCGGAACAGGACTGCACGGGGGGATCTTTATCAATGCACGCCCAGCCTTCCGTGCGCGCCTCAGAACCAGGGCTTATTTTTTGGTTTCCGGCCACTCTTACAAACCGGTTCATGGGAGTCAAGCCGTTCATTTTCAGAACTCACGAGGTGCAGGATGGCGGGGGGGAACAGGACGGTATGCGCGGGGCTTCCCCCTGCTTCCGATCCTCCGGCGCGCAGCCGGCTTTCGAATGCGAAGTGAGCCAACACGCGGCCGTCCGGCAGCGGCTCGAGCATCAACCGTTCGTGAAACTCCTCGCGATTCGACACTCTAGCAAGATTGGATACTCTAACGTGATCCGAGACCGCTGCTCTCTTCCGGAGGGCGTCTGCGGCCGTTAAAGCCGGCCCGGATTCTCCGCCGTGAAAGGCGGAGAGGCCGAGGATGATTGCCAGTAGCACCAGCCGCATCGCTTGATGATTTAGCCGGATATACGGGTGGGATCGGCGCGCGTTTGGAGTGCCGTGCAATGCCATTATCGGAGCAATGGGTAATAACGGAGCAGTGGGAAGCGACAGGAATCGTACGGCGGACGGAATAGCTCTACTTGACAAGCGGCGCGTTCATAAGCTTCTATGATGCTCGGCTCGTGGAGCTTCCTCGTTCTTCTGCTCCTATGCTTCGCATCGCACTATTCGCACTATTCCGTCAGGAACGGCTTCCAAGCCTTGTTAATGCAATGGCGACAATTCCTGTTGTCGCTACTAGGGAAGAAACACAAGGGAAAGCAGGCGCAAAGAAATGAAATATGGAGAGGCGAGAAGGGAAGATGATCAAGCGGGATTCGGGGATGAACTGGCTGGGAGATTCCCAAGGGGGATGGCCCATCAAGCTTCAACTGGAAGAACAAGAACCTCAAGGCAGACTGTATCCGCGATATTGACACTGCCGGTGCAGGCACAACACTAAATTGCGAATTGTGCAATAAAAAACATGACATTAGGCAATAATGATTGTTCAACAAATGAGGTAAGCACAACACTCCCTCAGCTCCATCGTTTTCGAAACACATATTCGGAAAACAATGAATCAGATCCGGCCTTGTCATCATCCTCGATTGCCGCGCCGGGCATTGCAACCCCTGCATTCGCAAATCCACCCCTGGCCCTCCCCCCTCCACTTTCGCCACCACCATCCCCAAACACTTCCCTTCCACTTCGCCATCCCTCAACCCCACCAGTTTCCTCTACATTAACCACCTCGATACAATCACCTCCGCTTTCGCCACTCGCCCGAGCCCGCTTGGCGCTTCGTCCCAGCAAATCAACTTCAACATGCCCTCCTGTATCCTCCCAAACAACACCACCATCACCACCAGGAGTCTTGTTGCTTTCAGCATCAGCACAGTGGGGCGCCGGGTTTCCAGAATCTTCATTCCAAAGGCTCCTCTTCAGAAGAGCGGAATCAGAGGAGATACACTGTGGTTTCCTGTCTGTCCTTGTTGCGGAATTCGCACCAGCATGAGGTGGGGCGGCAGCAGAGGAGTTGGTACCTGCGTTCACTGCTTCCCTTGGTTGGTCATGAGCTGCTTCCGGAGGATTGAAGTTGCGACCATCGCCAATGTCTCCTTTGTTCCCTTTATTGTGTTCTTCAATAAGCCTCTCTATGGTCTCCAGCACACGGGCACCGTACTTGTTGACTTTCACTCTGAGAGGGTGGACGGGGGAAGGGCAGCAGAGACAAGAGGGTAGATGGGAGTGGGGGACCTCGATTGACATGCAGCACTGATATGTTTAAACGTACTAATTAAGCCTTACAAGCCCGATTAACTGGCCTGATGCTAGGAAATATCTAAGCCCACACGTCTACACGGTCCTGGCGGCCCATGTGCTGCGTTCCGAGCCATTCGCAGACCAACCAACTCCTGGCCACCCACCACTCCTGGTCACCCACCACTCCTAGCCACCTATTGCAAGAATGCAGCTCCCCACCCACCTGCCAATGCCGGGGATCTCCTGCAGCGCATCGAGAGTGCGAGGCAGCCTCTGACTGATGAGCACCAGCTGCGCGTTGCTGCGAGGGGGAGAGGGGGGAGAAGGGGAGGAAGGGAGTAAGAGATGGGGGAAACAGCAGCTGAGAGCCCCAGGTAGCCTCTGACTAATGCTCACCAGCTGGGTGTTGCTGGGAGGGGGAGAGAGAAGAGAGGGGGGAGAGGGGGAAGAGGGGGGAGGGGATGGGAAAGCTGAGGCGCTTGTAAAAACGGAACGAGACTTGAGAGCAGGCGAAGCTGTACACTCTGCCTGCGCTTGTGCCGCTCAGTGCGCACAAGAAACCAAAAACGCATGAGGGAGATGCGCAGCATGCTCCCCCGAAGATGTGGTAGGGGGCGAGGTGGTTGCCCGACTGACTCCTGCATGATGGGATTCATTTTGAGATGTCTCAGAAACAAATCGCAGCACGCTCACCCGAAGATGTGGTAGGGCGCGAGGTTCTTGCCCGATTCCTGCACCAGAGTCTGCCTCAAAGCGTGCAGAGCCTTGTAGACCGCACCCGACAGCACCTGAGGGGAAACGTGGGTGGTGACGGCGAGGAGATTGCGGAGGGGAGAAATAAGAATGGCTGAGATCTTCCCCCCTGCCACACCATATGCACCATTGGGTACAGCGTGAAAGAAAAAAACAAAAACGACTCTTGAAATATGTGAATGCTATGCTATGCATACACAGGCACACACCCAACAGCCGTAGATTCTGTGGAGCGCAGTGACGACAGCTCACCACATCAGCTGCCTGCTTGGGCGGCGAGAAGGGTGCAGCAGAATCCACCGCAGCCGCAGCCGCAGCTGCCATCTGCTGAAAGGGCATCGCCCCCTTCCCTCCACCTGCTGCCGCTGCAGCTCCTGCGGCTCCTTGAACTCTTCCTTCCACGCTTCCCTCAGCTCCCCAATCAACCCCACGAGGCAACCCACCACCGGCAGAGGAGCCCCGGCTACCACCTCCAGGCCACCCCCTATCTCCATCATCGCCTTCAATCTCATCTGCCCATGCCTCTGCATCCATACCGCCATGCCCCCTGCCACCATGCCCCATGCTGTCCGCCCCGCTGGCAGCAGCACCGGTGGGGCCTTTCCTGGTGTCAATGTTGCCCCTGCTGTTTCTGGCTCGTCTCCTGCCCTGGCCTGCTGTGTTGCTGGTGGGAGTGACGGCAGAGGCAGAAGCAGCAGCTGCTGCGGTTCTGCCTGCACCAGTTGCAGCCTGTGCGGAGTCAGGTCGCTTCTGAATGGGGAAGCTGCGATGGGGGGTAGGTAGGCATGGGACAGACGATAGGCACCAATAGGGTTCACTCAGTAGAGGAACGACAGGAAGAATGAGATTGCAGGAATGTGTGAGCACATATGTTCGACCATATGTGCCCTGGTTTAGAGCACAGAGCAGTCCCAATCTATTGTGTGAGTGGTGGACCTTATGGAGCTGCTTGAGAGTTTGTTGATAGAAGGGGAAAAACGCAATCCACATTTAGTGTGGAAGGATGGGAGAGCGGAATCAGAGAACAAGAGACAAGCTGACTTATGAGCCGACTCAACAAACAAGACGCATGGAAGTAGCAGACAGTTTAGCAAGAGGGGGGAGAAGAGACGAGACAAGAAGCAAAGAGAAGAGGGGGAGGGTGAGAAGAGAAGCCTTTGCGTGCCTGAGAGTGAGGTGAAGCTTCCCAGACAGCAGCGCGCCTGCCTTGGGTTCATTCACCTGCGGGTGGTGGCAGCAGCGCCAGGGAATGACAATCACAGTGGCGCCACGAACTGAAGTCAGGCTGTCAGATGACCAAAGGGACGTGGAAACACTAAAGCACACTAAAGCACACTAAAGCTGAGGACGTTGCACTCACCCGGAACAGCAAGGAGACGGCCCCGTACACACCTGGCTCTTGCTCACGCCCTCCCTCCTCACCACGCTCTTGCACCTCGCCACCTCCTCACACACCATGTGCCGCACCACCCGCTCCATGCCCCCCTTTAGGATGCTTCAAATCAAGCCACAGAGCAGCATGCAGATGTGTTTGCACTCACCCGGAGTAGGGACGAGACAGAGCCATAAACCTCGCTCTTGTTCACGTCCTCCCGCACCACCTCCTCACACACCAAGTGCCGCACCACGCGCTCCATGTCCCGCCGGCTCCACCCCCCTGCCGCCCCTCCGCCCTCCTCCCCGTCCCCCCCACCCGCCTTGTTCTCCTCCGCCATTTGCTGCGCCAGAGCCACGTGCCCGTTGCGCTTCACCTGGTGGTGGGAAGGGGGGGGCTCAGGTGGGGTTGTTGTAGGGGTTGATGTGAAAGAAATGTGATTGATAGGTTGAGAGGGGAAGATACAAGACTTTTGTATCTAGGGAGCCAATCCTAGGTCAAGAAGGGGTTGACCATCCCCACCATTATCACGTGGACCAATAATGGTTGGGAAGGTTGACACCAATCATTGGAGGCCCAATAATGTTGGGTTCGCCAACATTGTTAGAGCTCTCGAGAATTGGGGTCAAGCGTTGGTTGGTTGACCTAACCAACCCCAACCTTCATCTACACTACAATACTAGCACACTACATGCTATAGATATAGTATATAATGTAACATGATATACAAGGGAGGGGCACAGGAAATCTCCCTCCGCCTGCCTACTCCACCATCCCCTCCTCTCCTTCTATTCTCCTGAGAGGCGCCCAAGCAACAGAGAGGCCACCTGAGCAACAGAGAGGCCACCCGAGCAACAGAGAGGGCACCTGAGCAACAGAGAGGCCACCCAAGCAACAGAGAGGGCACCTGAGCAACAGAGAGGCCACCCGAGCAACAGAGGGGGCACCTGGGCAACAGAGCAGGCACCAGAGCAACAAAGGGGGCACCTGGGCAACAGAGTTGGCACCTGGGCAATAGAGCAGGCACCTGAGCAACAGAGCAGGCAGAGCACCTGAGCAGTGGCAGAGCACCTACAGAGCAGGCACCTGAGCAACAGAGCAGGCACCTGAGCAACAGAGCAGGCAGAGCACCTGAGCACTGGCAGAGCCTCGCAGGAGGTCGAGGATGTACTGCTGGGTGTGTCGCTCGCCAGTTTCCCGTATGAGGGATATCTGAAGACGGCATCGCACATATAAAACAAGGCGGAAGGCGTGTGGGGGGGAAGGAGTGGAAAAGGGAGGCGCTGAGAAGGGCGAGGCATGGCAGAACCATTGAAAATGAGCAGAGCCGCCTTTTATTCGACTCAGAAGTCATCTCGACGGAACCTATGAAATCGAGCAGAGCCATCCAAATGAGGCGCCCTCTATCCAGTAAGAAGGTACACAACCCTCACAAGGGCATGGACACGAGAACTAAGCTAGTTTTGAAAAAAAACAGAGAACGCGAGATCGAAGCTAGTTTTGAAAAAAACGGAGAAGGTGAGATCGAAGCTAGTTTTGAAAAAAAAACAGAGAAGGTGAGAAGAAGAGTGCATGACAATGAGCAGGGCAATTGTGCTGTGCAGGACTCACAATGCGCAGGGCAAGGCGTGTGACATCCCTGGGCGCAGCGGCCACGTCCCGGCAGCAGTTGTCACAGGAGCGGCGGCAGTGCGCGCGGTCAAAGCGCTCGCCAAAGTGCGACAGCTGCACCGTGCGCCGGCAGTCAATGTCGTTCTCACAGTACGCCACCTGTTGTTGGGAGGGAGGTGAAGAGGGTACATAGAAATGGGACATTGGAAACTCATGCAGATTCATTGTGATGAGCTATAGTGCTGATTTGTCATGCTGAGTGGCAATGCTGACTCACCTGCAGCCAAGCATGCTCTCGCCTTAGGCCCACCTGACTCACGATGCTGACTCGCCATGCTGACTCATGATGTTGACTCGCCATGCTGACTCATGATGGTGACTCGCCATGCTGACTCATGATGGTGACTCACCAAGCGGACTCGCCATGCGACATGCCATGCTGACTCACTCACCATGCGGTGCAGATTGTCCAGGTTCGTCTCCAGCTGCTGCTGTGGCCCCATGCCCATGCCCCCTCTCCCCCCCACCCCTCCGCCCCTCCCTGCTGCTGCATCCGCCGCCCCCTGCAGCAGCATGTGCTTCACCCGCGCCTGGGGCAGGAAGGAGACGAATAGGCGGGCAAGGAAGGGAGGGGGGGAGGGGAAGGGGCAGGGGTTGGGGGGTTGTGGTGAGTGAGCGGCACATGGGTGGAAAAGTAGGAGCAAGCTTCAAAGGTAGAAAGGGGCCCAGTAGTAACAGCTCCCTGCAACAGCATTTGCTTATCAACGTCGACATGCGAATGCACTCATTTAATTCCACAGGTGTACTCAAACAATGTCGCATAACTCCCATAGCTGACATATATCAGCTCACATAATCGCCATAGCTGTACTCACTGTTAGAGATAGGCTGCAATTCGGTTGGCACAATTTTGTGTGTTGGCACTTTGTTGGTTTTAGGGATACACATATTTGTTAGGTTGGGTGTAGCTATGTTTTCATCCCCAACCTATCCCAACCCAATCCATCTCAAATCCCCACGATTTGGGAGGATTCCCTTGAGATTCCCTCCGATTCTCCCTTATCCCTTCCCATCCTCTCCGATGCTCGGTACTTAAGGATGTATGCTCTTGCTCATTTTAATCAATCAAGTTCTTAGTTTTTGATATGGTATCAGAGCTCGCTTCCGCCTAAGCGGCTCTTGATCCTCTCGCTCCGTTGGAGCTTAGCATTTGCGTCTTACGACGCAAAGCTTTTCTAGTCGCCCCGCATCTGCGCGGCGCTTCTCCTCGGGCTGAGCCCGTCGCCCCGCATCTGCTCGTCGCACCTGCTCGGGCTGAGCCCGTCGCCCTGCATCTGCTTGTCGCACCTGATCGGGCTGAGCCCGCCGCCCGCATCTGCTCGTCGAAGCTGGACGGGCTGTCGCCCGTCGCCCTTGCAACAGCGGGGGGGTGCAGCGGCGAAGCGGACAAGGGGGCAGCGGCGAAGCGGAAAGGGGGCAGCGTCGAAGCGGAAAAAGGGGGGGGGGTCGCGGAGCAGGGGGATTGCAGCAGCACATCGCGAATTTTCATAGATTTCCGGCGTTCACATTTCCTTCTTAATCGGGCATTCCCGTTGTCCGAGTGTTGAAAATCCGCAAAGGGAAATCCAGTTTTTCGCGAAGTGCCTATCGGCGACTTAAGAGCTGTGCTACGCGCGGAGAAAGGGTCCTTGGAGCATCATGGCGTACCCTTCCGCGTCTCTCTCCAACCCGATCACTCCCTTGCGCCTCGACCCAAATGGCTCAAGCCCTAACTTCAAGGAGTGGAGCTATGGGGTTGATAAGCATCTCCTAAGCCGCAAGATTGAGGGGATTTGCCTCAAGGATGTCCTCCTCAATCGCGGCAAAGGAAAGATGCCGATCCTTCCCAAGAAGCTCTCGGCCACGGCCACAGAGGAAGAGTTAAAAGCCCATGAGGAATCCATGTCCAAGTATGAGGAATCTTACAGCGTGTGGGAGCAAGCCGACGCCGCTATCATTGGCGTCTTCGTCGGCACTACCCCTTCCGAGCTCGTCAAAACTTACCATAACTACCCCTCCGCACACGCCATTTGGGAGTACCTCAACGACCGCTTCCTCAACAAAACCGCTGTGGGGGTGGCGATCCTCATCTCCCGCATGTTTCAAGTGCGTCTAGAGGAGTGCCCTGGAATGGCAGATTACGTCGCTGAGATTCAAGGGATTCATCAGGAGCTGAAGCAACTCGGCATTGTCTTCCCAGAGCAAGCCCCTGCAGCAGCTCTGCTTGTTGGGCTGACCCCCTCTTACAATGTCACCCGCTCTATGCTTCTCCATCTCCCGCCAGAAGAGCTAACCTTTGCCAAAGTCTCTTCCGCACTACTCTCTGCTGAAAAAGACAACACTGTGCAGGCTCGTGCAAATGCGCTTCGCGCTCCTGTCCCGGCTCCAGCATCGCAACCCAATCCGCCACCCACTCGTAACCCCTACCCACCCTGTCCTTACGTCATCAAGATGGGACCCCGTGCGGGTCAGGTGTGCGGCGGCACCAATCACCCGCTCGCCACCTGCTTCAAGAAGAAGGACGACGATTGGTTCGCCAAGAATGGTATCAACTCCAAGCCGCCCAACTGGCTTCGCATGCGCCAGCTCAACCATGTTGAGGCACAGGATAGTCAGGACTCAGCCGTTCATGCCCCTAGTCCTGATGTTCGTCTCAACCTGTTGTTCCCTGGCCTTCCCATGATCAATGAAACTAGTTCCCAGTACTCGGCGTCTCCACAAACACCATCTAAACCACTTGAATTCGTCCTGGACAGTGGCGCAACCCACACAGTCCTCCGCGACAAAGAGTCCCATGCCCAGCCTTCCCATCTGGCACAGTCACTGGCATATGCGTGCCCACTCTTCGGCACAACTTACTTGCACAACATGATATTCAACGAGCAGGGGTAACCACTATCTTCCCAGCTCATTCCAATCATTGTGATCTCCTTGAGCCCACCAACAATGCCCTACTTGCACGCTTCACACTGACCGCCAACAACCTCTACACACTCCAAGTACCTCCATCTTCCACAGAAGCACACTCTACCTCCACCACATCATCGTGCTCCTGCCGTCAACTCATCGACCCAACCATTCTTTACCACCATCGTCTCGGGCATCCCAAATTCCGCATGCTCTCCGAGCTTGGGTCTAAGAAGTTGCTTCTTCACCTGGCCGACACACTTCCTCCACCCTCCACTTCTCCCGCTCCTCCATGCTTGGACTGCGCGCAAAGCAAACTACGCCAGCTGCCTCACCCTTCCTCGCCCTCTGCTGCAGCCGCCCCGCTTGACCTCGTCCACATGGACGTCTGGGGCCCAGCTCCAGTACGCTCTCGTGGCGGGCACTCTTACTTCCTAGTGCTCGTTGACGATCACTCTCGCTATGCGTCCGTCCACCTACTCTCCTCCAAAGCAGCTGTTCCAGATGTTGTCATCGCATGGGTTCAACAAGCCCAAAATCATTTCCGCACTTCAGTCAAGTGCCTCCATTCCGATGGCGGTGGCGAATTTCGAAACCATTCCCTTCATGCGTTCTGTGCCTCCCAAGGCATTCGCCAGACCTTCACCCTTCCCCACAGTCCGCAGCAGAATGGCATTGCAGAAAGTCGCAATCGCACTCTCGTGCAAATCGCTCGCTGTCTTCTCACTCACGCTGGTGCACCACCTTCCCTTTGGAGTTACGCCCTCCTTCATGCCACGGTGCTGTACAACCTTCATCCTCACCCTCTTCGGCCTGCCATCACTCCCGCTGAACTGTGGACCGGCACCAAGCCCAGTGCACGTCCTCTCCGCGTATGGGGGTGTACCGCTTATGTCCTCCTCAACCCTCAGGAACGTCGCACCCATGGCGGCAAATTTGCACCCAAAGCTCAACCCTGTGTCTACCTCGGCCACAACCTGGACTCTCCCGATTACCTTTTCCTCAATCCCTCCACCAATAAGCTCATTCGTAGCCGCGATGTCGCCTTTGACGAGAGTCTCCCTTTTTACCTCTCTTCACCACCCCCCACAGCTCCACCTTCGCTCGTGTGGGCCGATTTCGATACTTCACCCTCTCCACCTCCTCCCTCTGCCGCTCCTCCTGCCGCCCCCTCACTCTCACCTCCCCCATCTCCTTCCACTCTCTCTCACCCCTCTTCGCCCACTGGCTCAGTTGCCTGTTCACCTCCGCCCACGCCTGCACTTCCCCCTGCACCCGCTCCTGCAGCTGCCCCTCCACCTCCCTCTCCTTCTGCGCCTCCCCCTGCCCCTGCACCTCCATCCCCGCCTTCACCTCCGCTTCCGCCTCCAACCTCCACCTCATGGCTGAGCTCGGGTATCCTCAGCAGACCCCGACTCTGTGGTGTGATAACGAGAGCACCATCCACCTCACCAAAGATCCTGTCTTCCGCCAACGAACCAAGCATATCGAATTGAGACACTTCTTAATGCTCGAGCTTGTCCAGCGAGGGCAGTTGTGCGTCAAGCATATTTCCTCTTACTGCAACCTCGCCGACTTGTTTACGAAGGCTCTTGGACGCCGTGATCACTATCGTCTCCTCCGTACCATGGGACTTGGCGTCCCTACGGCTTCGGACGTTGCAGCCTAGGGGGTGTGTTAGAGATAGGCTGCAATTCGGTTGGCACAATTTTGTGTGTTGGCACTTTGTTGGTTTTAGGGATACACATATTTGTTAGGTTGGGTGTAGCTATGTTTTCATCCCTAACCTATCCCAACCCAATCCATCCCAAATCCCCACGATTTGGGAGGATTCCCTTGGGATTCCCTCCGATTCTCCCTTATCCCTTCCCATCCTCTCCGATGCTCTGTACTTGAGGATGTATGCTCTTGCTCATTTTAATTAATCAAGTTCTCAGTTTTTGATACTCACATAATCGCCATAGCTGTACATGAGAACGCAGGTGGCAGGCAGGTTGTCTCTCCCTGCCCGCCCCGACTCCTGCAGGCCCAGCAAGGGAAGGAGGAGCACGTTCAGCAGAGTCAGATCAGACAGTCTGAAGGGTTCAAGCGCCACTGCCACTGCCCATAGCAACATTGCCTAGCAAGCTGGGCCGGGAGGGACAGCAATGCGATGGTGTGAGGTGCGGTGCAATGAGGTGCACTGACCTGGTGGTACCCTTCGATGCTCTTGGGGAGAGAGTGGTGGACGACAAAGCGAACGTCAGGCTTGTTGATGCCTGCATGGATGCATGGATGCATGGAGTGGAGGAAGAGTGCAGGAGGACAATGTAGTGTAAGGGCGCGATAAGGGGTTCTGGGGATGCATACAGGACACAAGCGAAGAAGACAGCTGAACTTTGCTGGGGAAAAGAGCGATGAAAGAAGCACCATCCCAAAGCGAGGGGCAAAGTAGCGCAGATGACGCTGCTCTCGTGCTTGCTCCACCTCCACTCCACATGGCGATGTATGTAGGTTGTTCTACATGTATGATAACGTCACACTTCGAGCACCCGCCCATGACGAAGGCCACAGTCGCGCAGATGACGCTGCTCTCGTGCTTGCTCCACCTCCACTGTGCATGGCTGTATCGTTTGTTCTACATATATGATCATGTTACGCTTCAACCGCCCACCCATGCCAAAGGCCACAATGGCGCAGCGCAGATGACGCTGCTCTCGTCCTTGCTCCACCTCTGCTGCACATGCGCTCTCCAGGTTACAACCACTCAGGCGGCATTCTATCAAGCAGCTGCCAGCCAGCCAGCCACGCATGTTCTATGACCTCAAAGTGGGCCCACTTCCACTGACCCATGCCTATGTCTAAGGCAACATTCCCACACGCACCCATGCCCATGGCCAAGGCAACTTTCCCGCACCCACCCATGCCGAAGGCCACCGTGGCGCAGATGACGTTGATCTCGTCCTTGCTCCACCTCCTCTGCACGTCCGCTCGCTCGGGTGCCGCAATGTTGGCGTGGTAGAACCCCGCCCGGTGGCCCAGCTTCTGCTATCCCGTACCATGCCATGCCATGCCACGCCATGCACACCAGTGGAAATTAGTGTGGAGGATGAGGGCAGGCAGAGGAGAGGATGATTGGAGGCGTATTTGAAAAAAAAAAAAAAAAAAAAAAAAAAAAAAAAAACGGACAAGAGGATGAGGGCAGGTAGAGAATGAGCTTGGTGCATTCAAAGAGATAACGAGGAGGCGGAGGGAGGGGGAGGGGGGGAGAGAGGCGGGGGGCTCATTAGAAAACTTACAGTGAGCTGCTCGGCTGTCTTCTCGCAGTCGTTCCTCGACAGGCAGTACACAATGCCCGACTCCCCTAAGAACCCGCTCCTCCGAATAAATGAGTCGATGTCATCCATGCACCGCCGGCCCTTCGCCCGCACCTCATACCTGAGAGCCATCAAGACACACACACACACACACACACACACACACACACACACACACACACACACACATAGGGGTGAGGCCCACATAGGGGTGAGGCCCACATAGGGGTGAGGCCCACATAGGGGTGAGGCACACAGGTGGACAGGCAGGCAGGACACAACGCCTGACTCCCCAAAGAATCCGCTCTCCCAAGTGACTGAGTCGATGTCATCCATGCACCGCTGGCCTTTCACCCGCACCTTGCACCTGAGCCACACAGCGACACAGAGACACAGAGACTCAGAGGCACAGACACACAGAGACACAGAGACACAGACACACAGACACACAGAGATACAGAGACACAGACACACAGAGACACAGAGACACAGACACACAGAGACAGACACACAGACACACAGACACACAGAGACACAGCGGCACACGGGTGAAGTATATGCAGAGTGGTGTGGGGTCTGGAATAAGCACACTGCCAGCGGCCTGTCGCCCGCACCTCGCACGTGAGCCACAGAGGCACATGGGCAGGCCAGGGCATCGACCATGGAACGAAACATGGGAGAGGCACGTGATGAGTTGGGCTCGGGGGGTGATGCGCCTGACAAATCCCATGTGTCGTCCCTCCGCATAACCCCCCACCCTACGAGACTTATGCGGAGTGTGGCATGCGAAAGACAACAGACTCTTTCCAATGCCTTAGAATGTACCTGAGGTGGAGGTTCGAGGCTTCACGTCATCCCAATCTCGCTCGCTCTCCCCACCTCAAACTGGGTCGGGTGAGGGTCTGCTTGAACACAACACACTGCTTCAGGCAGAGCCCAGCGCACTGACAACGAGGTGACTTTTTGGTTTTGCAGGGTGTTTTTGAGAATTCTCAAAAACACCCTGCAAAATTCAGGCAGAGCACAGCGCACTGACAACGAGGTGACTTTTTGGTCGACTCAAAAGTCACCTCGGTACAATGGCACACAACCCTCTCTTTCCCTACCTGAGGTTGGGTCGGTTGAAGGTACCTGAGGTTGGGTCAGCTGAACATACCTGAGGTTGGGTCAGCTGAACATACCTGAGGTTGGGTCAGCTGAACATACCTGAGGTTGGGTCAGCTGAACATACCTGAGGTTGGGTCAGCTGAACATACCTGAGGTTGGGTCATACCTGAGGTTGGGTCATACCTGAGGTTGGGTCATACCTGAGGTTGGGTCATACCTGAGGTTGGGTCGGTTGAAGGTCTGCTTGAAGACAACGCACTGCTTGAGGCACAGTGCACTGACCACATCAGCCCGCACTGCCTCGGTGGCCGTGGCTGTGAGCGCCATGAGAGGCACCGAAGGGAACTTGCTCTTGAGCACACCCAGACCCTGATGGATGGGAAGGGAGAACAGGACAGGGTACTATACATCCCATCACCTGGGTTACCGCAGGGTTACCGCACTGCCTTGGTGGCCGTAGCAGTGGGCGCCATGAGAGGCACCGAGGGGAACTTGCTCTTGAGCACACCCAGACCCTGATGGAAGGGAGGGAGGGAGGCAGCGGTAATAGGGCATGTCGAAACCCGGTTACACTTACGGGGCTACTTATTACAACTGGCTGGAGCAGTGAACCTCACCCACCACCATGTGGCACCAGCCAGTCACGCTCGATTCAACGCACTGCCACCTCAATCACTCTCCCTCAGTCACTTCACTCACGAGCTTGTCACTTCACTCTCACACCTGATAATTTGGCCTGAAGTCATGCCCCCACTGGCTGACGCAGTGCGCCTCATCCACCACCATGCACACCAGCAGGTGCCCCTTGAGTCGCTCAATCCACGTATTTACTTCAAACTCACTCGCCTGATAATCGGGTCTAAAGTCTCCAGCAAAAGGCAATTTACTCACTCACCTGGTAATCCGGTCTGAAGTCATGCCCCCACTGACTGACACAGTGAGCCTCATCCACCACCATGCGCACCAGCAGGTCACGCCGGTACAGCCCCTCCAGGTGCCGGAACAGGTTGTCGCTCCTGGGAGGGTTAAGGATGGGAAACGTGTGGGTTGTTGGAGGTTCGTGGAGCAGAGTAGGTATTGACACGACTTAGAGGCGGTACAACTCCTCCAGGTGCCGGAACAGGCTGTCGCTCCTGGGGGGGTTAAGGATGGGAAATGTGTGGGTTGTTGGAGGTTTGTGGAGTAGAGTAGGTATTGACACGACTTAGAGGCGGTACAACTCCTCCAGGTGCCGGAACAGGCTGTCGCTCCTGGGGGGGTTAAGGATGGGAAACGTGTGGGTTGTTGGAGGTTTGTGGAGTAGAGTAGGCATTGACACGACTTAGAGTCGGTACGGCCCCTCCAGGTGCCGGAACAGGCAATTGCTCCTGGGGGCACGTCAACAGGGGAGGCATGGCTGGTGGCTTTTTTGACACGTCCTGGAGTCGGTCGGTATGGCCCCTCCAGGTGGTGAAACAGGTTGTCGCTCCTGGGGGGCACAACAACGGGGGGAGGCTCGGTCAATGGTGGTTTGCGGAGGTCTTGAGACGCGTCGCAGCCGATACAGCCTCTCCTGGTGCCGGATTAGGATGTCCCTCCTGAGGCGAAAGAGGGGGGGGCCGGGGAGGAGGAGCGAGGTGAGAAAAGGTGTGGTTGGTGGACTTCTTTGTCTGAGAACGCCTCAAAGTTGTTACTGCCCCAGCAGGTGCCGGAATAGGCGGTTGATCCTGTGGAGCACAACAGAAGGGGGGTGGGTGGGTGGGTGGGGGAGTACGGGTGGGGGGGGGAAGATGTAGAGCAGGCATGTTTACCACGTAGACAGTAGGGCGAGCAATAAATCATTACTTCGCGATCGTGTACCACCTGCAATACTCACCCATCCGCAACGCTCTCCGACCAGGCAACCTTTTCCCACTAGGAAATATTGTCCACGTCGCAATCTTTTCCCACCTGGCGATCTTCTCCGGGGTGACATAGAGCAGCTTGATCTGGCAGCACGGCGAGCACAGCTCCTGCAGAATGCGCTGCTGCTCCGGCCACTCCTGGCTGGCGCTCAGGCATGCAGCAGGGATGTTGTACTGCGGAGGAGAGGAAGGGGGGGATGGCGAATGGGTGGGATAACATGAGACGGTTGCTTGGACACGCCTGCTCCAGCCACTCCTGGCTGGCGCTCAGGCACGCAGCAGGGATGCAGTACCATGAATAGCACAGGTGCAGGGGAATGGGAAAGCAATAATGCTTCTCAACAAGAAGGTGCCTCTAAGCTGACTCAAACACTCGGCAGCAAACGTCTCCGTCCCAGATGCACCTGCCCCAACTGCCCCAGGTGAGCCTGCACCAGATACACCTGCCCCTACTGTATCTGCCCCAGGCGTACCTGTTCGAGGTGCATGATCTGGTCGCAGATGAGGGAGATGAGGGGCGACACCACGAGGGTGACTCCAGGGGAGCACACTGCAGGGAGCTGGGGGGGCAGGAAGGGATTTGATTCCAGGCGCATGAAAGATGGGGTAATGTACGGCAGAGAGGGGCGCATGAAAGATGGGGTAATGTACGGCAGAGAGGGGCGCATGAAAGATGGGGTAATGTACGGCAGAGAGGGGCGCATGAAAGATGGGGTAATGTACGGCAGAGAGGGGCGCATGAAAGATGGGGTAATGTACGGCAGAGAGGGGCGCATGAAAGATGGGGTAATGTACGGCAGAGAGGGGCGCATGAAAGATGGGGTAATGTACGGCAGAGAGGGGCGCATGAAAGATGGGGTAATGTACGGCAGAGAGGGGCGCATGAAAGATGGGGTAATGTACGGCAGAGAGGGGCGCATGAAAGATGGGGTAATGTACGGCAGAGAGGGGCGCATGAAAGATGGGGTAATGTACGGCAGAGAGGGGCGCATGAAAGATGGGGTAATGTACGGCAGAGAGGGGCGCATGAAAGATGGGGTAATGTACGGCAGAGAGGGGCGCATGAAAGATGGGGTAATGTACGGCAGAGAGGGGCGCATGAAAGATGGGGTAATGTACGGCAGAGAGGGGCGCATGAAAGATGGGGTAATGTACGGCAGAGAGGGGCGCATGAAAGATGGGGTAATGTACGGCAGAGAGGGGCGCATGAAAGATGGGGTAATGTACGGCAGAGAGGGGCGCATGAAAGATGGGGTAATGTACGGCAGAGAGGGGCGCATGAAAGATGGGGTAATGTACGGCAGAGAGGGGCGCATGAAAGATGGGGTAATGTACGGCAGAGAGGGAAGAGTCATGCAGGGAGGGAGCTGTGAGGTGAGGCAGGGAATGCAAGGTCACACATGGGGGGTTTGAGGAACAAGGGAGCAAGCAAGGGAAGATGGGAAGAACAAGGCTCTCGCCTTGCCTAGCTGCTGTCCCCACCTCACCTGGTAGGTGAGGCTCTTCCCACCCCCAGTGGGCATGAGCACGAACACGTCTCTGCCGCTCATGGTAGCGTTCATCACCTCCCTCTGATTCGCCCGGAACGAGCGGTTGCCAAACAGCTTCCAGTTGTGCTCCTGGGCGGTTGGGCGAGTGGGAGAAAGACGAGAGAGCGGAGAGAGCAGAGAGAGCAGAGAGAGGAGAGAGAGGAGAGAGAGCAGAGAGAGGAGAGAGAAGAGAGAGAGGAAGGGACTTCGGAACCTCCATCTGAGCTAGAACAGTTTCTAAGTCCCACCTCCCACCGATCCATGTACTCCCACCTGCGCCTCAAGCCCAAGCCTCTCACCTCCAGCAATCTAGTCCATGCCAAGCACTTCCTAGTCCACTGCCTGTCCACGGACCCTTCAGAGAACGGCAGCTCCGGCAGAGGCACCGGCACACAATGCTGCCATCCTTGACCTACAATTCAAGCCTCTCACCTCCAGCTCTCTAGTCCATGGAAAGTCCCTCCTGGCCCACTGCCTGTCCACGGACCCCTCAGAGAACCGCACCTCCGACAGAGGTACTGCCTCAGCCCTCCTGGCCACCCCTGCGCTCTCAGACCCTGGGGATGAATACCCTCCTGCATACCCCCCTCCATTCGCCACTCCATACGCCCCTCCATTCGCCGCTGCATATCCTCCTCCGTTTGGGGATGAAACTCCTCCACCATTCACCGCACCATTCACGGCTGCATACCCTCCGCTCATGCCTGCTCCAGCGTTCATTCCACTTGCACGACCTGCTATGCCCGCACCTATACCCAATCCTGCATGCGTGCTCGCCCCCATATCCCTCCCTGTGCCTGATCCCATCCCTGCTCCTGCGTTGGCTGGCAGAAACGACCCTGCTGCTGCCGTGGCACCCAGAGGAGAGGAGGGAGGGAGGCGGGAGGGAGGAGGCGAGGACCAGTTGTTGCTGGGAGGCGGGGACGAGAAAGACCCCCAGTTGGAGGAGGGAGGGGGGGGACGAGAGCTGGGCGCCGTGAAGGTGGTGGTTGAGGATCGGTAGGGGGGGTTGGATAGTGGTGGGGAGTGGTATGGGTGGGTGGAGGGAGATGCATGTGTAGCGGGGGAAAGTGAGGAGGGGTGAGGGGAGCTGGCGCCTTGTGGGGTGTGCCGCTGCAGTGTTTTGATCTCCTGCTGAAGCGATTTCCTGATGGGAGGGAAGAGTGGAGGAGAGGAGGCAAGATATGTCACAGTGTGGGGGAGGCACCAGCAGTGACAAAGCTCAGTGTGGAAATAAGGACGCTTCAGGGGAGTCAAGGAGCGACAAGATAAGGCAAGAGGGGTGTCAGGCAAGAGGAGTGGCAAGGCAAGAGGAGTGCCAAGGCAAGAGGAGTGGCAAGGCAAGAGGAGTGGCAAGGCAAGAGGAGTATCAAGGCAAGAGGAGTGGCAAGGCAAGAGGAGTGTCAAGGCAAGAGGAGTGTCAAGGCAAGAGGAGTGGCAAGGCAAGAGGAGTGTCAAGGCAAGAGGAGTGGCAAGGCTAGAGGAGTGGCAGGGAAGGTGGAAGGGCAAGAGTGTTGAGAACTAGAAGGTGCTAACTGCACTGAGCTGTCATTCTGTGATGTTGCTCTGTCATACCTGCGATTACAGTACCTGCGATTACAGTACCTGCGATTACAGTACCTGCGATTACAGTACCTGCAATTACAGTACCTGCGATTCCAGTACCTGTGATTACAGTACCTGCGATTACAGTACCTGCGATTACAGTGCCTGCAATTACAGTACCTGCGTATTCTGAGCTCCTCCGCCCGCCTAGGGCTCATGTCGCCTGCGTTGTCCAGCAGGTCATTGGAGACGTCTAGCAGCTCGTTCTTGCGCTCCTGGATGTGGGCTTGGAGCGAGGAGCACTGCCACAACTGCAAGTGTGCGCAAAGGTGCAGGGTGGCGCGGAATGAGAGGTACATACAAGGCTTGAGGTGCCAGGGCAAGAGAGTATGGAGGAGAGCGTGACCAGCAAGGGGATTAATGAACGGAACCTTAGTAAACACTCACAGGCATGCCATATGATGTGATAGTAATCGTGTTTTGAGACGTCTCATAGAACAATGAACGGGACCTTAGTAAACACTCACAGGCATGCCATGGGAGCATGGCTGCTGCAGCAGGGGAGCGAGGGGTGGAGGCGTATTCGACGCTATTGCTGCATGCTCGTATGTGTTGAATGGAGTGTGGTTGGCGCTGGGGTTCTCATAAGCGTTGCTGTTGATCGGATTCTGCCGCATGTCTTGAGGTGTAGCTGTAGCACCCTGTTGCAAAGACTTCTCTTTGTCTGGTGTGCTGCTGTGCTGCTGGGTTGATTGCCTCACCAGCTCATCCACGTCTATGTCCTGCTTGCAGGTATACACGCATGCACACACGTCATGCAGACACATGTGCTCACAGTCATACACGTGGCGTGCACACACACATGCACACATGCACGCATGCACACACGCACACATGCACAGAGACATACGCATGCGCACACTAAGCACACACAAGCACGGGCGCACACATTTTCATTCCCCCAGTCCCCTCCCCTCCCCCCTCCCCCACACACACACAGAGAAAGAAACATAAACATGTGCAGTTAAGACAGGGTTCCAAGCACGGTGAAGTTTCTCTCCCACACACACACACGAGCACACAAGAAATACCACGGGTGGAGCCACAGCCCACCCACCTGAAACAGCTCACCTTCTGCCTGTCCTTTTTTGAGACGATTCAAAACTCGTCCTCTTTTGAGACGATTCAAACCACGGATGCAGCCCCACAGCCTACCCTACCACCCACCTGGAACAGCTCATCCTCTTCAAAGAAGAGCCCGTCCTCCTGCGGCGGCAGCTGCTGCGGCTGCTGAACGTTCAGGTGAGGTTCGGCCGAACCTGCCAGCCTGGTTCTGTCTGAGCCCGAGCCACCTTCTCTCACCCCATGAGACCAATCCTGTCTCACCCCAGGTTCGCCAGCACCCACCCCCCCTCTACCCCCTTCCCCTCTAGCTTCGGGTGGGCCGCCACTGCTCCGCATGGTGTTGCTCCCCATGCAATTCGAGGCAGGCTGGAAAGCTGACGGAGGCTGGCAGGATGCCCCTTGACCCCCACCAGGGAAGGAAGCCCCTTGACCCTCAGCAGGGAAGGACGCCGCTTGACCCCCAGCAGGAGGGACGGACGCCCCTTGACCCCCACCAGGTCCCAAATGACTCCTTGAGTCAGAAACCGAGGGTGAGGATTGCGGGACGAACGGATGGCTGGGAAACGATGGCGTGGGAGCAGGAGTGGGTGCATGTCTGGGATGAGCTGGCCTAGAGGGGGCTGTGGTTCCAGGCTTGCAGAACGTGGGAGGGGGTGCTCTGCTGGCGCTGCTCAGTGAAGCAATGGCCTGATGGGAGGGGTGGGGGAAGACAAAGTGTGGGACACTGTTGGGAAGACAGGCTGGCCCTGGGGGGGGGGGGGGGGGGGGGGGCTGTGGTTCCAGGCTTGCAGAACGTGGGAGGAGGTGCTCTGCTGGCGCTGCTCAGAGAAGCAATGGCCTGATGGTAGGCACGAGGGATGACAAGATGATGAATGCTGTTGAGGTCGGAAGTTAATTACATTAAACCAAGTCGGACAAATCCGTGTCAACCACTTGTGGAATTCGCATGCGTTACTGCTCCTATCGGACTTGCAAGAGAACGGAGTGCTTCATTGGACTCCCAATGGTAAGTGAGAAGAGGGCAAGGTGAAGAGTAAAAGGCATGTGGAAGCAAGCAAGACGGAAAATATGACCCTTAACGACCATCACGTGAAAGAAGACTTTTCAGAAAGAAAAGTTCACTGAACAAAAGAAAGCAACGAAGAAGCTTCAGCGGTTTCTATGAACGACAATCTAAGTAGCATGGTGCTAGGTTGTCATGTGCATCCTAAAGAGACCCGTCCACCCTACCTGTTCTGCCATTCTGAGGAGCTCACTGTTGAGGGGAGCGAAGGAAAAGGAGCCACTGTCTCTGTAGGCCCGAGAAGTGGTCGGGAAAAGGGTAAAGTGCAGGACAGCAGAGGAAACCAAAATTCTGTAAATGGTTGAGTCAACCAAACGGGATCGCTTCTTGTCGCTATGAACCGAGACATCGGGACGATAGACTCACGAGAATGACTGACTGATGAGAGCTATCAGCGACGTGCTACGGTTTTGAGCTGGTTAAGTAAACTCTCATATTTCGATTTTTCGCGGTAGTATCAGAACTCGTCAGAAGGGAACCACACGCACCTATCACTTTCAGCTGATCGCATTCGGCCGGGAGCAGTGGAAAATACAAAGCTTTCTCTCAACCCATTCCCTGTCGCACAGGATTGCCGCAGCCATGGCTGATGCTGCTGCCAGTTGTGGCGAGGAAGGGACGTCGTCCCCCCTCTTCCTCCATTCATAGCTGACCCTCCCCCTCTTCCGCTCCCTGTCCCGGTCAGTGAGCTCGTTTGGAATAGCTCACGACTTCCATTTTCACCCCCATTGTTCATGTTGGGCTACAGTAATCGTGCGTCAGCACCGAATGTTTCTGTATCGACGAGTCATGGAGTCGACTAATGACGGAATGACATGCGAACGCCTGGTTGCCTGTGTCAGGAATCCGTTCGCCTGTACCTACTCGACAACAGCCAACCATTCTCTCCGCATCTTATTCCCCAGTTAGCGGAACACGTTCTAAGGCGTAGCGTGATGACGGACCGAGGTCGGTTTCGCCTTTGATTGTGTGTGGCTGACGTTTGTGAGAGAAGTGTTGGTTCAAACCTCGAAACCTCAGTGGTTTGGGGGGCAACTTCAAAGTTCAAACCAGCAACACCTGAGGATTGCCCCCTGCTTCAAAATGGCGAAGGTTTCGGTGCAAAGTTCTGACAAAGATGCACAGTGTACACTCAGCGGACCGAAGCTTTCAGCCGCTACCAGCATTAGAGCACTGCCGAAACCCTGGAAATACCGCCATGGTCGAATGTTTTGTGGACTCCGAGTGCGGGCTGCGAAAAAAATCTCCGGCGCAGCTCATATTGGGTGAAAGCGTCAGGCTGACGTTCAACATAGCAGAAAATATCAGTGCCTAGTTGTAAAGCGGCCAGATACAATTCAGACCTCCATCAACATCCTATTCCAGCACAGAAACTAAACTACAAATGAGAGAGAAAGCAAAAATGGGTCGTGCTAGCTTAATTTCCCAAGGGTTGGTGGCTCCCAGTCTTCTTGGGGGGTGATTTGCAGGCCGACCCTTCTAGCTGTATCACGAAGCCTGGCCTTGAGTTCAGCTTCCCTGTCAATATCTATGTTGTACGATCGCAGTAGATTCTGCATCAGAATAGCAAACAAATATAGAGGGAGAGGGGAAGAAGTGGGGAGTGGGGAGGAGAGGGTAGTAGAGAAACCAAATATGCTCAATAAGGGTGCAGCTCTATTGAGTGTTGCAAGGCGTGTCAGGTTAGCCTAAATCAGCGATCGCCCCAGAAGCCTGACATGGAATGGTAGATTTGCCCATGGTGTCAGGTGGCCTGATACGCTTGGTTGATGCCGCAATACAGCCATAAACTAACAATTGTTGCCACCGAATCCTGCAAGAGCTATACCCTAACCATAGAATGGATGTAGGTACAAGAAGAGCAGAATGGGGTTGCGATGTGCAAGCAGACATGATCTGGTAAGGAACGGCTTAGGGACAAAACATGGCATGAATCAAAGAAGCAGAATCCAGCAGTGAACTTCTCAACGGAAGGCATGCACGAATTGATGTACTATATTTACTTATGGCACAGGAACGCATGCGAGAGGAAGCAAAGGAAAGCAGGGCCCTTACCATGTGACTGAAACGCGGAGATTACAGCAGCGCATGCATACCTGTTGGACAGGATTCTTTACAGCTGCTGTGTTCTCACCTTGTGCGAATGGATTGCGTCGACCAGATCCGCCCAGTCTTTCAGCAGCAGAACACGCCTATCCTTGTCAGCTCCTTTCTCGTCAGCATCGCCACCCGTAACAGCCTCTCTACAACGGTCTGTTGGTAATGGCTCCCTACTAGCACCGTCAGGGAGATCTGAAGTTGGTGCAGAGTCTGCGCGGACCATTTCGCGAATGGCATCGCGGGCAAAGCGATTTCCTGCGATGGCAGTGATGTGGCGATCGGCGACGCGAAGAGCATGGCGATACACGCGAAGCACATCGGAACGAGACGCCATCTGGCCGAGGCAGCAGAGACAAGGCCACTCAAGAATCCAAGGCCCTTTCACACAGTAAACTGTCTAAGCTTCACAGATAAGCTCGACAGCGTTCACAGCCCAGAGAAATGGATTGGGAATCGCACCAACGTGCGACACACTGGGTGCATCCAAGGTTGAACCTCTGTGCCGTCATTGCATGAAAGCAATGGAGCGTGAAGAGCTCTGTCCTCAGGACTGCGGAGAATTGTCTGCTCTGCGTGGCAGTGGTGGGTGAACTGTGGGGGAGAGCTGAAGTGGGTGTGCTGTTCGGTTGGGTGGGTGTAGCCAAGCTCCTGGATGAAGTTCAGTAAGGCGGAAAACTTGTACGATGCCACTCCACATTTCCAAATGGTTCAAATTAGTCTTAGTATTTAAAAGTTTGAGATGATGTAGGTATGCAACTCGAAAGAAGCATTTCAGTCAGCTATACATAATCCTAAACATACAATTATCAAATTTTACATATGCTGTATATAGAAGTTATAGGCTAGCCTAGGTGTGTGTTTCTAATGAGTACAACCCCAACAGGTAAATGTTCTAGGTTTCTCACACTAGTCATTTATTCTCGCATTCTAACATGGTATCACGAGTAGGTTAGGTCCACCTGCCCGCTTCCGCCGGCGCCCTAGCCTCTCGCCCCCTACCTAGCCCTCGCGCCCGCCCGGCCTGTAGCGCCAGCCAGCCCGGCCCTTAGCGCCCGCTCGGCCTGTAGCGCCCGCCCGCCCCTTAGCGCCCGTCTGGCCCGTCGCTCCCGCCCGGCCCTTAGCGCTCGCCCGGCCTGTCGCCCCCGTCCGGCCCGTAGCACCTCTCAGAAACTTAGGAGCCTAGGTTCCTAAAGTTAGGACACTAGGTTAGCTAGGAATGACGCCATGGGATGGTGGGAGGAAAGTAGATATAGGAACGTGAATAGTGAGGAGAAATGTCGAGAAGAAAAGAGGGATTGAAAAGAAGACAGAGGCATACAAGAAGGGGTGTTGTACCCTCTACAGCAGTATTCGGTAATAGTATACCTATAAATTATAACTTCAATAATTTTAATACACCCCCTAGGCTTGGTAGTGTCAAGCCCACACACACCCACACCACACACACACACCCCCTAACCTAGCACCCCATACTCTGCAGCAGCAGCGGCTGTTGACAACCCGGTAGACCTCTCCACGGGCGGGGCGGCGACAACAGCTACGAGGGTGCGGTGGCGACGACGGCGGCGGCGGCAGTCACGACAGCAGCGGCGGCGTGCGGCGGCAAGTAGGCCAGCGGCAACAGCGGCGGCGGCGGGGGCTTCGACAAAAGCAGCGGCGGCGGCGGCGCTCGCCCCACTCGGCGGCGTGGCCAGGTTCCGCAACGGTGGGACGGCCGGTGCAAGGCAGCCATCGGCTGCGGCGAGTAAGAGGGGATGCATGGGACGGGGGCAGGGCTGTAGCAGCACAGGTGTGGCGCGACAAAGTGCGTGTGTGCTGGCCAGCGCTAAGGCCGAGCGCTGGCCGCATGTCGCCACAGCAGCACGACGAGACGGTCGCGGTGGTACGACACGACCAGGACGACGTCAACGCGACGCCACGGTTGCGTGTCGAGACAGCCGCGGCAGGACGGCGCAGCCGGCGACAAGACGACGCCGCCACAGCGTGACGCCGCCGCGGCCGCCATGGCAGCGTGAGGAAAAGGAGAGGAAAGAGCGGCGGAATCGTGAGGAGCAGGCCCGCTAGGAGCGGACGGCTCTGATACCATCTCAGAAACTTAGGAGTCTAGGTTCCTAAAGTTAGGACACTAGCTTAGCTAGGAATGACGCCATGGGATGGTGGGAGGAAAGTAGATCTAGGAACGTGAGTAGTGAGGAGAAATGTCGAGAAGAAAAAAGGGATTGAAAAGAAGACAGAGGCATACAAGAAGGGGTGTTGTACCCTCTACAGCAGTATTCAGTAATAGTATACCAAGCCTATAAATTATAACTTCAATAATTTTAACAGCATCCGCCCGTCGCACCCGCCCGGCCCGTCGCACCCTCCTGACCCCGTTGCGCCCGCCTGGCCCCGTCGCACCTGCCCAGCCCCGTCGCGCTCGCCTGGCCCCTTAGCGCCCGCCTGGTCCGTCGCGCCCGCCTAGCCCCTCCGCACCACCCTGGCCCCTAGCGCCCTCTTGGCCCCTCCACGCCCGCCCGGCCCGTTGCGCCCGTCCGTCCCACAGCGCCTGCCCGGCCCCTCCTAGCACCTATCCAACCCCTCCTGGCGCCCGCCCGGCCCCTCCTAGCGCCCGCCCAGCCCCTCCTAGCGCCCGCCTGGCCTCTCCTAGCGCCCGCCCAGCCCCTCCTAGCGCATGCCCGGCCCCTCCTAGCGCCCCCCTTCGGCCCCTCCCATCGCTAACCTGGCCCCGTAGCGCCCGCCTGGCTCCCAGTGCTCGCTTGGCCCCTCCTAGCGCCTGCCCAGCTCCTCCTCTCGCCTGCTCGGCCCCTCCTAGCGCCAGCCCGGCCTCAATACGCCCGCCCAGCTCTTGCGGCCCGCAGCTCCCAGTGCCCGCCCGGCTCCTGTGGCCCCGTGTCTTCTGCTCGGCACGGTTCCTCGAGTCTCCGGCCCCGTGTCTTCTGCTTGCCCGCGCTGGAGCGTCTTGCAGACGTCCTCCTGGAGCTGTGCTGCTGTGTCCTGTGTGATGGAAATCATGCAAATCTGGAGAGAACTAACTAGAGATTAAGTCTGACGACCTCAGCGGAACATTGCGTGTAGCTCAGGTAACTTCTAGAAATGAGCTTATACGCGTTGGAAAGGTCTTAATCTCTTATTTCTAGAATGGTAAAGCACGTTCATAACCAAGATCTGAGCCGCCGATTATGTCGAAATCAGTGTGAGGGGATATTCTGGTAATTTGGCTAGGCAGCCATGAATCACCTAGTAAAAACAAGAAGGGAAGCAGTTCGATCTGGAAAAGTTCGAGTATGTGATTGTCAAACACCACCAACCCTTGCCCTAGACCAAACCCCAACACTCTCAAGTGCCACGACTGAAATATCAAAGATGTTGTAGTGGGTTTGAGGTTGTATGGGTTGGAAAGGTAACGAGTTCAAACCTTGCCAACCAACCCAAGTTCTTTTGCCCAAATCCCAATAGCCCACAACCAGCTAGAGCAAACTACACCATAGAACACTACACATTTATCACTGTAGAGCTGTGCCGCTGTGCCCCTGTGTCGCTGACCCTGCACGATGGCTGACTTCGTACTCCGCCTGGACGCGGGGGGTCGCGCGGTTAACTTCGCCGCCTGGCTATCCGATCTCCGCCATCAACTCATAGGTCAGCGCCAGGATGGGCACTCCTTGGTTGTCCATGCTGATGGCTTGCTCCCCCGCCGCTTGCTGCGTCTGCTGTTGTCGCTCTCGCTGACACCTCTACGGGTCCTGTCGTCGCTCGCAGCTCCACTTCCCTTCCCTGTCCAGCCGTTCCCTCGGGCTCTCTTACAGGCCTCCACGTTCCCTCGTTCTCCAGGAACCTGGTTAGTGTCGGCTGTCTTCACGACCTCGGCGTCACCACTACGTTCCGTGGGCACGAGCAGTTCGCTGTCTGTACTGAGGCTGTCTCAGGTTCCCCCCTTGCGACGTTCCCCCGGGACCCGGTGTCCGGTCTGTTTACCCTCGACACCGCTTCCCCCCCGGTTGGTGCGTTGCGGCTTGCTCGTGTCGGTCCCTCACTCACCCGTCCCTTTTGTGGCACCACCGCTCAGGTCACCCTACACTCCCGCGTCTGTGTCACATGTCTCAGCACGGTCTTGTCTTGGGCCTCCCCGAGTCGCTCCCCGCCCTTCCCCCTTCGACTGCGCTACCGTGCACGCCTTGCGTCGAGGGCCAGCTCCGCCGTGCCCCTCACTCCTCCTCGCTTCGCCCTGCTACTGCTCCCCTTCAGACCCTGCACCTGGACGTTTGGGGCCCAGCCCCCGTCCCCCAACCGCGTGGTGAGTGCTACTTTCTTGTGCTCGTCGACGGCTATACGCGCTACACCACGGTGTTTCCCCTGGAGTGGAAGGCCGACATACCCGACGTTCTTCTCCTGTGGGTTGTGGTTGCGCGTCTTCACCACGGTCTCCCCATGTTGTGTCGCCACTCTGACCGTGGCGGCGAGTTCGCCTCTGGTCGGCTTGGACAGTTCTGTCATGTGGAGGGCATCACCCAGTCGTACACCTTGCCGGACTCGCTACAGCAGAATGTGGTTGCTGAGCGCCGCATCGGCTTGGTCATGGAGGTTGCTCGCACCTCCATGATTCATGCAGATGACCCCATTTTCTGTGGCCGTTCGCTGTTCGCTGCGCTGCTTACCTGCTTAACTTGTGGCCACGCTCCCAGCGGCCACAGGTTTCGCCGACCCTCCTTTGGACCGAGTCCCAAGGTGACGCGTCTGCGTTCCACGTCTGGGGTTGCCTTGCTCACGTTCGTGCCTCTGGCACGGACAAGCTCAGTGCCCGCACTGTCCCCTGTGCCTTCCTGGGTTTCCCCCTGGACCCGTCTAACGGGCTCTTCTACCACCCGCAGTCTCAACGCTTCCAACACTCTCGTGACGTCACCTTTGACGAGTCTGTCTCCTTCTACCGTCGCTTCCCTCACCGAGGTCTCCTGGTTTCCCTCCCTTGTTCCTTAATCCCTCTCCCCCGATAGCCCCTCCTCCCCTCCCGCCTCGTCCTGCCCCGTCGGGTGTCTCTCATGTCACTCCCCTCCTGTCGGTTGTCCCCGTTGAGGAGTCTGCTGACTCTGGTGGTCCCCCCGGCCCATCCTTGCCGCGTCCCCCTTCCCCGGTGTCTCCCCCCTCACTGTCGCAGTCGCCGCCGCTGCCGCTCTTGGCCTCTAGGGGTGCTGGCGTTGAGGAAGGTGTTCGTCCTGCGGCTCCTGGCGTGGTCTGTCCCGGCGGGCCTGGGGGTGCCGCTGGTGCTGGAAGGGGTTCTCGCTCTGGGGGTGTTGGTTCTAGGGGTGCTGCCATTGAGTGTTCTCCCGGCGGTCGTCGTGCCCCTGCCGGTCCGAGGGTCGAGCACCAGCCGCCGCAGCCATCACCGCCGGTCTCCACTCTTCGCCTGCTCGGCCTTCCCCCCCCTGACCGCTCGCCGGTGTCTCCCGCACCACCTTATCACCTTCCTGTGTACGGCCTTGAGTTCCTGCCGCCAGACCGTCTTCCTCCTTGTTCCCCTTTTGTGTCCCCTCCGCTGTCTCCTGACCCTACACCTCCGTCCCACATTTGGTCTCGCCGTCCCTCACGTGCTCGTCTCGTCTCTACTGTCATGCGCTCCCACCTTATGTTGCTCCGTTCCCACTCGTCTCATCCTCCCCTCCTCCCGTCGCCTCCTCCCTCGCCACTTGTTGTTGCAACTCCCCCGTGTCTGACTACCTCCGTGCCGCTCGTCCCCTTGTCCCTCGGGTTCTTGCCTCTCTTGTTACAGACCCGTCTTTTCCTGTCTCGCGCCTTAACGCGCTTGTTGCTGCTGATGCCGACTTCGCCTCTACCCGCCGCCTTGACTACGCTACCGCTCTGGTCTTTGACCCTGCCTGTCCTCCGTCCGTCAGGGGTGCACCTGCACTTGGCAGTGACATTCTAGAGGGCATGCAGTACGAGCTTGCTTTCCTTTCCGAGGCCGCTCCTCATCTCTGCTCCATGCTCCTAGTCCCAGAGGGTGACCCAGACGCCCTCGACATCCTGACCCCTCGCACTTACGCTGAGGCCACATCGGGACGTTGGGCCTCTCAGTGGATAGCTGCCATGGAGCAGGAGATGGCATCTTGGAGGTCCACCGGCACTTACGTCGACGCAGTTCCCCCGCATGGGGTGAACGTAGTCGATGGTCGGTGGCTCTTCAAGGTGAAGCGCCCCCCTGGAGAGTTGCCTGTCTTCAAGGCGCGCTACGTGGCTAGAGGCTTCAGCCAGCGCGAGGGGGTTGACTTCTTTCAGACCTTCGCCCCGACCCCGAAGATGACTACTCTTTGGGCGCTGCTAAACATAGCAGCATTGCGCGACTACGAGCTTCACTCCCTTGACTTCTCTACTGCCTTTCTTCAGGGCAGCCTACATGAGCAGGTCTACCTGCGCCGACCACAGGGCTTCACTGGTACCTTCCCCCATGGGACCCAGTGGCTTCTCAGGTGCCCGGTCTACGGCCTCACCAGGCTCCCCGCGAGTGGCACGACATGCTGCGTGCCACACTAGCAGACCTGCAGTTCTTTCGGTCCTTTGCTGACCCCTCGCTTTTTGTGCGTTCCGGCCAGACTTCGTTTGACATCCTTGTCTACGTAGACAACCTAGTCTTTGCTACAGCTGACAGGGACGCACTGGCCTCCGTGAAGGCCGAGCTGCTGAAGAGACACACCTGCACTGACCTTGGAGAGCTGCGTCGCTATCTTGGCCTGCAGATCTCCAGGGACAGAGCAGCACGCACCATCATTCTTACACAGTCACACTTGGTGCGTCAGGTCCTTCAGAGGTTCACTCTTCAGTTCTCCTCCGCAGAGCCCACACCTCTACCTATAGACCATGACCTCTCCGCTCCCGTTCCTGAGGAGCCAGTAGAGCCTAGCGGCCCCTACGCAGAGCTGGTGGGTTGCCTCATGTACCTGATGACTTGCACTCGTCCAGATCTTGCATACCCTCTCAGCATTCTGGCTCGCTTTGTGGCCACTGGCAGACACCGACCACAGCACTGGTCGGCCGCTAAGAGGGTTTTGCGATATCTAGCAAGTACATGAGGCATGGGGTTAGTGCTTGGAGGACACAGACCAGTGGTCCTCACTGGGCACACAGACGCTTCTTGGGCAGACGACTCTGAGACTCTCAGGTCGTCTCAGGGCAACTGTTTTAGCCCTGGTTCGGTTTCTATCAGTTGGAGATCCACTCGCTCGTGGTCTGTTGCTCACTCCAGCTGTGAGGCTGAGATCTACTCCGGTGCCATGGCGGCACAGGAGCTCCGCTGGCTGACCTTCTTGCTCACTGACTTAGGTGAGCGGCCTAGCTCTGCCCTGGTCCTGTACGCTGACAACACGGCCATGATTCTCGTGTGCCGGGAGCCTCGACTTGAGGGCAGAGCGAAGCATATCCAGCTGCGGTACCTCCTCCTGCACGAGCTACAGCAGCGTCGCCAGGCCCGCGTAATTCACTTGACCTCCGGTGCCAACACAGCTGATATCTTTACTAAGGCGCTTGCGCCCAAAGATCATCTGCGGCACTGCGTACAGCTTGGTCTTGTTCCTGTAGCTACTCACTTGTTAGGACCCTAATTGTGTACTCTCTACTATATATACCTATCTGACTAGCCTTGTGGCCTTACCTCCAGTGGCTGGACTAGTGATGCCGCCCTGGCTTGCTTTGGTCTTGTTTGTACTCTTGCTGACTGGTCTCAGGACCCCTGCCTCAGTGGTTGGACTAGTAGTGCCACCCTGAGATGCTGTACCACCTCTTCTCTAGCCTAGGGGGTGTATCAACTTATACATATGCTGTATGTAGAAGTTATAGGCTAGCCTAGGTGTGTGTTTCTAGTGAGTACAACCCCAACAGGTATATGTTCTAGGTTCTCACACTAGTCATTTATTCTCGCATTCTAACAACAATTGTGGGTTTTTTATTGTGCGTGGCACCCTAAAGCCTAAAAAACAAATGTGTGAAAGCATGCCTCATCTTATTGAGCATCGTTATGTGTTGACCAATCGATCCAACTCGACATATTTTACTTATGCATTCCTGATATTACACTTAGACTGTACTAGAAGCGTGATACTGTTAAAGTAAGCTAGGTAGGTAGGGGAGAAGCCATGGAATGGCGTGACGTTTAGGAAGGAGAAAATGTAGAGAATAGAGAGAATTGGAATAGAAGAGAAGGAGATACAAGAAGGGGGGTAGTCCCCTCTAAAGTGGGATTTAGTAAGTAGCACAACTACCAAGCCTACAATTATATATAAAATATATAATTTAACACACCCACTAGGCTTGGTAGTGGCAAGCCAATCCCACCCCCAGTACCCCCACATCCTTGCACCCCCATTCCATGCAGCAGCAGTGACGTTGACCAGCCAGTCGACCCCTCGGCAATCGAGATGGCGACGTCGACGGCGGCGTCGGCGACTGTGGCGGCGGCAGGGCGTGCAGTACCTGCGGCGGTGGCGGCGGCGTCGAGGCACCTAGCGACGGCGACTGCGGCACCCGAGGCAACGGCGGCATGGCTCAACCTGCGACGACGAGGGGGAGGACGGCACAAGGTCGCTAGCAGCTGCGGTGAAGGGGAAGGGAAAGGCAGAGGAGGGGAAGGGGGGAAGGGGTGGAGGGCGGATCGTCAGCGCGGCGCCATGGCTGGCCCGGCGCTTTCTGGTGTGCAGGCGGGCTGGATGCGGCTGCGCAGCCCGCTGCCGCTCGTTCGTTGGTGCGTCGACGTCGCCGCCACGGCTGGACGTCGACGCCACGACAGCGCGACGAGGCTGCCAGGGCAGCAGCGTCGTGACCGCCGCAGCTTAACGACACAGCCGGCGGCACGACGACGCTGCTACAACATCACGACACGGCCGCCATGGCAGCGAGAGAGAGAGAGAGAGAGAGAGAGAGAGAGAGAGAGAGAGAGAGAGAGAGAGAGAGAGAGAGAGAGAGAGAGAGAGAGAGAGAGAGAGGAGAAGAGAGAGAGAGAGAGAGAGAGAGGAGAAGAGAGAGAGAGAGAGAGAGAGAGAGAGAGAGAGAGAGAGAGAGAGAGAGAGAGAGAGAGAGAGAGAGAGAGAGAGAGAGGAGTGCGCTGCGGAAGCGAGTCCAGCAGATTGAACCTGCTTTGTTACCATGTTAAAATAAGTTAGGTAGGTAGGCGAGAAGCCATGGAATGGCGTGAGGTTTAGGAATGAGAAAATGTTGAGAGAAGAGAGAATTGGAATAGAAGAGAAGGAGATACAAGAAGGGGGTAGTCCCCTCTACAGTAGGATTCAGTAAGTAGCACAATTACCAAGCCTACAATTATAGATAAATATATATAATTGAACAGATACCTCATATGGAAGGACGCGCGTGATGACGTCAACAGTAGCGAGAATAGTAAGTTCGTGCAAATAGTAATCCGAAGGGTCATGCCACTCTCAGTCACACAAACAGTCACTAGTCGTGTCACGCGAACAGTCGCCATACACTACGAACAGGTACATTCCGAATAGGTACTTCCTAGACTATAAATATGTATGTATTACTTATTATTGGTATCCTTGTCATTTAGAACATTTCCAATACAAGGTGTGAAGTCTTCTGCTGTCTTTTACTCGTAGTTCCACCAACTCTAGATCCTGGCCACCCTAAACGCGTGGTTCACTTCTTCGTGGTATTCTGAGCTAGTGGAGTTACAGGAACCGATACAAGCAGACTTTGATTACGCCCTTAAGCTTAAAGCGAGAATCTCGAAACCTCCGAACTCAATAACTTAGGTTTTGATCCTGGGGGCATTTTGTATGGGGATTAAAATCTAAGGTTTTGAGTTGGGGGGTTTCGAGATCCTTGCTTAAAGTTATAGATCTATAATTATATCGGCTGCGAAGACAGGAAATTCAACTACGAATTCTCCTACTTCTGGTCTTTCTACTGATGATCTATTTGACTTCGCTTCCTTGATGGCTAATCAGTCTACTCAACAGCAACAACAGGCTCCATCGCATCCTACAGCTTCTACGACCCTTGATAACTCTAGTTATGCCAGAGCTGTTGTTGCGGCTAGGCCTTCAGCCCTTGGAGATCAATTAGCTAGGTCTTTTGCCTTCCATGGGCTACCTACTCAACCACAGCAACAACAACAACCACAACAGCAACAACATCAAATGGCAGAAGAAAGACCATGCGCTACAGAAGCTCTCGTAAATCAAGCAGATTTCCTAACTATCTCCAAGTTGAAGACCTCAACTTACTTTGATGGCCGCGACTTCTATACTTGGGGATTCGAGTTCGAACTCCTCGCGCAATCTTCTAGTATGTGGGGATATTTCGACGGTACAATCCGTTATCCAGATACAGGAACGACCGAAGATCAAGCGCATTATTACAAGTATTCGCTTATGGCCAATACACTACTGGTGCGGAATCTCTCACCAAAACAGCAGTTGGGAGTTCGGTGCTTCAAACCTTCACTTGCTCTAACCTTCTATGCCTGGGACTACTTGCGAAAGTTATATCAAGCACAAGATTCCGTCACACAGAGCAATATGTTCAGTTAACTTACAGCAATGCAACTGCTTCCAGGAGAAAAAACCGGCAGCAACATTAACAGGTGTAGAACACTTCGGGATCAGCTCAGCAAATGCGGAGGAAACCTCAGCAACGAGCTCTTCGTCACTATCCTTCAGACTCGACTTGGACCCGAATGGAGGCAGTGCAAGTTCCTTCTTCGTTCCCAAGGGAACATCTCATAAACTTCTCTTTGCGCTACTCTGATGGCGGAGCAGCAGGACTTGGACCTCTACAACGCAAAAGGAGGCAAAGCCAAGAGTGGGTTAAGCTTCTATACAGGTGGATCAATTCAAGAGGAGCAGATAACAGGTACATCAAATTAATAGGAGCAGACAAGAAAATGAGGAAAGGGCTTCTACAAATTCTACAACAGAGCAGGAATAGAAGAACAGGAATCGGGAGAAGTCGGGTGAAGCCGCCTCTGTCAAGACTATCTCGCTGCCTTCAGCTTCTTCAACTCAACCTGCAAAAGGAAATGCAATTATTAATTGCATGATTGGACCACATTGGTCTAGTGGTATACGCTAATGGAGTCGACGAGACAATGACAACGACAGTGACATGGAAGAAGTAGCAACCAATCTACCTCCACGTCTTTGTCCTCGTTCCAAAACTCCAAAACCATTTGTCGTTAATGAAGAAGAACCAGAGCACCCGACCGGGTTTCCTCGATGGTTGAACATGCAGCCGTACACCCACATCTCTAAGCATACGTATCCCGAGCATGTTAACACTTGGTTTCTTGACAGCTGCTGCGGTCACCACATGGCGTCTTCAAGTCGCTATCTCCTCAACTAGCGAGACCTGCGAAACAGAGAAAAATACAACATCACAGTGGCCAACAATCAAGTTATTGAAGCCACCGGAATTAGAGATGTGATACTAGAGTCCGACGACACCGAAGTTTCACTTCAACTTATTATCTTAAGCGCAGCTAATGGAAAGTGAAATATGCTTCGTCAGCACCGGCAACACGATGCTCATGGAGTTGTATGTGGGCAACAAGGAAAAAGACAAAAACAATTTAGTACGCATCGCAGAAATTAAAGACGGCGTTTCTGTTTTACGTTTTTTCACATGTGAAGGCATCTGGCGATAATGAGAAGAATGTCTCACTTGCTCCTTGGCATCATCACTGGGAAACGGATCTTCAACGCCAAGACCATCGTTGTCTCAATGTCCTCTACGTCACGCCTCAACCTTCGCGCACCAAATTCCTCGACGAATTGCAGCAGAGCCAACTGAAGCAACATCAGCACCAGCATAAACAGTTCAAAGTACATGGGCATCTGTAGATGGAAACTGGGGTTACGACAATCCAGAACCGACATCTGCTGTAGTCCAAGAACCTATGGAGGTTGAACGTACATGGGGCAAGAAAGAGTTAATCATACCTGATGCTTGGGCGCGTCGCCGACATCTCGTCATACCTTGGGTTGAAAATGCAGTAGAAGCCGAGTTCATCCAGCCTTCGGCATCGGCCGTCGCGTCAACTCTGCACCAACGATTCATCTTTTGTCGACCTTCTTCCTTCACTCCGACTTGTACCTGTGTTCAAAGCAACACATGACTACAGCAGAAATCTTGTACAAGCGGTTAGGTCATCCCTTGCAAGAAGCTCTCAACAACTCGATTAAGGCATCGGTTTTCGACAAGGACGCACTCCTTCTATCCAACGGCCAAGAGCTTCGACCTAACAGTCGTCAACTACCCTGCACCATCTACCCCGGAGCTCACCAAAGTCACGCTCCGTTCCCGTCGCACTTTCCAAGTGCTACTAAGTACTCACCTATGGATGTCGTTTTCAGCGACATACTCTTCATGCCGCAGGAAGCAGAAGATATCAGCGGCAACGACTACCGCTATATAATTACCTTCATCGACGGTGCTACTCGATGTGTCTAGCACACGAATATCTCTTACAAGTCTGAAGCTCTTGACGCCTTCAAACTATGGCTGAAAATCGTGGAGCAGTAGAGCGGCATCAAGCTGAAAGAGGTCCAGACTGACAACGCGAGCGAGAACACTAGCGAGCAATTCGATGAATTTCTGGCGCGGAAGGGGATACTTAAGCGCAAGACTGTGCCTTACGCCCATTAGCAGAATGGAGTAGCTGAGAGAACTAACAGAACGTTGCAAGTGAAGATGTGCGTGCTGCTGCAACAGTCCAGCTTGACAGCAGACTTTTGGCCGTTTGCGATGGCGCAAGCTGTTCGCATACACAACTGCGCGTCTTCATCAGCTCTCCGTCATTTCAGTTCGCTACAAGTCGTGTGGACAAAACACCTCGCCAATACTTGACTATTACAAGTTTGGGGCTGCATGGTCCAATACAGACCTCGAAGCACAACTGTGGGCAGATTTATGAAACGAGCTCGATGGGGAATGCACCTCGGTGTACCAAAGGATTCCCATTTTTGGATAATTATGGATTATGAAACTCGAAAGGTCTTGTATGGCCGAGATTGCATCTTCTACGATAAAAATTTTCTCGATGACTTCGAACGCGACAAAGGAACCCCAGCAGCAGGTTCCTGATCGCGACAGTGCCGAGCGGCGTTTTGTCACTCCTCAAGACGAAGCAGATGCACGCGAAGAATATTATCCGCCCGACATCGCAGTAGCAGGACCTTCTACAGCTCCACAACCATCCTCGTCAGCAGCCGAACCTGGTCCCTCGTCACGAGAAGAACCATTGTTCGAATCCTATATCCCTTTGACACGTGCCAACAACACAGAAACCCCGCTCTTCATTCCTGTCTCGGACCCGTTGTGTCCTGCCATGTTACAGGCTGCCTACAATTATGAGGAGCACTTGCGCCGACATAAAACTGACGCAGCATCACATGACAGTGCGTGCCATCTGCCACCCGAAATTGACGATGATGACGTCGTCGAAGTTTGCCAACCTCATCCTCGTGGTGATCAATCGGCTCTTCAGATCCTCGGTCTTGCTGTCGCAGTTCAGCAACCAACGACCGGGATCGAGCCGAAAACAGTCAAGCAGGCCCTCTCCGGCCCTGATGCTGACAAGTGGCAAGCAGCTATGGATGCAAAGGTAGCAACTCTCAAGAAGCGGAAAACGGGGAAACTCGTTCCACGCGAAGCAGCACGCAATAAGAAATTTCTTTCGGGCAAGTGGGCCTTTCGCATAAAGACAAATGCAGCAGGCAAACCAAGCAGGTTCAAGGAGAGATGGGTTGTTCGAGGTTTCGAACAAACCTATGGCATCGATAACGATCAGAATTTTGCTCCAGTCAGTCATCATAGCTCAGCTTGAATTCTTCTCGCCATTGCTGCCAGCCGCCACCTTCCACTTTGCCAACTGGACGTTAAAAATGTATTTTTATACGCAGATATCGATGCAGATATTTTCGTCAAACTCCCTCACACTTACGGCGACGGACTCCACATCCGCAAGTTGCTTTAATCACTCTACGGCATCAAACAGGCTCCTCGCATATGGCAGCAACATCTTTACAAAGTGCTGACTTCACTCGACTTTGTGCAGATGCCCGTCGATCCTGGAATGTATAGACTCGAATTTCGGGGGAATTAAATTCTCCTAGTCGCCTACGTGGACGACTTACTGTACACCGGCTCGTGCAACACTCTTTTGGCGCGCATGGTGGAAAGAATCCAGACGATTCTTGAGGTGACTATTTCCTCCAACGCCACCCAATTTCTTAGGTTAAACGTCGACTGCGGCCCTGATGCCATCTACCTTCCTGCAAGCAAGTACGCAGAAACACTTGCGAAAAGGTTCGCCATCGCTCCTATTGGCCTCACCATTCCATTTCATCACATTTCGACCGATCACACACCTGATACTACCCCACTTACCGCCTCCGAGCATCCGCTTTACGAGCAGCATCTCGAGTGTCTTCTACTTGCAGCTGTTACATGACATCCAAATCTTGCCTACATCACGAGTCAGCTCGCACAGTACCTGCGCTAACCTGAAGGGGAGAATATGGCCGATCTTCGTCGAGCCCTCCAATATTTCATTTCTACTCCTACAATCGGTCTCAGCTACATGACAAATACTGCAACTAATTTTCGACTGACTGGATACGTTAATGTGGATCACGCTACTGGCCCCGACAACAGGCGTTCGTGTACTGGGTTCATTTTCAAACTTGAACCGGGTGGTGTCATTTCTTGGAACTCAACAAAACGAGAAGTCATTGCATTTTCGTCAGCCAAAGCAGAATTCGTCGCAGCAAGCTCTGCAGTTCGCGAAGGACACTATCTTCAGGAGTTACTTTAAGAGGTAAAAATCGCAACGACACGTAACTTCAAGTTACTCTGCGATAACCAGAGCACAATCAATATTTCTAACAAGCCCGGCTTCGTCAACAGGACAAAACAAATCGCTATCCGTTACTTCTTCGTTAATGACGAAATCAAGAAAAGGAAGGTCATCATGAAATACTGCCCTACAGAAGAAATTACAGCTTATTTTCTGACGAAGAAACTCCCACGCGGCAAGTTTCAGTACTGCTCCAACCTGGTTGGAATCTGCAAATGCGGCGACACTTACTCAGAGACACACTTAGGAATGAAGGGGAGTGTTGAAGTATACTCGATAGAGTTTACTTATGAATTCCTGATATGAAAATTAGACTGTACTAGTAACGTGATACCTCATATGAAAGGACGTGCGTGATGACGTCAGCAGTAGCGAGTCAACGCATGAATAGTAGGTTCACGCGTGTAGTCACCCGAAGGGTTACAGCAGTTTCCGTTACACGAACAGTCACTAGTATTGTCAAGTGAATAGTCGTGATACACTACGAACAGATACATTCCGAATAGGTACTTCCTAGACTATAAATACGCATGTATTACTCATTATTATTATCCTTGTCATTTCGGACATTTCCAATACAATGTGTAAAGTCTTCCGCTGACTTTTACTCGTGGTTCCATCAACTCTATATCCTGGCCAACCTAAACTGGTGGTTCACTTCTACAGTTACTTAGACGCTTAGAATGTTCTCAAAGAAAATGGTGAATTTTAGGGCTTTGAGACGTTGAGTAATTGTATGGGGTTGTGATGAGATCCGAGAATCGTTTAGCTTCGAGTGTACTATGCACCATCTCCAGGCGATTTTGCTTGCATCAACATTCGCTGGTTATAGCGAGTCATCTGACAATCTGATCTGATGGTTTTTATGTTGTGGTTCTCATTGCCGAGCAGATGTGTTTGAGCCTAACGGATGGACGACGTTCATCTAAAGATTCCCATCAGTTCCCTTCCCATTCGCAACGTGAGGTCTGCGTGGTGGGGGCTTCACCACCGCACAGCATCAGAGAAACGCTGTCCAGTTCTCTCATGTGTCGAAATGATTGCTTTTTAACACGGGAAGGGACACGGGTAGCTCCAGCACTCTAGGAATGGGGTAGAAAATATCAGAGGCCTAATCTAGACCGTCCGTGAGGCATGGAAGATTTGTACTGTGCCTTGGCTTGTCGGAATGCCTTCAAACCCTACTGGTTCGGTGATTCGTTCCTCTTTCTTGCCCATTTGAGAGACCTCGGGGGGATCCCGATTCCTGACCCCGACCCGAGGAATGACGGTGGTCCTTTTCGTGAGAGTGCTGCTGCTGCAGTGCAGAGCAGTGGAGACCTTGTGGTCGTGTTGGGTCGTTCATTCTCCTCCATGCACTAAACTGGACTGCTCTAAATTGCAAGTTATGAAACTGAGCTAGCCGAGAATAGTCCAGCGATTGTCAGTCAAGCCACGAAGTCTATTGTGTAACCCTAAGTAAGCAATCTTGGAAGCTCGCTTCTTACCTCTGCTACGGTCGACCGAATAGGCAGGTTTCTGCAGTAGCATAGGTTGTCCGCAGCGTGTTCGAAGCAGGAGTATGTCCCGTCGTGCCTGATTGTGCTGCATTCTGCATTCGTGTTGTCTAATGATGAATAGCGTAGGAGCATCTGTTAGTCAATCAGGGTCGCAGGACGATGCCCAGAAGAAGATTCGGAAGCCGTACACCATTACCAAGTCCCGGGAGAGCTGGACGGAGCAGGAGCATGACAAGTTCCTAGAAGCCTTGCAGCTGTATGTCCTAATTTTAGTAATGAGTATTTAACAGCACATCTTTAACAGCCTTCACTACGTACGCAGTTTTCTCGGGAATTCCGCGACGCTCACCTCGTAAGTTTATTCGATGTGGTGTCGTGTCCGTCCACAGATTTGACCGGGACTGGAAGAAGATAGAGTCGTTTGTCGGAACCAAATCAGTTATTCAGGTTAGTAAGGGAATTTTCCTTCGTGAGGATTTATCGACCCGGATTTCCCCATTAGGATACAGATGTCAATATCATTACCCTCATGACACCATTTTCCATCAGCTCGCCGATAGCACACCGACAGCGGCCGCAATTGCAAACTGCAAACGTGACGCGTCATGCTTCCGTATTTTTCTACGTCGAGACAGTTCTAACGCGAAATTCCTGTTCCGCAGATTAGGAGCCACGCGCAGAAGTATTTCCTCAAGGTTCAGAAGAACGGCACGGGGGAACACGTACCTCCACCCAGGCCGAAACGGAAATCCACACAGCCGTATCCCCAGAAGGCCAGCAGCTCAAAGTCTGGAGGTACCTCCCTCCGCGACCTCACCTCTAGCCGGCTTCTTTTCTCTTAGCAGTCTTCTTTTCCACTATCAAACCCACAGAACGTGTGGAGCTGCTTGTTACGCCATCTGTATAGCCGGTAAATTCCGTCATCCGTTCAAGGGAGACACAGCTGTTTAGTTGTTTTCTCTGGCACGCTCCCACCGCTCGTCCTGAACTTTTCCTCCCTCAACCCACTCACCGACCCCCGTGCTCCCTTCTTCCCCGCTCCCCTCTCCGCTCCCCCTTCTCCGTTCCACCTTCCGTTGTTCCCGCCGGCCCAATCCCTGCCTCACCGGACCAATCTCTGCCCCGCTTCCCCTCCCTGATACCCCACCCCGCAGCATGCGGCGACGCAGGGCCCACATTCTCAGGCGCGGGGATGGCAGGTCCCCTCCCCTCGCCGTTCCCCCCCGGTGCGCTCATCCCCTCGGCGTCCGCGGCGAGCCTGGCGTCCCCCTCCTCTTCCACCCCCTCCGCCATCGCCGCTATGAGCATGTCGGGCCTGGGCCACGGGCTGGGGGGGTCCGTAGGCGCGTCTCTGGCGTCTCTGGGAGTGTCGGGCAGCCATGGCGACGCCGCAGTAGCGGCGGCTGCGGGGATGGGAGGGATGGCGGGGATGGGAGGAATGGCGGGAATGACGGGAATGGCGGGGATGGCGGGGATGGCGGGGATGGCGGGGATGGCGGGGATGGCGGGGATGGCGGGGATGAGTAGTGGAGGGATGGGGAGCGGATGGATGCACCACGGCATGCATCCGCCTGGCGTCGTCTCGCTTGCTGCTAGAGGTGTGTGATGGTGGCGGCGGCGTGGCGGTCGCTGGTGTTGTTGATGCGGTCAGAAGCATTCGTTGTGACTTGCATGTGGCTGCCATCCACCGGCTGTGTCTCGTGCTGAAGTGGCACCTTTACGCGTGTTCCTTTGACGTTACTGACCCGCCTCTTTCGTTCGCCCATCTGTGCGGGTTGCAGGCGGCGGGTCGGCGAGCATGGGAGCGATGGCAGAGGGACTGATGGCCGGGGCATCGCAGCTGGTTGGCGGCGCCACCAACAACGCAGGAGCCATGTGGATGGCACAAGCTCAGGTGCGCTTCCGCGTGCACGCTGATTGCGATATTTCTGATTCTGGTTGCACTCGGTTTTTGCCGTGTGACGTGCGTCAGCACCCCGTGCTTCAATCCAACAGCCCGTGCGTGCCCCAGTTCCACCCGACTGCGTTCCGTCTTTGCTGCTTCGTTTCCGCACTGCTTCGTTACCCCGCTGCTTCGTTTCAGAGCTGTTTCGCCTCGTCGATATGTCCCTAATTGCGCCGACCCCCCACCCCACCCACCCGCTTCCCCCCCTTTCGCCCCAAGCAGAGGCAACAGTCGTCTGGAAACGTCAGCGAGCAGAGAGTTCGCGGTAAGAATGTAACCATTCGCGCACATGCGTCCCCATCATCCAAGTACGCATTTTTTTCCTCTTCCGCGCTCGTCCCCTCCCTGTTCTCCCCCTAATCCTCAATTCTGCCGTCCCTCCCTCCCTCCCTCCCGCCCTAACCCCCTTGCAGCCACGCCTGACTTCGCGGAGGTGTACCGCTTTATCGGGCTCGTCTTTGACCCCTCCACCTCGGGCCACCTCGCACACCTCAAGGCCATGGCGCCCATCGACCGGGAAACCGTGAGTTTGGCCTTGCCGCGGCATATGCGGCAAATGAGCTCGCCTACTCCGTGGATTCTACTTCATCGTGTTCCACAAGTTGGGGTCGTGATCAGAATCGCATCGTGCGCCTCTTGGCTCTCAACGCGCCATTCCTTCCTGCTTCCCGTTTCCCCGTGCGTCCCATTTTTCGCGTGTCTGCCGTTGCTCGTGTGCCGTTCCTTCCTCCTCCCAGGTGCTCCTTCTCATGCGGAACCTCTCCATGAACCTCGCCAGCCCAGAATTCCAGGAGCACGTAAGTCTGCTTACTCGCTGCACTGCACCGGCCACAGCGAAGCATTTGCTCGTTCAGACAGATGCGCAAGTGCGGGCTCTGGCCTTCCCCTTGCTCCTGTCGTCGTGAGGCCTTTGTTTGTGTCGACTCAGATCAGATGTCGCACGTGCTTGTCGTGCACTGCTCCAGCCTTCATCTTTCATCTCGATTCTTCGTCTGTTCGTTCTTCTGCTCCTTCTTCTGCTGCAGGACGCCTTCATGCAGCTCATCAAAGGCACGGGCTGCACCGACGCCTCGCCAGCAGCAGCAGCAGCAGCAGCAGCAGCAGCAGCAGATGCTTCAGCGCAAGGAGCAACAGCAGAAGCCGCAGGCGATGCGACAGCAGGAGCAACAGCAGGAACCCGAGAGGCAAAGGGCGAGCCGTCAGCCGAAATCGCCAAGTCTACGGGCGTAGGAGCTGAGATGGCCGAGGCGGTGAACGAGGCAGAGGAGAGGGCTGCCAGTGCCAGGCAGACACAGGCCCAGGAGCAGAGCCGGGGCGGTGGTGAGGGCAAAGTGAAGGAGGAGCAGGGCGCGGAGGAGGGGAGCAAGGAGAGCGCTGATGCGGCAGGCGCAGGCGCAGGCACAGGTGCCCGAGAGGCTGTGTTGGAGCGAGCAGCAGGGGGCGGTGGCGCCGTGGGGATGGAGATGGAAAGGGGAGAGCTGAGGCGGACGGATGAGGCTGTTAAAGCACAGAGGGTTGGCGGGGTCGATGGAGTCAATGGAGTCAACGGGGTCAACGGGGCGAACAGGGTGGCCAATGAAACAGAGGCTCAGCGATTGGGGGATGCGCAGACCAGACCAACGTGTGCGGCTACCAGTGCTGATGATGAGAGAGGTACAGCCTTTGGTGCTGCTGCTGCTGCTGTTGGTGCTCCAAATGCGAGAGGGGCAGAGGGTGATGCAGCAAACGATGCAGGTGATCAAAGGGGCGCGGTGGACTGCTCACAAAGTTTGCAGTCAGAAAGGGGTGGTGGCCCTGCTGCTGTTGATGGCAGTGGGGGAGGAGGAGCACGAGGCGGAGGAGGAGTAGGAGGAGGAGGAGGAGAAGGAGGAGGAGGCGGAGAACACGGACCGGGTACTGAGAGGGGCACGCATGCAGGAGCCGCTTCGACTGGACCCGCGTCTCTGTCTGCTGGTGCTGGCGCGAGCGCAGCATCTGCTGCAGCAGCCGCCGTTGCAGCAGCAGCGGGAAGACGAGCAGGAGCAGCAGCATCAGCAGCAGCAACATCAAATCCTTCGGGAGTCCCAAGCCAGCCAGCGTTTGCCGCAATGCCCCGTTCACAGTCGTCTCCAGTACCCAGCAGCACCGAGCACCTGCTCGCACAGAAGCATCAGGCCATGCTGGTCGCCATGCGCGGCGCCACAAGCAGCGGAGAGGGGGGCATGCAAGGGAATGTCCTCCGCAGCTCGAGGCCAGATATGCCCCGCAGCTTAGGGGGGGGGATGCAGGGGGGGATGCAGGGGGGGATGCAGGGGGGGGTGCAGGGGGTGATGCAGGGAGGAATGACCCTGGGGGGTGATTCCGAGGATCTATTCGCCATGTCTCAGATGATGTCTGGCTGGCCGACCTTCGCTGGGTTTGATCTGCCAGAGGATGCCAAGGCGGGTGGTGGTGTTTCGCCCTCTGCCACTCTCCCGGCCGGCCTCACAGCCTCGTCATCGATGCCATACCTGCCGCAGTTTCTCACTGGTGCTCTGCTCAGCAGTAACGACGCTGCCTCTGGCTTGCCCAACCCGTTTTTTGCTGCTTCGAAAGCTGCTGCTACAGCAGCTGGCGCCTCAACAGCAGCTGGTGCTACAAATTCTGGTGGTACAGCAGCGGGTGCTACAACCGCGGCTGCAACTGCTGGCCTTGCGCCAGGCGATGGCGTTGCTGCTGCTGATGCTTCTGCCTCTGCAGATGCGGGTGCTGGCTACGGCGCTGGCATGTGGCCCATAAACGGCTCAGCTGGTATGAGTGGCATGTCTGGCATGCCTGGCATGGGTGGCATGGCCGGTCTATCCCGGATGACCGAGCTGACTGACTTGACCGGATTGAACGCCATGGCTGGCTTGAACGCCTTTGCTGCTTGGCCAGGTATGCCCAGCATGGCTGGCATGGCTGGCATGGCTGGAGCAGCCATGGGTGCTGGAGGAGGAACAGTAAGTGAGCCATCGGCTGAGGCAGCAGCTGCAACAGCAGCAGCAGCAGGGAGCGCGGGGAGTGGTATGGGGACAGGAGCAGGCGACGGCGCAGAGAAAGGGGCAGGAGCAAGCACTGGTGCAGAGGCACTGGCACGGGCAGGAGCTGGGGCAGCACGAGCAGCAGGGGCAGGCAGCAGTGGTGCTGCTGGTGGTGCCGCTGGTGGCGGTGGTGGTGTGGGTGCTGGTGGTGGTGCGAGCAGTGGTGGGGGCCAAGCGGGTTTGTGGACTGGTGGGAGGGCAGGGGGGGGTGGCGTGGGGGGAGAAGGCATGGCGGGGGGAGGTATGGGGGGAGGTATGGCGGGGGGCGGAATGGGGGGAAGTGGCATGGTAGCTACCATGAGAGGCTTACCTGGAGGCGGTGTTATGGCAAGGCCAGCTGGCATGGTCATGATACCCGGACATGAAATGGGCCAGGGCATGGGGGGTGGCATGGGGGGTGGCATGGGTGCTGCAGGTATGAGTGGTGCGGGCATGGGTGCTATAGTGATGGGTCCAGGTATGGGAGCTAACATAGCTACCGCAGGCTTGGGAGTGCATGCGCGGCCAGGTTTGGGTCTAGGTCCGGGAGCTGCAGGCATGGGTTTACGCCCAAGAACTCCAGGTGTGGCAACGGGGGTTGGTATGCGAGGAGGTGCAGGCACAGGCATGGCCATGGGCATGGGCTCTGCACGACCTGGCATGGCAGCGGGCATGGGCATGGGCGGCATGGGCATGGATCCAGGCATGGGTGTTAATATGATGGGTCCGGGTATGGGTATGGGTATGGGTACGGGCATGGGTATGGGTACGGGCATGGGTATGAACATGGGTGGGATGCCTATGGGTTTTGGAGGCATGGGCATGGGCATGAGGCCAGGGATGGGAGTTACGGGCATGAGCACAGGAGGCATGGGTATGGGTGGCGTAGGGTCAGCTGGCATGGGTATGCATGGCATGGGTGCCGCTGCTGCAGGTATGGGAAACTATGGTGTGAGTGCCATGGAAATGGAAGGTATGATGGACGTTTCAATGCCTATGGGCCTAAGCGGGGCATCTGAACATTTTTACATGCCAGGGATGCTACCTGGGATGTTCAAATTTTCAGGGTCGGGTGGAGCTGTGATTCCAGGAGCAGCAGCAGGAACTGGGGTAGGTGGACCTTCTGTTCAGTTTGGAGGTCTCACAAATGGAATCGCATCAAGTAGATGACTGCTGGAAGTTGAATGGAGTCCCTTTTTTCTCCAAAGCCACCTTGGTTTGAGCTGCATTTTCGCTCTGTATTTGCTGCCTACGACTTCAATTACATGAGTACTAGTCTGTTCTTGTATGGCCCAGAGTGTATTTAGTACTGTATAAGGTACGCTCCCTGTTGCAGTTTGGGCATCGGCATTGTCACATGGCGCCGGTTCCATCTCTTCAACGGAGCCAATGAGCACTCCAGGTGTTTTCGCAGCTGCCAGGCGGTCCACAAGAATCTGCCCGTGAATGTTTGTAATTGTTCGAGAGGTTGGGGTGGGTGGGACCTGATTTCAACAACAAAGAGAGCGAGTAGCAGAAGCGTTCAACTTGTACACCGACTTTCGACACCCCATAAGGAATGCTGCGATAATCCTGTATATTCGCTGTTTGAACGTTTACTGTACTGGACACGTCCGTGACACGTGTTCCACTCCATGTTCGTTCCACCAACCATTTGTGCCACACATGCTGTGCTGACAGTTCCAGATTTTTAACCCACACGCATCAAGCTCGCTAGGTGGCCCACTATCCACTGTTCATCCCGAAAATAATCATGCGCGCGTTGGCAACAATACACTTGTTCTTCTATACTGTCTCACCCATAACAGTTCAAATTTTAATCCCACCTACCAGGCTGTAGGCATGACTCGCGTTGACACTGAACCTGATTGGTTGCAGTCAACAAAGCGCAAGTCGAATTTCGACAATTGCGAGTTCCAGAGTTGGGACGTCGCGCAGTCAACTTATCTAGTGCATGAGTGAAAAATTGTAACCAAGTATCAGTGTTCACTGTGGGTTTTCATTTCCTTCTTACAGGCTTGAGCCGCGTGCAAAAATGGATAAAAAGGGAAAACCATTGTACAAAACAGCTGTACTGTACCGGCTGGGTGGCTCCCACGTGTTACGGACCGAGTGTTACAGCATTCTCACCAATACGAAGCACGCGTCGCATGTGTCTCAGAAGTGCTGCTTCGTCGTTTCTTCCGCGCTCGAACCATCCACTTCTCTGTTCCGCATTTTCCGCCAGCAGCCCCAGTTTGCACCTCCCCCAGGGCTTCATCCGGCGCACAGACTTGGGGCTTCCGCGCGCAAGCTGCGGGTGCGAGGTTCGGAGGATTCAGCAGCAGCATTCATTCGTCCCGCGCACGCTTCCAGCTGCTCCCATCCCATCCCAACCTGAGCTGCAATTCTGCGCCCACACCTCACGGGGCGAAAGTTCCTCGGCTCGCCTTCCTTCCTCCGCCTCGCCTCGATTTCGCCGCGGTGTCCGCGTGACGCGTTTCTCATTCCAACTGGTGAGTCAGATGACTCACTCGACTCGTGTCAAGGGGCGTTTCTCCCTCATCTTCTACAGCACAGCAGCTTGCAGGTGCAGCACAACACCAACCAGTGTACATTCGAGCCATAGATAGTACATTCCAAAGCACAGAAGCATAAACTGATTCCATCATCTCTTCTCATTGCCCAGCGGCTCAAAGCTCATCCAGTCTGCTCCTCGTTCAGTATTATTATCTTTATTTCTCCAAGAACGTCCTCTCTTCTGCTCACCAAGTCCCGTGTTCCTTCCGTAGCGTTCAAAGCGTCTTTATTCTGCTTCTCAACGCACCTCTTACTCGCGGCCATTGCCTCCTCCCTGCCACAAGTTCAGCCTTACTTCCCTCGCCTCACAGCCGGATCTTGAGGCGCCTAGAAGATTCTATCCGCCTCCTCCATGCCACTGGTTCAGCCTTATTGCCGTCGCTTCTGAGTTGCAGTTCTAGGTCAGGTCAGCATGAGACACGAGCGCACTCCGCTACTATCATGCCTCGCCATAGTCACATGGTGTGCGACGTTGCATCTCCGCGCGCTGCCAGCCTCGGCGGCGATCGTCGTCGTCACTCCCAAGAACGCATCTTACGTCATCAATGACGTCGACGCTAACTTCGGTACGCTCCTCTCATCCAGCCTAGCCGTCAGACTCCGCGCAACCAGCGCAAGCATCGCAAGCCCCACACGCAGCGCAAGCAACGCGCAAGCAGCACGCTTAGCACAATCACCGCGCCTCAAATTCACCACGCCTCCCCCGCTTAGCTTCACGCCAAACCGCCTCTACCCTTAGCTGCCTGCCGAGCCGTGGCGCGTCGGCCAAAGCAGCAGTACGGCTGGTACAAGCATGTCGGTGTGTCGCCCTCTTACCAAGTGGCTCTCCCTCCCGTCTGTTGTGTTGACTGAAACCGTTGACGGAAACCGTCTTCTACAGTGTCTTTCGTCGCTGGCCTGCTGATCACGCGCATTGACCGGGTCAACGCATCGCGCCAACACTCGTTGACTTGCCCTCTTGCCTTCCGCCAGCCCACCCACCACCTCTTGCTGCCACGTCACCGCTGCCACGTCACTTGCCAAAACTCGGTTCTCCCCCCTTTCCCCCCACCCTCCCTCCTTCCCTCAACGGCATCACCGCTCAAGCGGAACGCCGTTGGTTTAAGACGTGGGATCCGCGGAGTGGAGTTCGCAGCCCATCCTCCCTCGCTCCGCCATCACCGCTCCAGCGCGGCTTCACGTGTTGAGGCGTCACAAAATGCGCGGCTTCGAATTCCTCCTTCCCCCCGTCATCTCTTCCCCCCCACCGTCCCGTCCCCCTCCTTTCCTTCCCCCGCCCGCCCCCCTCCTTTCCTTCCCCCGCCCGTCCCCCTCCAGGCGGCGTCATCCCCTCGAGCGGCATTCGCGGCGTTCTGCGCATAGCCGAGCCGCTCGACGCGTGTCAGCCGCTCGCGCACCGCGTAAAGCGCGCCGAGCGGGCGTTCGCGCTGATCACACGTGGCAACTGCCTATTCGACACCAAGGTGCTGAACGCGCAGCTCGCGGGGTACGCAGCCGCGATAGTGTTCAATAACGAGGACAGCGAAGAGCTCATATCGAGTGAGTAAACAGCGGCTTTCATGATGATGCGATACCGTTTCCATGACTAGTTAACATTCTCTCCTCCCCACAATGTTCACCCATCAACCTCTTCGCCCTCACTCACTCATCCCCCTCCCCTCTCCTGGTTTTTGAGAGCTCTCAAAAACCAACTGCAGTCGTCCCCCTCCCCTCCCCTCCCCCCCCCTCCCCCCCCCTCCCCCCCCTCCCCCCCCCCTCCCATCCCATCCCCTGGTCCCCGATCCCCTCCCGACCACTCGCCCCCACCCCCTGCTCACCTTCTCCTTCCCCCCCCCCCACCGCCCCCCAACCTCCATCCCCCCCCCCCCAGTGTCCGGGCGCAACGTGTGGGACGTGGCGATCCCCGCCGTCTACATCGCGCACGCGGACGGGCTGCTGCTGCTCTCGCTCGTGTCCTCGCACCCCGCGTCGCTCCTCATCCTCCTCCCCACCCTCTCGGGCTCCCTCCTCCCGCTCCTCGCCGCGTCGCTCCTCGCCCTCCTCACTCTCTCCGTCTTCCTCACCTCGTTCTTAATCATCATGCGCCAGCAGCGGATACGGCGCGCGCTGGAAGAGGCGCGGAGGGGGGGCGCGGGGGGGATGGGGGGAGCGGGGGGGTTGGGGGAGGAGGGGTTGGTGGTGATGCGCGCGCTGCTGCTTCCGCCGCCCGATAAGCACACCGGCTTATCGGCTGCTGAGCTGGAAGCGCTCCCCGAGATTACGTATTCGCCTTCTATGGAGGACCTTGCAGCGGCTTGTAAAGGGGATGGAGGAGAGGAGGGAGAGGCGGTTGGGGGTGAGAGGGAAGGGGACGTGGAGGGAGGGAGGGAGGAGGGGAGTGAGAGAAGTGGGGGGAGTGGGCGAAATGATGATGGGAGTGAGGGGGGAGAGGAGGAGAAAGTGCCGATGAGGAGGAGAGTGTGGAGCAGAGCGCTGGAGACGTGTGCTATTTGCTTGGATGATTACCAGTCAGGGGACCGGCTGAGAGTCCTGCCATGCCGCCATGGTGAGCTCATCTGTTTTGCTATCCTTGTTTTCTTTTTTTAAGCCCCAGAAATACTTGAATGTAACCACGACGAGAGCGAAACGCTGGGAAGGCTACCGAGCTCGAGAACAGGAAGAAACATAATTGGCATATGGCTGAGTAGTGTGTGGACAGATGCACACGGGGTCACTTGAGATAGCAGCTTCTGGCAATGGGATGAACGAAACATCCGGCACAGAAGGACGATGAAACGGCACAAAGATCAATGAATGATGTGCACTCATGTGGCTCAATGTCTCTCCTGTTGTTCCTCCTCCCCTCCACCCCTCACCCCCCACCCTCCACCCCCCACCCCCCATCCCCCACCCCGTCCTCTCAGAGTTCCATGCGGCGTGTGTGGACGAGCGGTTCACCACCATGCAGCATTTGGTTCGACTCAAAGGCCTCTCCCTCCCCCCTCCCACCTCACCTCGCCCTCATCCCCCGCAGAGTTCCATGCGGCCTGTGTGGACGAGTGGCTCACCACCAAGCAGCCCCTCTGCCCCATCTGTAAGGGCGACGCTCACGTGCCCTCCACCTCCCCTGCTGACTGCTGCGCTGGCAGCAGCAGCAGCAGCAGCAGCATCAGTGGCAGCAGCAGCAGCAGCATTTCCATCACCAGCAGCAGCAGCAGCACTAGCAGTTCCCCCAGCCACAGTGCCACCAGCACCATCATCACTGTCTCTCCCTCCACTCCTGCAACTGCTTCCAATCAACGCCTCTCCTTCTCCTCTTCTCCCTCCTCTCCCCGCACTCAATCCCAATCATCCTCACCATCGTTTCTCATTTCTCTCCTTCCCCAACTAACTTGGCTAAGACTTTCCACCAACTCCCAAACCTCCACATCCGGCCCGGCCGTGCCTAGCCCGTCTGCTGCCGAGCCTGAAGCAAGTGACATTCGGCAGCCGTTCCTTCTGCCTCCTGTTCCCGCTGCGTCTCCTCCTTCCCCCCCCTCCCCTTCAGCTGCTGACTCAGCAGCTGTGGCTGCTGAGCTGTCACACCGAGCTGTTGTGAGCATGGGATGATGCATCTCACATCATCTCCGTGCAACAAGCTTTGCATGTGCCAAACCTGCTGAGGGAATGTCGAGCCAAGACATGTGCGCCAGTGAGGCACACCCCATACCATCACCTGGCTGCGGCTGGATAGACACGAGGTACAAAGCAAAGGCCAAGCTAAAGCTGGGCCCTCCACTACCCACACGGACAATTCCCTGCTCCCAAGCTTGCCCGTCTCAGACACACTGTAGTGACGTGATTGCTCGCAAGTGTGATAACGCACCTGAAGCTGCTTTCTTGTGCATATTGCTTTGCCACCATGGCAGACTAGGCAGACTGTACCGAATGCTGTGAATTGTTTCATTCTTCTATTAGAGAAGGGCATAGTCATGATTCATAAAGCAAGTGTTCCACTTGTAATTCCAAGGATGTTATATGTTCTACACCTCTGTAATGTGAAATCAAATCACAATTCCAAATTCGTGTGGCCCAGCAGCAGCGGCCCACCGCGTCGTACCTTGGGATTGTCACCAGCCATGTGGAGCTCTTCCCTCCCGCTTGGCCCCTGTGACCTCGAGTTCAGTTCGAAGTTCGGTTCATTTCTCCCTGAGGGCCTTTCCAGCGCGTTCAGTTTTTCCTAACACGCACTTTTTACGCCTTCTGATACATGTTCGAAAAAATGTTACAGGGAATGTAGATGTCGCGAGGCTCACCATTTGACCGCGGAGAGCATGCTTGGCTCGGCCTTGTGTCCAGCCTTTGACAGGACGAATGCTCTGCGCAGCGAAGACAAACGAGCTTGACGAAATAAACAGAGTTACGGTATTATGAGTCTGGAATACCAGGCCTCGCTGTTTTTGCCAAGACATTGACGAATGTTACCGAAAATGACGAAGTCTTGTGTTTACATTTCGCCAGCCAGGATTTGCCGTTTCTGGCGGGAGTTCATTTTGGGCACGAGATCCAGCCGCTTCCGAAACGTGCGCAACACGACTGCTGGAACGCTTCGAGAGCGTCTGCTAAGAACGACGCCTTTCAAGTGCGCCCTAAAAGACACGCTTTTCAAGTGTGCCCTAAAAGACACTTTAACTTCTGTACTGTCACGCCAACTGAATAGTACACGAACGCGATGGACACGCCCTCATCTCCTTCTTCCCTCTTCCCCACTTCCTCCTTGTGTACCCGCCGCCTCTCTCCTCCGCCGACTGCGCTCACCTCCTCCCTTGAGCGCGTATCCCTAGGGCGATCTTCTTAGCGATATAGTTTTAACGATCATTTATCAGCGATCCTTCTTGCCACCGCCAGTCGAGCTGATATAGGGTTCTGTTATAGGCGGTTCTCGTTATAAGAGAGCCCGATGGGGGCGAACGTGAGTCACGCGGCGGCTGCGCCATCGGCCCCTCCGCCTCCGCCAATGGCGCCTGCGGGAATCCCGCCGCCCCCCGCGGGCCCGGTCGGCTTGCAGCAGGTCGTTCCGCCGGCTGACGCGGCGGGAAACGCGGAGAAGGCTCCGGAGAAAGTGGACTATCTGAATTTGCCGTGCCCCGTTAAATACGAGGAGATCCAACGAGAAGCACTTAGTAAGCACTTCTAACGAGGATGAGGAGAAGATTCTCAGACGCTTATTATTACAGGAGGATTGCAGATCAGTCCAGATCAGCCCAGATCGGGTCGGATCAGATCAGACACGGGCCAGGTACAGATCATGCTCGTTCACTGCCAGCTGTCATCCATCGATTCTGGATAACCCCTGGTGGTTCGAATGCCACGTGGGTTTCTGCGTCGATCCGGCTCATGGTCAGGCCTGGTTTGCACTTGTGGCCGATTAAGTCACCGGTTCTCGCACGTCGTCTTCTCCTTATTACGTCCCTGGAGAAATAAGCCTAAGGAGTAGAAAGCGCGCCTCCGAGCTTTCGAGGATCCGCCGCGAGGATAAAACTATAACGGGGATAACGCTACAACGGAGATGAAATTAGGGTGTCGGGGGCCAATGGCTGCCGGGCGTGTTGACGTGGTCTGCCGTGCTCGGAACGCTTGATCAGGCCTTAACCGTGTTATGCCTGGGATTCGCGATCAATACCTTTTTTCACCCGCCCTCTCCCCTCGGTCCTGGCCGCTTTCATTCTCCATTTTCTTCCCTCTTCTCCCCTCTCTCCCCTCTCCCCTCCCCCCATTGTTTGTAAATCGTTTTATTTTCTTACCTTCCAAACCTCTCCATCTGCATCCCATCGACTACCCTCCTTCACCCCCTGTGTTGAGTGCAACCGATGCCTCAAATACTGCGCTCCTCCTCGTCGCCATCCCCTTTGCCCACCGCTCCTCCCCCTCCCCCTCCCCCTCCCCCCTCCCCTCTCCCCTCTCCCCTCGCCCTTCGCTTCTGCCGCAGTGGGTCCGATTCCTCCCGCATTTCGCTCTCATTTTCCCCTCCCCAACTCCTCCTCCCCTAACACTCTGTCGTCCTCCCCTCCTATCCTCACCCACACTGTCGTTGAAAGCCCGATCTCCTCTCCTTCTCGTCTTGTCCTCTCCACTATCCTCCCGCGCAGTGTCCTTAAAGCCCGATCTCCTCTCCTTCTCGTCTTGTCCTCTCCACTATCCTCCCGCGCAGTGTCCTTGAAGCCCGATCTCTTCGAGGGTCTCCGCTTCGACTTCAACAAACCACTCAACCAGTCCTTCTCACTCTCGCACAGGTGCGTCGTCTTGTCGCTCTCTCACAGGTGCGTCGTCTCGTCGCTCTCGCACAGGTGCGTCGTCTCGTCGCTCTCGCACAGGTGCGTCGTCTCGTCGCTCTCGCACAGGTGCGTCGTCTCGTCCCTCGTCCCTCGTCGCTCGTCGCTCGCCCTCTCATTCATGCCCTCCTCCTCCCCGCGCAGTCGCTTCTCCCGTCTCTCGCATCTCAGATTCTTTCCCCTTCGCTCTCTTACACCCCGCGCCCCCTCAACCCTCTCCCTTCCTCCCCCCCCCCCCCTCTTCCCCTCCCCCCCACTTCTTTCTTTCCCTGCCCTCCACATCCCGCGAGTAGTGTGCGCATGGGCAATGCCCCTCTCAGGCTCTCGGCTGAGAGCTCATGGGAGATCCGTAGCTCTCAGCTCTCTCTCGCGCTTCTCCCGCCCTGCGTCCTCCCTCCCCACCCCACGTCCGGCCTGCATTGTGCCGAGGAGGTGCATTCACAGGTCACGTCGAGTCAGTTAATTGCTCTCTTCTCCTTCCCTCCGTTCATTTCCCCTCCCCTCCCCGCGTGCAGTGTGCTGACGGGCAGCGCGGAGGTGCTGTCTCAGTCCGGGGGCATTCTCAAGGTCATGTCCGAGTCAATTCAAATCTCTAATTCTCTGTCTCTCCTCCCCCCCTCTTCCTCCCCCCCCCCCCCCCCCCCCCCCCCACCTTTCCCTCCCCGCGCGCAGTGTGCTGATGGGCAGCGCCGAGGTGCCGTCTCAGTCCGGGGGCATTCTCAAGGTGCCGCACTCGTCGTACGAGTTTGGAGCCAACGTGCTCGACGCCCAGGCAAGTGCGGAGTGAGCGAGAGGATTCAAATGTTGCTGTGCTCTGACATGTGGGAGTCCGGGGGCATTCTTACGGTCCCGCACTTGTCGTCGTACGAGTTTGGAGCCAATGTGCCCGACGCCCAGGCAAGTGCGCAGTGAGGGGAGAGAAGATCTAAGGGCTCCCTTGGAATGTGGGTATTCACGGGGTAGCCTCGGGAGTCCCCCGCTCGTCGCACGAGTTTGCTTTGGAGCCAACGTGCTCAACGCCAAGGCAAGAGGCGCTCTGGTTTGTGGTCTGGTCCCTCTCTGCCCTTTTCCTCCTCCTCCTCCTCCTCCTCCTCCTCCTCCTCCTCCGCCTCCTCCTGTTGCCTCATCACCTTGCTTGCTTTTCCACTCCTCTTGTCAATTCTCATCTTGCTTTTCCACTCCTCTTGTCAATTCTCATCTTGCTTTTCCACTCCTCTTGTCAATTCTCATCTTGCTTTTCCACTCCTCTTGTCAATTCTCATCTTGCTTTTCCACTCCTCTTGTCAATTCTCATCTTGCTTTTCCACTCCTCTTGTCAATTCTCATCTTGCTTTTCCACTCCTCTTGTCAATTCTCATCTTGCTTTTCCACTCCTCTGGTCAATTCTCATCTTGCTTTTCCACTCCTCTGGTCAATTCTCATCTTGCTTTTCCACTCCTCTGGTCAATTCTCATCTTGCTTTTCCACTCCTCTGGTCAATTCTCATCTTGCTTTTCCACTCCTCTGGTCAATTCTCATCTTCCTTTTCTTCCCACCCCTGATTCTCTCTCCCCGTCGACCCCTTCGCCACCCCCGCCTCCCTACGTGCCGTTGTATTTTGAGTCGGCTGCCTACGTGCCGTTGTATTTTGAGTCGGCTGCCTACGTGCCGTTGTATTTTGAGTCGGCTGCCTACGTGCCGTTGTATTTTGAGTCGGCTGCCTACGTGCCGTTGTATTTTGAGTCGGCTGCCTACGTGCCGTTGTATTTTGAGTCGGCTGCCTACGTGCCGTTGTATTTTGAGTCGGCTGCCTACGTGCCGTTGTATTTTGAGTCGGCTGCCTACGTGCCGTTGTATTTTGAGTCGGCTGCCTACGTGCCCTGCCTACGTCAAAATACCCCCTCCTCCCTACGTGCCCTCTCGGCTGCCTCGTGCCCTGGCTCCCTCCTGCAGAAGATGCTGATTGGTCGGATGGCGGACGGCAGGCTGAGTGCGAGGGTGAGCTACCAGCTAAGCGACAGCCTGGCGGTCAAGGTCAACGCGCAGATCGTGAACGAGGCGCACTTCTCTCAAGGGATGTTCCAGCTCGACTACAAGGTGCGTGTGGCTTTTTTTAGTCAACCAGTTGATTGAGGGATGTTCCAGCCTCCAGCTGGACTACAAGGCCCTTATCAAATGTAGGAGGTGTGTGTGGCTTTAAGTTTCAACCGGTTGAGTGCGAGGGTGAGCCACCAGCTAAGCGACAGCCTGGCGGGCGGATGGACAACGAGCCACGCTTCTCTCGAGGGATGCTCCAGCTGGGCTGCAGGGCGCGTGTGGGGGAGAATGTGTGCAAGTCTTTGAGTCGAGTCAAAAGTCACCTCGTGTGGGGGAGTGTGTGCATAAGGCAGCGTGGGCTGGCGGTCACGGTAACGGACAGCACGGATGGACAACGAGTCTCGCTTCTTGTAAGGGATGCTCCAGCTGGACTGCAGGGCGCGTGTGGGTCTCTGGGGGCTCTACGGGGGCGTGCCAGTCATATCGGGTGCGCTACCAGCAGCTGACTGGTCACTGACAGCCTGGCGCTGAAGACCAACACGCAGATTGTTAACAGTTGTTCTTGTAGCGAAAGTTCCGTGTGACATTGTAACGAGCTGAATCTTGCGTCGACTCGAAAGTCAGCCTGGCACTGAAGGTCAACACACAGATTGTGAACAGGCCTCATAAGTCATAACCCCCCGACCGCCACTCCCCCTCCCCCCTCCACCCTCTCCCTTCCTCCCTCTCTCTGTTTGTTCAAATTGTATATACCGTTTTACAGGGCTCGGACTACCAGGCGCAGGTGCAGGTGGGCAACAACGCGTTCTACGGAGTGAACTACATTCAGAGCGTCACTCCCGCACTGTCGCTGGGGGGGGAGGCCTTCTGGCTGGGCCACCAGCGGCGGTCAGGCGTTGGCTTTGCGGGGCGCTACAACACAGATAAAGTGGTGAGTGAGTGGGCGGTGCAACACAGATAAAGTGGTGAGTGAGTGGGCGGTGCAACACAGATAAAGTGGTGAGTGAGTGGGCGGTGCAACACAGATAAAGTGGTGAGTGAGTGGGCGGTGCAACACAGATAAAGTGGTGAGTGAGTGGGCGGTGCAACACAGATAAAGTGGTGAGTGAATGGGCGGTGCAACACAGATAAAGTGGTGAGTGAGTGGGCGGTGCAACACAGATAAAGTGGTTAGTGAGTGGGCGGTGCAACACAGATAAAGTGGTGAGTGAGTGGGCGATGCAACACAGATAAAGTGGTGAGTGAGTGGGCGGTGCAACACAGATAAAGTGGTGAGTGAGTGGGCGCTACAACACAGATAAAGTGGTGAGTGAGTGGGCGGTACATTCCCACGACGGAGTGAGGAGTGGACTACATACATTCAGAGCGCCACTGCCGTGCCGTCGTGGGCAGAGAGGCCTTCTGGATTGGCCACGGGCGGCGGTCAGGAGGAGTGGGCTTTGACGGGCGATACAGCACGGATACAGTGGTGAGTGCTAAATTTTTCTCCCAGCAGCTAGTTGGCTGCGTTTTAAGTCCCCGGAACCACACCCTTCATGCCGTTCAGAGTTCTCTGCGTTCTTTTTGGTTGCCTTCGACCATTCCGTGGTGTTTGTTGTGTTCCGTGTTTTTTTCTTTCTAACAGCCTTCTGCTCCTGCCTGCCATCCCACGCCCCTCCAGGTGGCAACAGCACAGGTGGCGAGCACAGGAGTGGTGTCCATGACATACGTGCAACGGGTGTCCGATAAGGTGTGTGCTGGTGTGCTGGATAAGCTGTGTGCTGGATAAGGCGTGTGCTGGATAAGCTGTGTGCTGGATAAGCTGTGTGCTGGATAAGGTGTGTGCTGGATAAGGTATGTGCTGGATAAGGTGTGTGCTGGATAAGGTGGGTGCTGGATAAGGTGTGTGCTGGATAAGGTGTGTGCCGGATAAGGTGTGTGCCGGATAAGGTGTGTGCCGGATAAGGCGAGTGCTGGATAAGGTGTGTGCTGGATAAGGTATGTGCTGGTGTTCTGGATAAGGTGCTGTGCATACATCATCACCACCACTTACTGCCGTTCATTGCTCATCGGCACCTTGCCCCACCGCGCATCAACCCTTATCACCACTCAAGAACCTCCTCCATAACAACCATGTAAAACAGCCCGTCAGCTGCTCCATCCCTCTTCTCAACGGCCTGCTGTGACCCCTATTGGCCCCTCCCTTCCTCCCTCGCACCCCTTACCATTCAATCTGGGAACGCTGCCTCACTGCCTCACTGCCTCACTGGACGCTGCCCACTGCCTCACTGGACGCCATCCGCTGCCTCCCTAGACAGTGTCCAATAGCGGTCTTCTTGCACAAGTTGCCCTAAGCATGGTGAATCTGATAGTCTGTAACCCCCTACACCCGCCCCTCCCTGTTCCCAGGTGAGCCTAGCAGCGGGACTTAATGTGCCTATCACCACCTATCTGCACCTATCTGCACCTATCTGCTCTTATCAGCACCTATCTGCACCTATCTGCACCTCTTATTTTCCCCTTTCTATTCCCTACCTCCATCCCGCTGCATCCTCGTTGCCCTTTCCTCCCTCCCCGTCCTAACATCCCGCTTCGTCACCCCCAGCCCACTTCCCCAGGAGGTCTTAGCAGCGGATTTCCTGCGTGTTTAGCCTTTACCACTTGGCCCTTCTCTCCCCCACCCGCTTCCCTTTCTTCCTCTTCCAGGCAGCCTTAGCAGCGGACTTTTTTGCACAACTGGCCTTGTCAATACAACACGCATGGTCCGTTGCTCCCGCGTCCCCCCTCCGCTTCCTTCCTCTTCCAGGTGGCGCTAGCAGCGGACTTTTTGCACAATTGGAACAGCAAGGAGTCGGCAACGAGTGTGGGATACGACTACATCCTGCGACAGGTGCGTGACTGTAACGAGACACGAGTGTTCAGGGAGGAGTGAGTGTAGGTGTGTGGCTGTTGCTACTACACCCTCTGGGATGGTAGCATGGGATGCGTGCACAGTTGGAACAGCAAGGAGTGAGCCATGAGTGTGGGATATGATATGATATGATTACATTTACATCCGGCGACAGATGTGTGACTGTAATGAGCCGTGAGAAGGGGGGAGGCCATAGGTGCTTGTTGTTTGCGTGCTGGGAGGGATTAGTGCACACGTGGAACAGCAAGGAGTCTGCCACGAGTGTGAGACACGACGCGACTACATCGTGCGACAGGTGCGGAGCTGTAGCAAGATGGGTGACCTTATTGATTGTGACTGTAACGAGAGTGGCTGTAACGAGGTGGCCGCACAGACTGTGAGTGTAATGAGGAAACTCAGGGTGGGACTCTGGGACGTGGTTAGAGTGGTCTCACCTCTGGAGGCGTGTGACAGGTCCATGTGCCATGTGCGTGCCAGCAGTTGCCCCTTCTTCCATACCTTGAACTTTAATTCATTTCATCTCTCCCCCCACCCCCTTCCCCCCTCCCCTCCCTTTTCTCCCCACAACTCCGTCCCTCACTTTGTACCTTCCAGTGTCGGCTGCGGGGGCGGCTGGACACCAACGGCTGCGTGGCAGCGTATTTGGAGGAGAGGCTCAATCTGGGGGTTAATCTCCTCTTCTCCGCTGAGGTACGTGCATCCAGTGTGGGAGTTAATCTCCTCTTCTCCGCTGAGGTACGTGCATCCAGTGTGAGTGTTAATCTCCACTTCTCCCCTGAGGTATGCATCCAGTGGTGTCTGCATCCTCTGCCGTTCGTGGCTGCAGTTTTCACAGCAATAGCCCCCAATGGATGCATACATCAGCCAAGGAAGTTCATTTCCTTTTTACCTGTCCTTTGTAGGTGAAGTGTATTCGTCTGAATCTTTCCTCCTCCGCTGCTCTCCCATCCCACCCTCCTCTCGTCGTTTCCCATGCTCTTGCATTCCGAGTATCTCTGCGTTGGATCTGTTAGCACTTAATACTTAGCTTTCCCATTTTTGCGCTTTCAGGTGGATCATTGGAAAAAGGACTACAAGTTTGGCTTTGGCATGTCTGTTGGAGAATAGCCTGTGACGCGTAAATTCAACTTCCCAACCCAACTCAACGCCTCCTGTTCAACCAAGCCTCTGCAACTTCTAGGCAATATTGATACAGACAAGACGCCTGCTGTTCGTTATGCAATATCGTCGAAGCTCTAGACCATAGGATGGAGGTTGGAATTGTGGCCCATCCATGAAGCAAAGCAATGCTGAATCGAATTCAGTTTTTAGCGTTAATTCGGATGTAGTGATGTAGCCCCGCAGCGTATAATGGGTCTGACCAGTTTCCTTCCAGCATAATTATTGCTTCTTGTGGTGTTTCTGCGCGTTCGCTAACGACGGGCGACAGTTCCTCATGCGAAAGGAAGAGCAGGAATGGCTAACGATAAGTTACCCTTTATCGTGTCGTGAAGACTGTTTCGCGACTGGAGAGTTTGAAAGACGGCAGTGCTGAGGCGCACTTATGTCAGGAATCTTGTGATGTGTTCCATTCGTTGCGTTTGGTAACAGGTGAAAAACCATTGTAGCGGATAGATCCTTTTACAAATGACGTCAACACTGCCTTTTTAACCCCCACATCGAGAAGCTTGAAGGCCTATATGGCGTCATTGGTCCTGCATGGCGTGGGTTCGCGCTGTTATTCTGACATGGATTTTAGCTCCTTTCCTGCAATATTTTTCTTTGGAATACCCCCTCGTAGTCTAGATCCACGCGGCTCGTATCCCAATTTCCGGCATCGAAGCGCGTGACTTGAGACATCATAGGCGGCAATAATGTCCTGGCGCCAGCGAGCAGCAATAATCGCCCGGCCCGGCTGCCCAAAAAAAAAAGAGGGCATTCTTGTTTCAGCCCAAGGCGCGTGGCTTGCGAAACATGGAAACATCGCAAGGAGCAATGTTACACCAGAAAGGTTTTAGGCGTTCATCCGACGGTCTGTACAGAAACATATGGAGTTCAAACCGTCCGATCATGAAGCAGATTGCCTCGCAGCTCGCAAGCACGGGTCCCAAAATCCACATGCGATGGGTGTCACAGTGTTCGTGAAGCCTGCGGCACGCAAGGAACTGTTTCCCTGCAGGTTCAAGAAGAGTGCCCTTGGACGCCACGGCTTCCCCCACTGCCGCGACACGACGAACACGCGAAGCTGGGGACAGAGCAGCCATTCTGCTTCCTATAAGAGCGACGCTACACACTCAGTAAGGCATCCCGCAACCCCAGCAAACAACACGAGCAGCACGACAAGAACGCTGCTATCATCGGCCTCAAAGACTCACAGGCCCTCGCACGAGTATTACTATCGTCTCTTCCAATCGTCACGATTCAGGGTATCTTGCCGTCCCCCAAGCCATGGCGTCACGGGCTTCTCTCGCACGGGTAATATTCTTAGTCCTCCTCGCGATCACCCTCTCCTTTAGTCTGCCCCAGGCTGCCTTAGCGCGTCGCGTGCTAGCGAGGGGAGCTGCAATTACTCCCGTGGAATCGGCGCAGATCGGTCCAGAGGCGGCGAGTGTGGCGCAGAGCGGTCCAGAGGCGGCGAGTGTGGCGCAGAGCGGTGCGGAGGACCCATGCACGGCTTGGAGCGAGGAAATCGCGACGCACGCGGCAGCGAATTGGGACATTGCGAAGCCCTCCACGGTTCGCGAATGCTTGCGAAACTTCAAGCTCAGGTGAGCAGCTCTCCGAGTCACCGCCGACATACTCCTTATCATGTCATTACAACTAATACTATACTAGCACTCATTTACCCTGGGAACTACTAGATTCTCCATCTCAGATTCTTACTCTGCTCTTTCCGTTTCCCTCTGATGGAAAACAGAGAGAGCGACGTGGAAGATCTACGGTCCGTGGTGAACGGAATCAACAACCACTACGTTTACAAGGATATCGCCGTTGACTCGCCGGACCAGACGAATCTTCCCAGCAGCGTCGACATCGTCGCGGAGCTGACGGCCATCCTGCAGCGCGCCGAGCAGGGCGAATACGAACGGCTGATGGACGTCCACGTGGACACGCTCAATGCGATCAACGGCCTGAACGACGGCCATACGTACTTGTCGTCGAATTGCTTTTTCAGCACGGCGAGCTTCTTCCTGCCTCTCCCGCTCTTCGCAGTCGTGGAGGACGGTCAGCAGATCATTCGCGTCGCGACACGCCAATGTGAGAACGGTGCCGCGTTTTTAGAAAGGTCTCTCTTTTTCGTCACTCACACACGCGCATGCGCAGCGGCGGGCGCACGCGCGAGCGCACATACATGCACACATCTCGCAAGTTCTATCATGATGTCGCTGATGCATGCCACGCGAATCCGCGTGTTACCCTCCTTCAGACTTTTCGTGGTTCACGGGGATTGACGAGGACGCCAAGATGCTTTGGGACTTCGACTTCTCAGCGTACGAGCTACAGCAGGTACACTCTCGTTACAAAAATGCTGACTAAGCACTGATTTCTACAATGAAAGTAAGGAGCATCACAAACGAAGTCACTCTAAGCAATAGGTGACCAGCAATTGGCGCCTGCTGGCCCTTCTACAACGCTCACTGTCTGTCTCTGTGCCTACCTTTCCGGCCCATCCCCGAACCTACGCCTGTGCCTGGTATCGTCTCGTCTCGCATTTGAGTCGACTCAAAAGCAGACTCTGCCTGGTACCGTCTCGTCTCGCAGTGGGCACACAAGTACAGTGGCATGGCGCTCAACCCCAGCACCACTGTCCCTCTCTTTCTCTCCCTCGCCCTACCCATGCCCCCTCTTCAGGTGGTGGCCATAGACGGGCAGCCCGCCGTGGAGTATATCAAGAGCTGGGCAGAAAAGTACGGCGGCATGGTGCGCAACCCCAGCGCGCGCTTCAACACCATGTTCGCGGGGCACGTGCCCATGGGGCGCGGAGGCAACATGAGCCCGCACCCGGGGGAGTTCGTGCTGAGAGAGCTGGTACCCGAGGCCGACACGCTGCAGGTGTCCATTTTTAACGGGTAAGAACAAGGCGTGTAGGGTAGGATGTCCCGGCGAATCAGCCATATTCTGGTGAACTGGGTGTGCCATGAGACGAGAGGAGTGAGCCCGCGTTCAGGGGGGTCGTCTTGCAGGAGCTGGTTTCAGGGGCTGACACGCTGCAGGAGTATACCCTTCAGGGGTGAGAGAGGGTTCTGAAGGGTGTGAGGGTGGCGTGAGGGTGTCGCACACCCTCAACTGTCCGGCATGTGGCTTTCGGCCCACCTGTTGGAGGCCGCTTTTCCGCAACAGTATTCCCCCTTCATTCCCAGCTCTGCAACGGCATCTCCCTCATTTCATTCTCAATTATGTGTTCGGGCCCATCATCTTCCCCATTCCCTTCTCCGCATCAGGGGAGCAGCAACGAACGTGAGCGTGCCGTGGATGGCTATTTCCTACTCCAAGCCGTTCGCCGACTCAGACGCCTACTGGAGCCTCAACTGCGCCAAGCACCAAGAGCCGTGCGCAGCCGACGCCGCTGCTGCTGGAAACGCACCAAACGCCAACAGCAGCAGCGGCGGCAGCAGCACTAGCAATGGAGCGAAAGACTTGCGAGGCGAACCACCAGTGTTCCGACACGATGTGCTAAGGCACCGGCCACAGTACCAGCAGCACCAGCAGCCACACCCGCAGCAGCAGCAGCAGCCCAACAAGCAGAAGGAGCAGGAGTCTTCTTCCCACAACAGCGGTACAGGCAGTGACTCAAGCAGTGACTCAAGCAGCAATGAGGTCTCCGCCAGGATGCCTCTTGGAAGCGAGGAGTCAGGAGTAACAGTGGAGGTGGTCTCTGCTGACAACGCTTACTTCCAGGTGTGCGGGTGTGGCTCTGCGTTGGATGGGAATATACGTGGGAGTTAATGTATGTGATTCGTGAAATAAGCGTGTGCATTCCCATACTCCTCAAGTGCACCTCATCAACAAGCAGGCAGCAGTCACGCACGGGAGTTGCCTTACGCCCCTGTTTGCCTGTCTACCTTCCCCCTCTCGTCCTCTTGACCCCCTCTCGTCCTCTTGACCCCCTCTCGTCCCCTTGACCCCCTCTCTTCCCCTCGCCCCTCCCAGGTGTACCTCATCAATCAGCGCACAACAGTCATTGTGCGGCACACAGCTCACCCCCTTTTCATTCTCTTGGCCCTTCCCACCCTCTTCCCCCCCTCTTTCCCCCCAGGTTTTTCTCATCAACAAGCGCACGGCTGTCATCGTGCTGCACACCTTCGATGTCGACGACACCACAGAAGCTGAGCTGGCAGCCACGCGCCCCGACGTTGATGTCCTGGCCTACCTGGCTGGGGAGATTATCAGCGCCATGGAGGCAGCAAGAAGGTGTGGATATCCCACCATGCATCCGTCACACCATGCATCCGTCGCACCATGCATCCGTCGCACCATGCATCCGTCACACCATGCATCCGTCACACCATGCATCCGTCACACCATGCATCCGTCGCACCATGCATCCGTCGCACCATGCATCCGTCACACCATGCATCCGTCACACCATGCATCCGTCACACCATGCATCCGTCACACCATGCATCCGTCACACCATGCATCCGTCGCACCATGCATCCGTCGCACCATGCATCCGTCGCACCATGCATCCGTCACACCATGCATCCGTCCCACCATGCATCCGTCGCACCATGCATCCGTCGCACCATGCATCCGTTGCACCATGCATCCGTCGCACCATGCATCCGTCGCACCATGCATCCGTCGCACCATGCATCCGTCGCACCATGCATCCGTCGCACCATGCATCCGTCGCACCATGCATCCGTCGCACCATGCATCCGTCGCACCATGCATTCGTCGCACCATGCATCCGTCGCACCATGCATCCGTCGCACCATGCATCCGTCGCATCATGCATCCGTCACACCATGCATCCGTCACACCATGCATCCGTAACACTCCTCTCCAGCGTGTTTGACTGCAAAGGGGGCATCTTTGATGTGCGCGTGAACGGCGGGAGCTACACACCCATAGCCTCCATGACGCCAAACACACCACCATGCCACTGGCAACCCACAAAAACATACCCTGTCACTTTCCCCCCTCCTCTGCCCCCCCCCCCCCCGCCTCCTCCACAACATCCTTCTCTTCCCCTCCCCTTCCCCCCCCAATCAGCGCCGACTGCGAGGAGGTAATATTTGACGTGCGCGTGAACGGCGGCGGCTACGTCGCCATGGCGTCCGTGACGCTCGTGGCCCTCCTCGGCACCAAGAACGTGCCTCTAGCGGACGCGACCCTCCCCATGGACTTCATTATAGGCACAAATCTCACCTGGAATCTCCTGACCGAGGAGGCCCTTTCCAGCTACACCGCTGAGCACTACACTCGGCCTGAAGACGGCGCGTCACCGCTCCAATCCACGCAAGACTACACCCCGTTACAGAACATCTCGTTTACCGGAGCCGCCGGTAGCAGCGGCATCTACACCGCCGATTTTAAGCTCTATTTTGAGAATTTTTACAACGGCCTGACGGACCAGCCCGGGTCCTCGGAGCCGTTCTTTGGGTCGCGGCCGTTTCTCTTCCTGGCGGACGGCGACTGCTTCTCCACCTGCGCCATTCTCACGCACATGCTGGGGAAACGCTACCAAGTACCCATGGTAACCGTGGGTGGTTTGCTCAACCAGCCCGTGTCCGTGAGCGCGTCGTGCCTCGGCTACACCATGCTCTCGTTAAACTGCGACGTTTCCGTCCCGCTAAGCCGCACCAGCCACGCGACCGACCCGCAGGCGTCGAAACCGTTTAAAACGAACATGGACGTCGGTATGGCGTTTACTAACGGGTATGTGGACTCGAAGGTTCCGTGCGAGTTCGAGTTTCTGCCGAGTCAGCGCCACATCGACTACACCGTGGACCTAATCGACAAGCCCGAGGCGATCTGGAGCGAAGCCGCGAAACTCTTCCCCGAATTGCCGCTAGCGCCCGTAATCGCACAGTCCGCGTCGTCAGCGTGACAAGCCCCGGGCCATCTGAATCGCCTTTCTGCCGAGTCAGCACCACATCGACTACACCGTGGACCCTATCGACAGCCGCGAAAACCTGATTTGCTGCTAGCGCGGGTAATCGCGCAGTCCTATGCTGCGGCATGACCGGCAGATCCTAGACTGGCAGTCAGATACGACAGTCTGACGAAGAAGCTGACCTGAATTCGCCTGGACTGATTATCTCAATTGTGTTGTTCGGGCTTCAAGTTGAGCAGCATAGGACCGACCTTAGAGAATTGTTTTTTCAACACCTCATATGTTTCAAATTAATCTTGGACTCGTCTACTAACCTCAAAGGATTCAGAAAGATCCACAATCAGCAAACTAAACACCCTCATTCAGAATGATAGACAGCCACAACCAGCACAATTCCTCGCCATCAGCAACATGATAAATAGCCACAAACCAGCATGATAATAGCGACACCCAGCACGATAAATAGCGACAACCAGCAATATACCGTAACAAGTCAGCATCAGCACGAGCAGAAGATCGTAGCAACCAACGTAACATGTAACCACATCAGGCTGCTGTGGTGGCGAAGAGCTTGGCAACCTCACTCCAAATGGCCCAGGGCTTGTCAATGAGGTCCACAGTGTACTCAATGTGGTGTTGGCTGGGCAGGAACTCAAACTCGCACGGAATCTCCGAATCGATGTAACCATTGGTAAACGCCATCCCGATCGTCCCTTTCACCTTGAGCGGCTTCGACGCCTGCATTGGGTGTAGGGCAGCAAGCGCGCTCAGACCCGTTGAGATAGGAGTCATGTCAGACAGGGTAAACCCGAGGCACGAGGAGCCCACATCCGGGGGCTGGTTGGGCAAACCACCCAGAGTCACCATGGGTACTTTGTGGCGTTTCCCCAGGACGTGCGTGAGAATGCCGCAGGAAGAGAAGCAAACTCCATCGGAGAGCACGAGGAACGGGCGGTCGCCGAACACAGGCAGCTGCTGCTCTGCCATGAATTTGCTGGAGAGGAGTTCGTATCGAGACTTGATGATCGCCGAGTAGTTGCCGGCGGGCCCGGCCGCAGAGAACTTGAGAGTGCGGAACGGAGCGTAGCCGAATGCGCTGGTGAGGGACGTCCCGTTGAGGTCGGTGTAACGTGGAAAGTATTGCGTTGCTCGGTCGATAGAGAGGACGGCGATGGCGTTTTCGGTGTAGTTGTTGCTGATGATGAAGTCCATGGGCAGAGAAAGGTCGGTAGGCGGCACCTTCTGGGCCCCCATGAGCAGGCGGATCGTTGCATAGGCTGCTACAGTGGACCCACCGCCATTGCCCCGCACGTCAATGATGACCTGGGAGGCGTTGGACCTGGGGGGGGGCATGGGGGGGTGGGTACGAAGGGGATGGGCATATGGGGATGGTTTTGAGAGAAAGGGTAAGGGAGATGGGCATGAGGGGATGGGTATGAGGGGATGGGCATGAGGGGATGGGCATGAGGGGATGGGCATGAGGGGATGGGCATGCGGGGATGGGCTTGAGGGGATGGGCATGAGGGGATAGGCTTGAGGGGATGGGCATGGGAGATGGGCATGAGGGGGCGGGAGGGTGGGCAAGTGATGAGAGGTTGGGAGAGGCGGTGAGATCACAGGTGAATGATGATCTGAGCGGTGTTGGGCTTGGGGAAGGCAAGAGGCGAACAAAAGAGAAGGGGGGGTGGGGGGGGGGGGCACTCACTGTGCTGCTGTTTGGAGTGCCTTGGTGATCTGTTCCACCATGTATGCATCCGTATCGACCTTATCAGCCTCCAGAGCCTTGGTAACTTCGTCACTGGGGTCGTACTCGTGCAGCCAGATCACGGCCGTGCTGCCGCCCACCAGGTACACCTGCATGCGCGCATGCACGCACGTGAGTCAGGCGCCCGCGAGATGGGCGGGATGTGAAAGGGCACACGATGATACAAGCCACCTGGCACAGTTGGTGAGCTCCCAAGTGCCGTTATGCAAAAAGCCAAGCCCGCATCATTTCAGGATCGTTTCAGCCGCAAGCATTCACCAAACCACCGAGTCTAACTTGGCGGCGTTGGCGTGGCGACCACTCGCTCACCAGGAAATGATCCGTTGTGGGCGAGATCCTCTTTACAGTGGGCCCCGCTGCTGCACCAGGGGAGCCGCCTGCTGCAGCAGCGACAGATGCAATCTCCACGTTAAAGCCATCCGAAGCATCACTGGTATCGCTGGCATCGCTGCTATCTTCATAGTAGACTGGCGGGGGATGGCGCGGGAGAATCCTATCCATCACCGGGGTGTCCGCATGTCCGACGGCGGTTGCATGCGCGCTGGTGCCGCCACTGGCAGGGTCGGACGGCTTCGGCACTGCACAGTACTGAGCCCAGTAGCCCAAGGCATTCTCATATGCGCCAAACTGAGCGGAGCCGATCCATGGCACCTGGACATCCTCGGTTGAAGCTCCCTTGCTGCAAGTTACAAAGGGTAGAACGCAACAACAGCAGATCAACCGTGGTGGACGAGGAGGATGCGTGGAGCATGATCGATGCCTGAAGAAATGGGTATGGTGAAAGCAGCTAGCAAGGAATAGGAAAGAAAAGGACACATCAAGTGCCGACCAGGGACAGTCAATAAGAATCAGTAACACAGAGGCTAGCAGCATGACTCACGTGGTTGCGAAGGACACGAGCACGGTGTCGTTTTCAGGAGCAAAGGCGCGCCTCGCGAAGCTGCCGGGCACCTGACGGATGTGGGTCCCCTTGAGCGATTTGTCCACTTCGTTCCTCGCGAACGCCCTGTTGAATCGCGCAGCCCGATTGCGGTAGGTTCCCACTTCCTTGTCTGCCCACTTCAAAATGTAGTCCTCAGCTTTGTCCCCGTTAATAGCCACCACCTGGGCCGTCACACATGAAACCCCCAGGAAGCATGAAGACGGTTCTGTTAAGTGGTGGATTAAGTGATGGGTAGAGCAGTTAGGGAGCAGTTATGGCGAACAGACGGACTAGGCTCGGACTTCAAGAAAAGTTGAAGACGGTTTAGTGTGGCGCAGCTAGTCTCTGGAGTGGTACTACTTGGTGGCGGTTTGAACAAAAAGGACGCACATTTATTCCACGGTTACCTGTCGGCCCTCGTAAAGGTCGAAGTCAAAATTGTGCAGAGCCTTCGCAACCGTATTCATCCCCTTGGGTGTGATATCTGTTGCAACGAGGGGATGCATAAGAGGCAAATATGGTGAGTATTTTGAACAGCAAATGTGAGTTAACCAGTGAAGGAATCAAAATAAAACGTCTGCTTTTGTAACCAGCAAGCGTAACACTCACATCGGCGCGGAGCAACGCGAATGATCTGCTGCCCGTTTTCGACGACAGCCATCAGCGGCAGTGGCAGGTTGAACTCCCCGCTCATGAAGCAGGTCGGCATGAAAGCGCTGTGCCCGTCGTTGAGCGCCATCGTCGCCCAATGAGCCGCCATGTGTGCATCCGCCAGCTTTGCGTACTTCCCCGCCCCGGCGTCAATGACGATTTTCCCCAGCACCTCGATGATATCGATGCTGCTCGGCAGGTTGGTCTGATCCGGCGAGTCCATGGCGATGTGCTTGTACACGTAGTGATTGTTGAACGCGTTCGCGATCGACAGAAGGTCCACAAAGTCGCACTTCTCCCTGGCAGATTAGGGTTGATCATGGCAATCGTGAAATTGCAATACAGGTCAACTGAATCGGCTACAATACCGCGCTGGTAAGAAGAAAGAAGGGTAATCTGGAATATAGGAAGTCGTCAGTACAGGAGGAGGTAGAATGAACAGTACCTGAACAGAAATGCGGCGTAGCACGCGCGGAACAAGGAAGGTGCTGCGAATCCCATTCCGCCAGTCTTGTTCCCCATTTTCCCCACGCCAGTGCGATTCAGCTCCGCCGCCAGCGCAGCGCACGGATCGGGCGCAGCCCCCCTCGCGATGAGAGGGTCCACGGGGGCCGCATCGTAGCACTCATTCGCGGAAGGAGCTGCCGGCGGCGGTGGGGCTGCAGCCGGCGGGGCTTCAGCCGGCGGGGAATCAGCCGGCGGGGAAAGAGCTGGCGGGGAAAGAGCCGGCGGGGAAAGAGCCGGCGGGGAAAGAGACGGCGGGGAAAGAGCGGGGGGGAAAAGAGCCGAGGGGGAAAGAACCGGCGGGCCTTCAGCCGGCGCAAGCGGGGCCGCTGGAAGCAGGGCGGGCGCCGATGGTAGAACCACCGCCGTCGTAGGCAGCGTCGTCTGAGCGGCGGCGGCCGCCGCCGCGGAGTTCAGCGGAATGGCGGCGACCGGCGCAGGGTCCCCAACGACGGGGAAGAGGCCGTGGTTCCAGAACCAGTGGCGGGCGAACGCAGTGGGCGCGGCTTGAAGCAGCAAGGCGAGGACGAGGAGGGGGAGAAGCCGCGCGGAGAACGTACCCCGCCCTTCACCAGCAGTCGTGACGGCCATTGCGCCTGCCGCGTAGGGTACGAGCGAACCGCGTTCCAGCGGTAGCTCGAGACGCTGCTACGGAGGTAGCAGAGAATGAGAGAGCGACTAGTCGCCTGGTACTAGCACTAGTTGGTGGAGAGAAACTGCGGGAATGAAGCAGGCGGGACCGACGAGCAAGCAAATATACTTCCAAGGAGTCCCTGGAAGAGCCAAGGGAGGCGAGTCTGGAGCTTCGGAGCTTCGACTCGGAGTCGACGACTCGTCCCATGCCCGCCGCCGTCGCGACGCCGTCGCCCCATGCCCAAGTCAGGGTCCTCGACTCCCCGCTCCGCGACGCCGTCGCTGTCGCCCCTTGCCCGACTCAGAGTCCCGCTCGGCGACCGGCCAGTGGCAGAGGCACCAGCTGGGCAGTGGCACCGGTAGGTCCGTTTCGTAGCCGGGTTGGAGGAAGGAATCTGTGGTGCCCGAGCGATGAGGGTTCGTCGCACAACTGCGCGACAAAACCAATGCCCTCTGACCTTACGGATTGGACGGAAAACGCCATTCTGATCGAATGGACGATGGGAGTTGTAGTGAGAGGACGCCTGAGCGCGCAAGTGATGGTGCGGCTACAACCTAGAGCCCATCACGAGTTTCGTTCGCTACATCCCAAATATACCCTGTCGAAAACCGCTACAGAATGCGGGCCATGTGTTTTCGTGGCCCTAATAACCCAGACATATCGAGCGATACAGATATTCAGTCCCGTTAGCGTGGCGAGAGAATTTAGGTAGGTACGCCCACCAGATGCGCCCACCCACCACGAACATAGCGACTCTGGTTGGCCTGGCGACAGCATCACGCGATGATCCGCCACACCGCCACGAGGCCCTCGTCGTTGTCCCTGCCACATCAACAACACTAGCTCGCCACAACTAGCAGCCGCGAAACAGCGCATTGCGCCCGCCCGACAACCACCACCGAGAAACGTATGCAAGAGAACGAAATGAGTAACAGGTAACGACACGTAACGTGTAGCCTGTTACAAATAGTAAGAGGTAGCAAGATGTACCTAGAACCTGTCTCAAAACGATTTAATCAAAACGGGACTAGGATGGGCACAAAAGCAGCGTAGAATGACCATAACTAGCATACTAAGTAGATCACATACTTATGGTTTGTACCAAGGGGCCTCGGAGCTGGTCAATGCACCCGCCCTTCATGGGAGTCTTGTCGCCGCACAATTGCATGTCTCCAAAAAGGATAGTAGGTTTGCACCAATATTTGAAATGTCTAGACAGTTTCTCCTATGTGGTTTTTCGCCTTCACAACACAACAAACCCTTTCATCCATGCAGCACAATCATGATTCAAACCTCGCGTCATACCACCTCACATCAGACTCATGCGGTCTCGCGTGGTGCTCAGGCTTGATCTCGCAATTCGATGTTGTGCGTCTCGGGTCGTCGCGAGTCTGACGAAAGGTCGAGTATGACGCGAACGGTAGGAATTTGCCCTTATAGCGGGACTTGCCATGCTATATTCAATCATATATTCAATCATAGTAAACATTCAATCATATAAAAGTACTCCATCGTCATAAAACCATTCAAGACTTGGATGCTGGGGCCGCACACGAGCTCTAAAAGATTTTCTTTGACACAGGGCACCATCTCCCAATGCTACAGCCTCCAAACTCTTCTCCACACATGCCTCCATGTGCTTCGTACCATCCCCCACCCTCCAGCATCAGAGTGAACCTGGTGAACACACGAGCTGGAACAAGTGGTGTGGGAGAAGGGTGGGGTTGGTCAGAAGAACGACAGCGGGACCGAAACAAACCATATCAAATCCCCTGATGCCCTCAAACCCCTTAACCTCATCCCATCCCTTATCCCCCCTTCTCACTTCCTATCAACAACTTACATCAGCCGCCTCCTCCCATGCCTGTCCCACACCCTCCAGGTATGCTCTTCCGTTAGTAGCACTCCCAACCAAGCCTTCACAAGCTATGACAAGCACTGACCTGCTCAGGGCCCAAGAAGCACATGGCTCGGAGCCCCATGTCCCATGGGATCACCTCCTCTGACCCGGTGACCTCGCTCATTTGGAAACGGCCGATGTCATATGCACCTTGTTTCTAAGACACAAAAGCACAGCGAGTAATGGCCTTCTTGATACTCAGGAAAACTATAGCCATCAGTGCTAGGTCCACGAGGATCAACTCATTCGACCCGACGATCGCGCTCATCGCCATAATTGACTCAGAAGGTGTGCGGTCATTGGTACAGTGTGGGGGGGGGAGTGGCAGGGCAAAGTAAGGCGTGAGGTTATGAGGAGGGAATGCAAGCAGATTGACAGTTCTAGGCCTCCTCGTGGCTGTGGTTCATACTGAAGATGTGCGGCCACTAGGGGGGTGATGTGTGGTAGTGAGACAAAAGATGATGTGAGCACTATAGAACAGGTATCGATTGCAGTTTGATCATATTTAAAAGCCTGCATGGGAGGCGTATGGCCAGCGCATGTTTGAGAGGAGAAATAGAAGAGCAAAGGGGAAACAAAAAAAGCACACACACTTGTTCAAAAAGACAATTATGTGTGCCTAGGCGAGTTCATTTTCTAGTGCCACAAACCATAGCATGCATACATGGAGGGCCTAGCACACATGCAGGGCCCAAAATTGGTTTTATACCACTCTTAGGAATCATAGTGGAAAAAAAAAAAACGATCCTGTCAGCCCGAGTAAACATTTTTCCAAGCCTGATTTGCAAGGGTAAAAAAAAAACCGCTCGGACAATGTCAGGGCAGATAGAGTCACCCCCTGTTGGCATCAACAGAGGCGAAGCAAGCAAGCCTATTATATTAGATTAGATGTCACGGATTAGTACAATGGTCTAGCAACTGCCTGCAGGGCATTAAAAGCTATCCTAGATGCTACGACATGACATGAGCCTCCATCAACTAACTCTAGTGCCACTGCCTACTGAACTCTACTGCTTACACTTCTCTACTTACTACTCTACTCTAGACATCTCTAACAGCAGTGGGCTCTACTAGTGGAATGGGCTCACCTGTGGCATCAGCAGGCTCAACAGGGATGGGATTAGCCAAGCTCAAATCCTAGAGAGGGCTCCGGGGCTTTGCCTCGTGAAAGACAGCGACCACATTGAACCAGTCCATGGGATATTGAAAAAGAGAGCAGCGCATAAGATCCCCAGACAATCATCACCAATGCTCCCACGACCCCATGTCTTGATCAAGTTTTGCTTGGAAAATCCCCACTCACACTCCACAGTGCTGAGGGGGAGCACGGCAACTGCTTGCCATAGTCAAAGAATGTTGGGGTAGCTCCTATGCAAGTCGTTGTTGTCACGCGTGAGGGTGAGGGCTTGCTGGAAATCATCGTCCTTGTGCTGGGACATCATCATCGCGGTGAAAACCCAGAGCTCCCGCAGAGCCGCGTTGTAGTCAAAGCCTGCTCATGCAAAGCAATCAAATGGGGGGGGGGGGGGGGGGGGGGATGGAGTCTCGTAAGAGCAAGGTAGCACTACTTGTTATGGCAATGGTTGGAATCACGCTGGTTATTCACAAGGCAAGCAGGAAACACATGATGGCGCAAGTCTCACCAGGGAGCTTGTTGCTGAACAGGTCGTCCATCTACTGTACTTCAGGTGCTTCTTGCAACGAGCCAGCCGAACCTCATCGTCCGGGGGGTAGGACTTGGTCAAGAAGACGCGGGATCCATCCACGTTTGCCAGGTCCCTGAAGCGACCGCGAATGTTGCCGACACAGTCTATAGCGAACTTCCGGCACACGATGCCGCAAGAATCAAGGTCGCTCCATGTCGTGTGGCCGTTGAGCATCCTCTCATGCAACACGTATTCGAAGGCATGCGCGTTGCCTTACGAATCCATGCCTTCGACGCGCATGGTTGGCTTGTCCGGGGAGCCATGCTTCTCCAAGAACTCACACAGCCTCTCGCTACCGCCATTGCCGAAGAAGAGGCCGCTGCCGCACTTGATGTAGCGGTCGGTGATGCGGTCGCAAGTGTTCTCGACAAGTGATGCCACCACTGTGAGGTTGAAGTGCAACATATAGGGAGAGTGAGGGTAACAGGCGAATGCGTCTGAAATAAGTATGTGAACGGTCGCAGACTAGTCGCAGACTAACATGACAAGCAATACTCCGTTAAATCCCATGTATAAGTGTTAGCGAGAGGCTCACCTGACGGTGCTGGAAGCGCATGTTCAAGTGGTTCAGCTCGGCGAGAATATCGGCGAGGAAGAACAGCATAAACTACGCGTTGAAGGATGTGACCACCTCATACCACCCCCCAGATGCTCGCGGAGAAGAACGAGAACAGTAGAAAGAATCTCCATGAAGCGAGAGACAGCTTCCCCACACACCAGCCAGCGAGTAGCGTTGATGCCCTGGGCTTCCAAATTTGTGAGGTAGTACACGAGCTGGAAGTTCTTGAAGGAGTGGTGAACGACATTGCTGCGACCGACGAGGTTCGCGAAGGCCCGAATGAGCATGTCGATGATGTTCATCTCTGTGACACTTTTGGCGGCGTCCTTGGCCGCTAAGGCCTCCCTGAACACTTAGGGCGGGAGTGACAGAGAGAGGGGAGAACGGCGAATCCTAAGTGCGGGTAATACAAATAAGGCAAACCTATCAGCAGGCATGTCTCGCGACTTAGCTGTGAGCGATGCAATGAAAGGATACCAAATGTTCGATTACGGAGTGTTGTTTTCAGTGTATTTTTTACGCTGGGCCTAGGGCCTGGGCCTAGCACAAACATTACAAGTACCCTCGCTTTCTTACTAAATCTACATTGTGGCCACAATTGTGAAGATTCAGCAGGGCCTTGTGGCGAGAGTTAGGTAGCATTGTCCACTATGTTAGGGGTGAGCTCAGTATGACACGAGCCATCACCATACGATTTGGATCCGAGCAAGTGTACCACCTGATTCAAGCCGTATGAATACTTGAGAAGCAAACTTGTTCCAGTAAAGTGCAGTTTTTCATCAAGAGCCTTTGATTTGTTATTTTCAACCATTTTAACTGATATCATTGAGTGCTTATCTGTTGCATTATTTGCTCGCACATGTCTCGTAATTTATGGGCTTTCTCTAGCAAAGAAGTGTCAAACTGCAACATCGTCGCTTCTTGTAGTCAAGTATATATATTTTGGCAATATGCACCCTCTCCATTTACCAAACATGCCTTGCACCCTTCAGACACTATCGTATTTGCTTGGTTTAATGCCGTATAATTCTGCGAGGGGGGGGGGGGAGTGGGGGGGGGGGGGGGGTGGGGGGGTTTAGGGGGGTGTGCGAAACTTATGGCTTCTTTTTAATAGCCCAGATTGTCACAATCCTAATCCTTCATTTATTCTGACCTTGATTTATGTTTATAGCACAACGTAGCACAGAAGTTTTTTTTTTTTTTTTTTTTTTTTATAGAAGGATTTCGGTCTGCTCCAGCAGGGCTGCGATTCAAAACTTTGGGTTGGTCCAGTCCAGGTGCTTGATTCTCGTTGATTTGGAAGTTCGTGCCGAAAGGCAGATAAGCAGCCTTGAACTTTTCGCGTTTTTGCGATCATATGAGCCAATACAACGGAGGAAGTGGGGGGGGGGGAGGGGGGTATAGAAGGGAGGTGAAACCTTTCACCGAAGAGGGGCCTGATAATCAGCCAATGCCATTGTTAGGACCCATACCCATCTTATGGACCCGTTGGTACCCTAGCAAATATGATGTCACTCTGTACCAGCAAGTCA